CAAATGCGAATCTATGCGACGCAGCCGATAAAGTAGACAGATATCGAGGTATCTGGGACATAGATGTAATGCCCTGATATATCGGGAACATGTACCTCCACCTGTGGTAAGATTTTGTTGTAAATCTACATCCTCCAATCTTTGTTTGATGACCTTTTTAGCTGTAATTAGATCTAAATTAAGTATATCGGAGGGAGAGATTCCATAAGACAACAGTTTGGAATGGATTTTTGTTGCCCATGGGCTGGTGAATTCATCTCTCCAAAGGCACTGAATAAGATGGTAGTTTGGCAATTTATGCCAAAGGGACAGCCAATAATTAAAGGCATGTCTCCACATCAGAATCTCAAGGGAGGGGTCTTAAGTTCTAAGCGAATGGCAGAGTTGCTTACACAGGAGGGTAGTTTCAAAAGGCGTCTTAGAAAAAGATTTTGCAATGTCACCAGAGGCAAGAGGTTTACAAAGACGCCCCATAAAGGGACCGCATAGGCCATAGTTGCAACCACTTTTGCACTATAAACTTTTAAGGCGGATGGAACATGCATAGCCCCCTCAGTAAAGAAGAAGCGTAGTATAGCGTAGATAAGGGCTTTCACCTTGTTTTGTAAATATGTGATATGCGCTTTCCATCCCATATTATACTGGAAGTAAATTCCTAGATATTGAAATTTGTAAACTTGTTCAATTGGCTTCCCCTCAAGTTCCCATCTATACAGTTTACGACTCCTGGAAAAAATTAGGACTTTAGATTTGGAATGGTTAATAGTAAGTAAATTTGTTTGGCAATATGATGCAAAAATCTTAAGGGCCCTCCTCAAACCGATTCGAGAATAAGAGAGGATCACCGCATCGTCAGCGTACAATAATAAGGGGCAGCGATAGTCTGCAAGCCTGGGTGCATGAATGGAGGTTTGGGCCTCAGCTAGGGCGTCCTCATGTCACTAATATAGAGGTTAAAAGATAGGGGCAAGGATACACCCTTGTCATACCCCCTTGTTTATTGGAACTGAGTTTGTTAGATCGCCCTCAGGTGTTAACCTCACCCTAGCAGCCGTCCCTTCATGTAATTTAATCAATAGCCACAACAGCCTTTTTCTATGCCCCACTTTGCCAGTTTTTCCCATAACAGCTCTCTAGAGATACTGTCAAAAGCCGCCTTCAGGTCTATAAAAGCGGCACATAGAAGACCATGAGTAGGGGAAGAATATTTCCGCGCCAAATGATATAGAATTATAGCATGGTCAATAGAAGCGCGATTTGGTCTAAACCCGACCTGTTCATGGCCTATCAGATTGGAATCTTCGGCCCATTGGGTTAGTCTGGTTAGCAAGAAGCGAGTGTAGATTTTTCCGATGATTGATAATAAACTGATATTACGATAGTTTCCTGGGTCCTCTGGTGGTCCTTTTTTATATATAGGAATTATGATGGACTCCTTCCATGATGTAGGTATCTGGCCCGTGGCATTGATTGCATCAAAGATTTTTGCAAGAATTTTAGCCCACCATATTGGATGTTGTTTAATAGCTTCCGCCGGGATCAGATCGGGCCCTGGGGCTTTATCAGTTTTCAGTTTGGCAATTAAATCTACTATTTCCTCCGGGTCAGTATCTGGCCATATGGGCAAGTGACTTGAGAGAGTATCAGATTGGATGTTAGAGATGTCTGTTTGGGAGAAATATTTTCTTAGAAATTGTTCCCATGTCGGGGCTGGGATAACCGTCAATGGGTATTTCCTCGATCTTTTGTTGATTAAATTCCAAAAACCGCGAGAGCTGCGAAGCTTAGAGGCAGCAATCAGCGCTTGCCAACGTCTTAGCTGCCACTCGTGCTTGGCTGACTTCTGAGCCTGTTTGTAAGCAATTTTGGCCTGCAAGTACTCTGGGGGGAGAGTTTCAGCTCCAGAGGCTTTATATCTATTGTAGATACAACAGAGAGAGAGTCTAGCTTGCTTACATTTGGCATCAAACCAAGGTGCACCGAACCTGGGTTGATCTCGGTTAGCGAGGTGAGCCGGCATCGTAAAGAAACTAGTTAAATCTGCAGAGAAGTGGAAGAACCACTCCAGTATCCTGTTTGGTTCAGACAGCTCCGCCAATGAAACAATAAGGGATTCGGAGCTATTCCTCTGGAAGAATTCTGCATATTTTTGGGCCTGTTTCATGGACCATTTAATGCCTCTTACTTGAGCTGTGGCATTTAAACCTACATGAATTGGGTGTGTTCCGCTAACCGGGTGCCAGTCAAGCGTTAGCTTGGCCGCTAGAGGTAGGTGATCACTGGATTGTACATTATCTACTTTGAAATAAAAGAAATTTGAAAATAGGTCTTCTGAGACTAGAAGATAATCTAGGACACTATTTGATGTTGTGCCCAAATGAGTGAATTCACCTGGCACGTCCGGAGGGCAGTTGCCATTTAGAATGTTCAAATTCATACGAATGGCCAATTGATAAAGAAGGACTCCCGCCTCATTCACTCTGTTGTCCTTAGATCTTCTTGATGTGAAAGAGATTAAATCAGATTTTGGGTAGGGGGGAGATACCCACCACTTGGCCTTAATTATCCCATTCCAGTTGGCAGCTGTCCGTGCATTGAAGTCACCACCCATTATCGATGGAATATTAGGGTACTTAACATAGCATGCCAATAAATGATCTTCCAGAGAATCCCATCTATAATGAAGGTCTGATATCAGACCACCTGGAGGAAGATAAACATTGGTGATTAATAGTGAGAATTTTTCACTTGAAATCAGACCAGTAAAAGCAAAAGGAGGAAAGGTATGAACTAGCGAGAGTTTAGCTCTCATTTTAAGCGATATGGCGATTGCAAGACCGCCTCTGGACCGGCCACCTTTCTGGGAGGGGATAGCTGGAAGTGATATCAGTTCAAAGCCATTTATATCTATTTTATCTTCTTCCCATGTTTCTTGTAAAAGGATTATCTGGAAAGAGTTTATATAGGACAGAAATTCAGGATCTAATCTTTTCCTTTTCCAGCCAGCAATGTTCCAACTTAGGACTGCTAGCTGGGGACTTCTATGTTGTTCTTTTAACAGTCAAAATGGAGGGGGGGCAGACTCACTGTTAAAGACAGAAGATGTAACAAAAAGTCAGTTATTTTACTTTGGGAAGATGGTAACTGTGAGGCGCCCTGCAGATTAAAGTTTTTAACAATTTGGTTCGACTGTTGGCACACCGTGGATGATCCACTGAAAGTAGGTCTCTGAACAGGAAGTCTCTTCATTTCGAAATTCTTGGTACCACTTGGCAGAGAAATACCCAGGTAGGGGGAAATTGAGTCCGTCGGGGTAAACCCTCTCGCAGATTTGTCATCCGACATTCGGATTATTTTATTGATGCGTCCCATCGGGTCTTCAATCATTTCTGACGGCGGGTCCCGAGGTGTAACATTCGCAGTTTCCTTTGAAGGAGGTAATTGAGGGGGCATCACGGAGGTGGAAATTGCGGAAGACTCTCTCAGGGGCATCACTTGTGGACTACTTCTATATCTGGACGAAACTGGAGAAGATTCTAGCTCTGGCATAGATGAGTGAGTTAAAGAGGGATTTGAGTCAAGCAGGAAATCAGAATTTCGTCCTTAGGTATGTTGGTTGATGAATATAGATGAAGGTTCAGTGAGGATGGCAGAGCCTGGTCGTCTCGTGATGTAGCGCACGCTGCAGAAGCAACTTGAAGATTTGAGTCTTGTCGGATGGTTTTTGAATTCAGAGTGGGGCTGAGCTGAAGAAGGTCAACCACTTCTGTCCGGTGGGCCCAAGTGGGATTATTTGAGACATCGTTAGTATCTTCCCCTCTATGTTGGACTTGCAAAAGCTGAGTTTTAAGCGTGTCAAATCTTTGCATCATCACCGACTGTTCTTTCGGAGGAAGGGCTCTGAATGAATCAATAAGTTCCCTTTCGTCGAGGGCAGTCTGCAGATTATCATCCTCATATATAGCAGTTTGAGAGGGTATCGAGTTTGGTCGCGGATGGCACGCTGCAGAGTCATCGCGGTTGGGCCTGACAGTATTTTGAAGTGAGGCAGAGTCTCTTGTCCTAATGTCCTCACCGCCAGGGCACCTATTTAGAAGGGGTTTGATCTTGCTGTCTGTAAAAACCCTCGTTGCTACAATGTCGGCCATGGACAAAAGCGTTTTCCTCCTAACAATAATAGATGGTATCTTTTCAGAGTGGAACGCAAGTATCACCTTCAAGAAGTTGGTCTGCCGGGGAAGGGGCATTACAGCATATAGGTCAATCTGATATTTCTTAATTTTTAAAAGTTTGCTTAAGCAGTCTTTAGCTCCTTCTAGCGTTGACCATCTTCCTATTTCCGACCTGACAGAAAGGCAACTTTTCTTGGGTTGCAAAGTTAATATCTGATTGTTCAATTGGGAATTTAAGACATATTTAGTTTTAGTCTCCAGTATTTTATCTGAATGGGGGTGAGGCAATAAGTTTTTGACCTCACAAACTGAGGATTGTGTTGTTGATTCAAGTTTTCCGATTTTCAGCAGGATATTGGATAATTGTGAAGATACCTCGTCCAGCCTTTTAAAAATACAGTGAAGGGTCTTAATTACTAAGTGTAACTGCTCACAACTGGGGAACTCCCCATAACAGATGCCAAACCATCTTCCTGCGATGAGAGTTTTTCTTTCGTATTCTCCTTTACAGGCTTTACATTTGAAACATTTTGAGTCATCGGAATCGGAGTAGCTTCTAAATCAATTAGAGGTTGGAAGCGATTTTGGGTTTCCACTGCAAAGCATTGCTCGGCATGGTCACTCCCTCCTCCATTCCGGTGTGGCACCAACCTTGATAGTTTTGGTTTAGGGGATGATAGGGGCTCGTCAAAGTCTCTCAAGCGTTTTTCTGACCCATGCTTTCCTCAGGCCAGAGATTATACGATTCTTAAAATAACATAACACTTAACACGCAATTAAGATAATGGCGTTCTCAACTCCTTTAGCAGCTAAAGCCAGCCCGCTGATATGAGAGAAACAAAGAGCGGCTTGCAGCAGTCTGGAGCAGGGCCAAATCTCTCAAAGAGTTTCCATGGTATGCGGCTGCAGCAATTATAAAATACTTCAAAAACTGACTGGGTCAGTTGAGATAAAAGTATAAAAGATTAAAAAAGATTAAAAGAAGTCCGAAGAGCACCGGTAAGCGCGTCTTACCTCGGCGCCATGTTGGCTCCTCCCCATTGAGGAGTATATTTTATATTAAAGCAATGCCCACTATACTGACACCATGATTGACAAAAATGAACCACAGAAAAAGTTCAGCTTGGCAGCTATCGTTACACAACTGCCAGCAGTAAAAATAGGTGCAATCCATTAAGTGTTGCACAATTACACCCTCCCTTTGTTTCAGTTGGAGAATTAAGGATTTGCCTAACTCTTCCTTAGTGAAAATAAAAAAAAAATTAAAATTGCTACAACACTTGGTTAAATATGCTCCCACCTTAGACAATATGCTCCTTAACATGATTTACTCATATTTTATAATAATTTAACTAGAATAGTGCTACGCTTGTTTAAGAATAACAGCACACACTTCGTGATTTAACAGCACAATATTTATATGCATGGGAAAACAATCTCATGCCACGAAACAGATGTTACAGAAAGTCTCTTGCTGAGAAGAAGCAACCTTGTGGAGCTGGATTTTTTTTAAATAGAAATCCCCCACACTGAGAAGAATTTACAGACTTATTTATAGTTAAGTATTATTAGCTTGAAAACTTCCATTAACGAGTCTAGCAAGAATTCTACAGTCTCACTGAGAAAAAGAAGCCTTCTGTTTAGTGTTTTAGAAAAGACAGAAATATTTGGCGACCTTTCTGCTCCCAAAAGCTTGCTTTTTGGCAAACACGGCAACAGATATTGGAGTAGAGTAGTGGTTGTGACCACTAGCCACTTCTGACCAATAGCCTAGCAGTCTCAAATTTCAGTGCAATGTCAAAATTTAGTGCCTCTCACCTTCCATTCTACATCATAGTTGTTGCATCCCCAAACCAGTCGTGCTCCCCTAAATCCACCTCCGGCCTAACACAGACCCAGATTTTCTAGTTTTGCTACCCTTGGAGTCAAAGGCTAACACGCAGAGAGTGCAGGCAGGCGTCTTGGTCAACTGTATGAAAAGCTGCTCCCTGGCAAATTTTGCTAAAAAGTGAAGGAGCAGCGGTGCCCTTTTCAATGAGGCCCATTTTTGGGAGAGAGGTGCATGCTTACTCAGAAGTAAGTCCCACTGTGTTCAATGGAGCTTACTCCTAGACATCGTTGTGTACAGGAATGTAGCCAAAATTGCAAACAAGCGAACTAAAACAGTGGCTACTGTAGGCATAACTATGGATTCAGCTCTACAGCCGCAAATAAAATGTTTTAAACGTGCAATATACAAATGTGACACTAGATGGCGACATTGAGCTATGCCAAATTCAATGTATTTTCCAAAACGTTTTCACTTTCACAGTGTTTTTTATATGTGTGTAGATTCCATCTATAGCAATGGCATTCACAGTCAGGAGCTGCTGACTACAGCCTCATGTGTTGAGCCATGTTACTGCAGTTTTTCACTTAGGTACTGTACCAAGAACTGATTGCTGGCTCTTTCTGGACAGGCAGGAGTATAATAGGGTTTTGGGTTACAGCAACAAGGGTTTGCTTAAGCAACAAGGTCTCTCTGTGCTCTAGTCTTGCGCTTTGGTCCTGACTTCTGGGTTGTTCCCCAATCCTGTCTTCTGGTTTGCCCTCTGCCCCTGAATGCTTTCCGCTCTTGAGTCCTAACTAGCTCTCCAACCCTGCCTTGTGGCTGCCATCAGATCCTGACTGCCTTTTGATTCCTGGGTCCTGAGAAGATGGAGGAGTTCGGTTTCTTGATTATGATTGAGTAATAGCAGCAGAAACTAATGCAAAAGTACCAGATGGTGAGGCAAATAACTTCACTGGAAGAGTGACATTATCCCGAGAACTTCCACAGAATAGTTATGAGGAAATAGGCATAATACAGATTGCAAACTGAAAGGGCTAAACAGCAAAGTAATCCAACTCAAACACCTCTAGCCATTAAGATTTATTCATCAAGACTCCCCTGACCCTGAACCAGGAGTAGTTATTTTCCAACATTTGGGTTTAGCTCAGAATCCATAGCGGAAAGCAGGACTAGATAACTCATAGATCCTTCCCCAGTCTACAGTTGTAAACATGCCTTATTCACTCATATTATTCTTTTCCAAGTGACTAAGCACAGTAGCAGAAGCAACAACATTTTCTTAGGCCAAAGGCACAGTAGTTCCAATTATCTAGAAGGCACCATGTTGGCTACCCCTGCCTTACATTGTCTTCTAGGATCTGAGACTGGCGTGTCCCTCTCGATAAATAACTTTGTCTTGCCCTGTAGTTAGACCCTCCTACACCAGACAGAATTCCTCCAGTTAGGACAGAATATCTGGATGGACTTGTAAAGAGGTAAAGGCTTTCTGGGAAATGATATACAGTGGTACCTCTGGATGCGAACAGGATCCGTTCCGGAGCCCTGTTAGCATCCTGAAGCGAACGCAACACACGATTCAGCACTTCCGCGCATTCGCGTGACGTCATTTTGAGTGTCTGCGCATGCACGAGCGGCAAACCCCGGAAGTAACGCATTCCGTTACTTCTGGGTCGTTGTGGAGCGCAACCCGAAAATGCTTAACCCGAAGCTACTTCAACCCAAGGTAAGACTGTATAATGAGTTAAAGAAAATGTTTAAAAACACTTTTGTTAAAAAACCAGAAGCCTTTTTACTGGGTACAGTGGGCGAAGAGATACCAAAAAAAGATAAAAGACTGTTCATGTATGCAACAACAGCAGCAAGAATCCTTTTAGCCCCAAAATGGAAACAACAAGAAGTACCAATGAAAGAAGAGTGGCAGATGAAGATGATGGACTTTGCAGAACTGGTGAAGCTGACAGGAAAAATCCGAAACCATCACAATCAAGTATTCCAAAAAGACTGGAGTAATTTATACAATATTTGAAAGATCATTGTAAGCAATTAACAACACTAGTAGGGTTATCTGAATACTTGTAATGAGATTTTTTTTACCTTTCTACGTTTATTTAAACTTTGAGGTATTTTGTAATGAGTAAAATTAGAATTGGAAAATATATATAATGCTGTGATATAAAAGTTACTTCTGAAAGCCAAGAGGTGAGAGGGAAGGAAGTTGACAGGTCTAAAGAGCCAAAGAAGTAAAGTGGATAATAATGATGTGATTATATATGCTTAAATGGAAAATAAATAAAAAATATTTCTTTATTTTTTAAAAAGGACGGAATATCTGGAAGGGAGTGGACACATATAAATACACAAGAAGGTAATTTTAATTTATTAGTTTCTCCATTTTCAATCTTAAATTCAGTTCTGCACATTTCCACATCTGTTCACAATTTTTTAAACAGAAAAGTCCTCATGAAAATCCATCAACATCTTAACGCGCATTTCTCCTAATATTTGTATGCACTTTTGCCTAATATACATTTTTTTTTTGTAAAGCAATTTTCCATAAGCCAGTGCATTTTTGTAGACACTTTGGTTCAATAGGTGCATATGTGTGTGTGTGTGTATTACTTGTCTGGAGAATGACATTGCAATATTCGGAGAGCTATGAAATGTGAAAGATAGCTGTCTCATTTCCCGTACTGTTTTGAGAAATGCGAATGAGAGATGTTTGCCTTTAAATACGAAGTGAATTGAATTCTTTCCCCCATTGTTGGTCCTGACATGCATTTGCCTTTTGAAGAGTCACAACATTCCTCACTGCTGGGCTATAATAACTCTTAAGTAACCCATTAGTAAATTTACCAGTCACCTGGAGGTGGTGATGAGGGAATGCTGTGCTGACACATCTGGAAGGTGCTATAAATAGCTTGGAAACAAGGGAGGAACCTGCAAAGAAAAAGGTGAATCGGCCACATCATGGTGTTCGAAAAGATGATCATGTAATCAGAAACAGTAACATGGACAGCTCACGTTCATTGCAAGGCTATAGATAAGTGAGTAAACTACTTACGAAAACAGGATTTCTGTGTTATTTATTTATTACCTGCCCTTCCCCCTAGGTTCCCAGGGCAGGTTGCAACATTAAAAGACAAGATTAAAAACAGTTTTAAAATGACTTACAACTGTACAAGATAACGTAGGTCCTAAAAATATACACCTCAAGTGTCAAAAGCCAGAGCAAAGAAGTGTGCCTTCAGCATTCTCCAGAAGCTGTACAATGAAGCTGCCAGACACAACTCTGTGGGGAAGGAGTTCCACAGCTTAGGGGCCACCACAGAGAATGCCCTGTCAAATGATGCGCGCGCACACACACACACACACACACACACTCAGAGCCTCTGAGGGCCCCTCTGCCAATCTAAGCACTCAAGAGTCTGTAGGAAAGGAGGTGGTCTTTCAGATATTTGTGTGAGAAAAACAGCACAAATTCATCTCGTCCAATTTGTCCAATTTACATTCATTTAAAGTGTGGGGAATGATTGCATGGATTAGATATAGCAACGCTGCTACATCTTTTCTCGGAATTGTTTGCATTTAGGCACACAATTCCTTTCATGCAGTTTAGCAGGCAAAAACCAACCAACCAACCAACCAACCAACCCAGAAAGAGAAGGAAAGAAAATGGGAGGCAGACAAAGCTTTGTATGTAGAGGGATGTAAAATACTGGCAGGAGGCAGTGCCACAGCAGGGGAAGTATCTCAGTAGGGATGTCTGGTGTCGCAGGAGCACAACACTTCTCTGTCAGCCCGCTTAGTACTTCCCCTGGATCTCATTTCATGGAGCCCTTCCTAATTCATGCAGGTGGCAATGATTAAAAAATGCTGTGTGGGGGGAATTGAGAGTGTTAAAAAGAAGTGGCAGAAAGAGAGGCAGGAAAGATGGTGGCAGAAGATAAAGGGGGTGGACCCACCCATCTCTAGCCCCAAAATGATTACCTCCAAGAATAGCAATCTTTTTTCATTGATAGGCACCCACCTGCACATGTGGTGGGAATGCCAAGAAGTTCAAGAATCTTGGAAGCTTTTTGCAGAAATTTCTGAAATAGTAAAACAAGAAACAAAAACTGCTCATATGCTGTACTTACTGAACTTATTTGAGGTCATTCAATTCAAAACCGTACTGATTTTAACCACTGATTTCAAAACTGCATTGATCTTTTGGTTTCTTTGAATTCCTAGCAACGTTGGGTATAGGGCTGCTAGTTATTAACAGAGCATCACCGGTGTAAAAGTACTTTATGGAATAACATAAGCAAAAATATAGGTTTATTCACTGAGAAGTTTTGCAATTTACATTTTGATAGTGGGAAAGACTATCAAAATTAGAGAGAGGAGACTGAAGCATTAAACAATGGAAGAGAATGTGCAAATGCAACCGCCTTTACAGTTTCCCTTGAAGGATGAGGCACAGTAGGTTAAGACAAAGGTTTCCTGGAAGGCATAGGTTTTGAGGAGGAATGTGAAGGAAGAAATGACATTGCATAGGTGTTCTGGGAGGGTGTTCCAAACAACCAAAGGAGCAGCAAGAGTGAGGGTAGCAGACAGTGGTCATTTGTCTATTTTATCTGAAATCATTTCTAAACCATTTAATATACTGAGATATCACAGAATCATAGAGTTGGAAGGGACCCTGAGGATCATCTAGTCCAACCCCCTGCAATGCAGGAATATGCAGCTCTCCCATACCAGGATTGAATCTATAACCTTGGTGTTTCAGCACCACACTCTAACCAACTGAGCTATGAGGGAAGAGCTATAAGGTATGGCTACCAGATGTCCCGGTTTCCCGGGGACAGTCCCTGGATTTACAAATCTGTCCCCGGACAAAATCCATCCCCAGATTTCATTTAATGTCCCCGGATTTATATTTTAAGTGTTGTAGATTTTTTAGTAGGGAATGAATGTTGTGCGATTGGTTCAACAGCACAAGACACATCATATGGGGACTTCTGGCGAGGCAAAATGGCGGGTGCCACAGCAGCGAGCAGCTCCTGAAGCCAGCCAGAGCCAACTGTGCTACCAGGCTGGCTCTGGGCTGCTGAGACTGCCGCTGCTGAGGGGGAACTGGGGCTGCCCGGCGCGTCAACTGGGGGAACCACTGACCCCCCCCCCTCCATGACCCAAATCAAGCCAGGAGCGAGAGCGCCCGGCCACCTGGCTGACTGCCCAGCGGCGCTCCAGGGCCAGTAAAAACCCTGGAACCAATGCAGGGAGATTGAGGAAAGGAGAAGGAGGAGAAAGAGAGAGAAAGAGGAAGGAGAAAAAAGAGGGGAGCCTCGACCTTGCCACGCTGCTGCTGTCACCGCTGCTGAGAAAGAGAGGTAGGAGAGCACTGGGAGGGCAAGGACACGTGGCCGAGCCCAGGCCCGACCCAAGACTACTCCACGGCAGATAGTGCTCCAAGAGAACAGGCCAGGGCCCAGAGGAAGGCCGCGTGACAGAGGAGACCCAGAAGAGAAGATACTACTTCTTCTTTTTTAAAAAAATATTTTTTAAAAATCACTTTTCTTTTCAAAAAAAAGAAGTGTCCCCGGATTCTTTGAAAAAATTCTAGTAACCTTACTATAAGGGGAGCAAAGTATGGAATGTTAGAAAAATGTTGGAATGAAGTTATATGGCTTTAGTAGAAACGTTATAAGGAATTAAGTATAAATAGATTAATAGAGTATTAAAGGAAAAAATAAGGTTAGAATGAGTTAAGATAATTATAGAATAGAAAACAGAGGAAGATGGAAAGGAATTGCTGAAATAATTAACAGAAGTGGAATACAAAAAGGGAGGTGCGAGGAGGTCGTGGAAATAAGTGAATGAAAGATGGGATAATGAAATTGTTTGATTTATTTTATTGTTTTTGTTTTGTTTTGTTAGTTTAATGTATTGTATTGTATTGTCTTTTTAGTGTTTAAATTTTTGGAAAAGTAATAAATATTTTTTTTTTAAAAAAAGCAAAGTATGGAGGGTATTGAAGAAAGGACATTGTTTGCTTGTTAGGCTGCATGCAGAGAGAGAACCGGGGTATGGGTTTAAAGAGGGGTGCCACATGGTCTGAACTTTGAGGTGAATGATTTTGGCAGTAAGGTTCTGGATAAAGGACACAGGCTTAAGGTGTGGCAATGGAAAGCCCAATAGGACAAAGTTGCAGGAACCGATAAACGAGATCACCAGACCCAGAAGACTTCATTCTTTGATGTTTGTGCAGCTGAACAAACAAAACCCAAAGAGAAAAGCTGGGCACACCCAAGGCTTGAATGGATCCTGCTAGGAAAGTTGACTTGCTTTCACTTCAGAAAAGACGCCCAACCCATACAGTACCAGAAGCAGGCTGCATCTCAGAAACAAGACTTAGTGAATTCAGTGGGGCTTCTTCCCAGCTTTGTGGTGTTAGGATCTTACCCTGAGTTTGACATAATCATGGAATTGGAAGGGACTCCTAAGGGTCATCTAGTCCAACCTCCAATGTAAAAATCTCAACATGAGACACGCCCCATCCAATTTGCAATGTACCAGACCCTGCTTAGCTTTGCAAATGTGCTAGCAGTTTAAAAACCCCCGCTGTGCCACTAGATTCAATGCAGTTTGTCATAGCTGGAGTGATGGAGTTTGAGACAGGGGCAAGTTCAAACTCCTAGTGGGCACATGGAAGGAGTCATAGAGAAATAAGTGGGTGACGCTGTGGGTTAAACCACTGAGCCTTGGGCTTGTCGAACATAAGGTTGGCGGTTTGAATCTTCGTGACGGGGTGAGCTCCCGTTGCTCAGTCCCTGCTCCTGCCAACCTAGCAGTTCGAAAGCACGTCAAAGTGCAAGTAGATAAATAGGTACCGCTCCGGCGGGAAGGTAAACGGCGTTTCCGTGCGCTGCTCTGGTTCGCCAGAAGCGGCTTAGTCATGCCGGCCACACGACCCGGAAGCTGTACGCCAGCTCCCTTGGCCAGTAAAGCGAGATGAGCGCCGCAACCCCAGAGTCGTCCGCGACTGGGCCTAACGGTCAGGGGTCCCTTGACCTTTACCTAAGCCCCACTTCACATGTTACTTTCATCTTCATGGCTAGATGAAGATGAACCGCTGCGCCACACTGTTGCCCTCAGGTCCTGGTTACTGGCCTCCCAAAGGTCCCAAAGTTGGCCACTGCGAGAACAGGACGCTGAACTAGACGGGCAAGCTTTTCTTATTAAGACAAATAGGGATTTCGTTTCCTTTCAGGTAATTTCCAGGCAATTATACTGATTGCATCTTACAGATTTACAACTTCCCTATTCTTTGCAAAGCACCTGCAATACCACTTTTTTTATAAAAAAAACTCTTTGGGAACGGGCGACAGTGACGCGTGTGAGGCGCCTATTTACCACTTACATAGCGCGGGGAGTGGGGAAGGTAAATTCAGATACTGTAATCCTGAATGAACAAGACCGGAACCCGAATTTAGTTCGCCTCAGGAAGGGCGCGCGCGCGAGCTAGCGCTGCTCCAGCAAACTTCCTCGCCAGGTGCGCTGCTTCCCACCCAGCCTTCTCGCGCGCGCCTGGAAACGCAGCAGCTGGAGAAGCGTCCGCTCTCCCAAGCCGCGCCCTTTCTTAGCGGCGCTGGTAGGCAGGGGGCGGCGCCCGCCAGCCGCTCGCGCCCTTACCTGCGAGTCACGTGTTCGCCTTCCGGCAAGGGGCGGGGCTTCTTCTTGTCAGAGGTGTGTGTGTGTGTCTCTCTCCGCCTCCTTTTTTAATTTGGCTTCCCTTTCTCTCAGGAGTATCCCAATTAGACTCTTCTTCCCTCAGACCTCTCCACGTCTCGCTCGACTTTTTCTCTCGCCTCCACTCCCCGCGCGGAGGAAGACACCTGGTGCGCGCCTCGCTTTCTGTGTGTGTTTTGCGCGCTGCCGGGAGAAGGAAGCGAGGAAGAGAGAGCGAGCAAACTTGAGAAACTTGTTTGTCCACTCCCCGGGCTGGCTCTCCGCGAGCGAGCTCGTTTTAAAAGGGGAACGGTGTGGGGAGGGGGAAAGGAAGGAAGGAGAGGGAGCCGCTGGCCGAGAAAAGCATGAAAGCCAGCTGAGCAAAACATCCCCCGCCTGCTTGGGATTCTGCCTGGACACGGAGAAGAGGGTAAGCGAAAGGGGTGGCTATTGTTTGGGAGAGAGAGGGATGTTGGGAGGCGGAGGGAGGGGAAGGGGCTCCAGGTGTGTTGCAGCACAAAGGTAGGGGGACAACTTGGGGCAGAGTCCTGGGCTTTGTTCTTCTCACCTGCCCGTTGCATGACAGCGCCACAACTCCCCCTTCTTCCAGTCTTTCCCATATCTCTCCAGCAAGAAGTTGTATCAGATGCTGGGCGGAGGTCGGACTGTACCTCTGACCTAAGCCTTCCACTTCATTTTCGTTTCCTCTGTTCCTTCTCCCCACCCCGAAAAGACCGACCTTGTTTTTGAAGAGGGTCTTATCATTGCCTTTTCACTTCCTGTTGTTTGTTTGTTTTACCCACCCACCCCTTTTCAATCTATGCAAGGTTGTGTATGTGGCATGTAATGTCTGGGTTGGTTTTTGATTTGCATCTCTCAGCTGTGTAATCGGAATGTGGACGGATAAATTCAGGAAAGCACACATGCTCTGGACCATATTGCAACCAACTTGTTTTCCTGCTCACAAATCTAACTGTTTCTCCAATTAGATCTGGAGACATAAACAATGTCTGCAGTCCACGCCTTCGGAGATTCCTCCCTTTTCATTTCCCGTTCACAGCTTCTCAAATGGATTTTCCTTAATTCAGATCCAGATGATGTTTAGGGATGGCTGGCTGCCTGTTAAATTTGTTTGGCGGATTCTTAGTTAATGATCCGAGATAAATCGGTGCTGCTGTTCACTGATGGAGGGGATTGTTGGGGGGGGGGACGGTCTTCTGATAGCTGTGAATCTCTGTTTGTGAATGAGGTACCCGTCAGAGTTAGAAGACAGTTACACGTGCACATATCCAGTTATAGGTAGAGGCAGAGAAAGCAGGAACTCTAGTGTGAAGACACAAAGGCAGAGGGAGAGAGAGTTGTGAGTTAGTTGCAGGAAGAGGATTTGGGGCTCAAGAGTTTTTTCCCCTGGGAATGTGACACAGGGTGGCACTAATCTACTGCCTTCGGCCTATTTATTTAATTATTATTACAGTGGTACTTCGGGTTGCAGATGCTTCAGGTTACAGACTACGCTAACCCAGAAATAGTACCTCAGGTCAGTGGCGTAGCGTGGGTTGTCAGCACCCGGGGCAAAGCAAGTAATTTGCGCCCCCTAACCCGTGGATTTGCGCCCCCTAACCCTAACCCCCAGATGTTGCGCCCGGTGCGGCCGGCCCCCCCTGCACCCCCCACGCTACGCCACTGCCTCAGGTTAAGAACTTTGCTTCAGGATGAGAACAGAAATCGCATGGCGGCGGCGCAGTGGAAGGCCCCATTAGCTAAAGTGGTGCCTCAGGTTAAGAACAGTTTCAGGTTAAGAACAAGACCTCCAGAACAAATTAGGTAAATTCTTAACCCGAGGTACCACTGTATTAAAATACCTGTCCATATCTGTCCTGTCGTTTCTTATTAAATACTGTGCTTTATTTATTTATTTCATAAAGTTTATATACAGCTTGATTGTAAGAACCTCAAAGCTCAAAGTTTTGATGTGTTTCTCTCCACCCCACCACTTTGATCCAAATTGAGAAGAAGAACCACCTAGCTATGTTTTAAGTTGGTAAGGTGTACACAGCCCCAGATACGCTGTTTAGTTTCTTGATTTACCTATGTATTCAGCAGGTAAATTAAGATACCAAACAGCGGGGGTTGTGTACATCTCACCGACTTAAAACATAGCCAGGTTGTTGTTCTTCTCAGTTTGGATCAAAGCAGTTTTTTTTTGTTTATGCTCCATGGACAAATGAGAAAGGACTTTACTATTCAGTTTCTAATAGTAGAATCCACCATTTTCTACCTCTATCCTTTCGGGTATACACAATACCGAAAGCAGTCGTTTTCCAGCCTGGTGTGCTCTTGATGTTTGGCACACCAGCTTTAATCAGGCCCAACCAGCCAAGGATGGGGAACCTGTGGCCCTCCAGATGTTGATGGACTGCAGTTCCCATCATCGCCAACCATTGGCCACACTGGCTGGGGCTGAAGGAAGTTGGAGTCCAAGAGCTGGGTGGCCGCAAGCTATACGCCTTACAGTCACCTGCAGCCTCACTGCCTTGAAAGATTACGTAGGTGGCCCCTACGAAAAGAGTATTTTCTGTGGGAGGAGCTTGTCTTTGTCTTTATGCGCTGGGTAAAATAAAGAGGATGGAATGGTCATGGGCATTTGGAGGGAAAAGGCTTTGGGTATCCCACCAGCCATTGAACCCAATATGTTTTGACTATACAGTGGTACCTCGGGTTAAGAACTTAATTTGTTCCGGAGGTCCGTTCTTAACCTGAAACTGTTCTTAACCTGAAGCACCACTTTAGCTAATGGAGCCTCCCACTGCCGCTGCGCTGCCAGAGCACGATTTCTGTTCTCATCCTGAAGCAAAGTTCTTAACCCGAGGTAATATTTCTGGGTTAGCGGAGCCTGTAACCTGAAGCATATGTAACCTGAAGTGTCTGTAACCCGAGGTACCACTGTACACAATTTGGATTTTATGTACAGTCCCTAGAACGTAACCTCCATGTAAGCTGAGTCACCTGTACGGAAATCAGTTGATTTAAGAGCTCCTATATCTGCAATCTACCCCAAAAGCAGCTTCTAATAACTAGCCAAATCTCTCTAGAGAGGGATTTCACTATTTGGAATGCTGCAACTAAAAAACAGAAAATATTGTTAGTTCAATATACGTACTACTACTGGCATGGATCTTCCTTGAATGAGATGTTGAGGTGCATGGTGCAGATAGAATCATAGAATTGTAGAGCTGGAAAGAACCCCGAGGGTCATCTAGCTCAACCCCTTGCGATGCAAGAATTGGCTAATAACTTGTTCCTTAGAATGTTTACTTGGAAATAAGTCTCCCTGTGCTTAATGGCATCTATTTCCAAGAAAATGGGAGTAGGCTGCTTGCCTTGGGCATTAGCTATGCTTGTTATGTGCTTTAACCTTTATTCTGTGATTGAAATACGTGTTCCAGGTGTGGTAGATAAAAATGACCCCTTCCTGGTTGGATATTGCTTGGGCCAGAACAACACCGAATATCTATAAGTGATTCACTAGAGCAGGAATTCAAGCAGGTCACAACCAGACTGCAGAGTGTGGTTAGTCTGGAGATTCCACCCTTTACTCCAGAATTCAGAGCATCCTTCTTCAAATATGTGCACTGTTTGCCCAGAGCTTTAGATCTTTCCATGGTAGACATGGCATGTAAACACAAAGTACTATTCCGAAGCGAAAGTGGGTTATTTTCCATCAAACAACATCAGTGTAGTTTGAAGGGGCAGAGCAAAAATTTAATTCTTACCACCTCTTGTTTATGTGGCTACAGGCTATTTGCTTGTCTCTGGGGTATATGCTTGTAAAATGACTCCATGTGGCAGCTTCTTTCAGATTCCTTTAGAATAATTTGGGCTGGCATAGTTTGTATTGCACCTGAAACAGAGAGGATAAGGAATAATAGTTTGTGGCTGTTCGGGGATTTTTTTGTTTTGTTAACTTGCTTGTTTAAACCATTTGAAACACCTCTCCATACCCAATTAATGTTACTGTTTTTTGAGTTTCTATGCGGGGTAGGAAAATAGACCAGCTGTTAGCTCTATCATAAGCCACTTTGTCTTAGTAAGCCAAGGTATGCACGAGCCTTTTGCTTCCATTGGCATGAGCTGTGATTAAACTAGGAAGCCTCTAATTAGCCATAGTTTCACACTCCTGTGGTAAACTGTAGTCACCAGCTACAGAAGGAGCCAGGATCTTTCATCAACTTTAAACCATGGTTTAAGAGCCTGGCTTGTTTTGAAGCTGGTGACCATAGTTTCCCAGTTTGGAGCAACACTAAACTGTGGTTAATGAGACTTTCCTGTTCAGCTTCAGGTTATAGTAAACAGGCTACATGTGTGGGAAAAGACTCGTGCATATATATCTTCCCGACAACTGGATACAGAAGCTAATGGAATATGCAGAAATGATGAAACTTACTAGGGAGAGAAGATAACAATTTTTTAAGAAAGGAATGGAAGTGGTTTATTGAGTATTTACAAACTGTAAACAGATCAAGACATTGGCAGGATTGTTGTAAAAAAACCTGCAGTTTTAAATATATATATAAAAGATATATATAGAATACTGTAGATGATTAAAAGAATAAGGCAATTTGGAGTATGCAGGAAAGGATGAAAATAAATGTAAGGAACTGCAGAAAGAGGGGGAAGGGAGTCAAAATTGAAAATGTTAAAAATATGGTTAAATAAAAGACTTGTGCATATATTGACTTAATAAGCTGAGGCACGATGATTGGAAGACAGCCCACATCAGCTCTGAGCACATTATAAGTCCTGCATTAGGATTTAAAAAGAAACCTTTTTTTACTATTGTCAGGGATACTCAGTTCCCCTGGCCTCACTTGTGAGTAAACAAAAGTAGAGGTATCTGCACTCACTTATTAAATTTTCTGGTGCCATCAGTTCACTCAGAATGCTTTCAGAGCCACCTGGTAGCTTAGGTTGACACCAATTGCTAGAGACAGGATAAACTTTACACTAAGATGGTTGGTTTATTAAAGGAATATTAGGTACACAAGGGAATATTTATATTGGGATCATAAAGGTGCTTGTTGACTGTTTCTGAAGACCCGGGAGACACTGTTGCTGACACCTGCCTCCAAGTGGCTTTTACCTCAGGCCCTTATACCTCCGCCCTGACCAAATACTCCCACAGCCCTGTCCAGCTACTGGGGACAATCTGCCTCTGTACCCCAAAACTCCTCTAGCTGTATTCCTGACTGTTTGGATAGTTTAGGAAGATTTTAAAAACCCGCTGCTGTCACATTCCTCTGGTACACAGGGCAGTTGTCACTGGCTCCCTTCTCCAGGTCTTCACCAAAAAAGGTATTAATAAGAAACTGGGTATTCAGTTCAGGCCTCAATATTTCTCCTCAGCTCATCTCTGGTCTATTTTTCACATTACCCTCATCAAATCCATTCTCCCCCAAACTCCTTAGCTGACAAAATCTCAACTACCTCTCCCTCAACCGGCAGTTAACTCTCAAGCAACTAGAACCTCTGGCCAATCAGAGTCTCCTTTCACCCAGACCAATTAGTCCAAATTCATCCCATTCCACCTTCACCTAATGAATTCTCAATGCAATCGTATCTCTCTCTCTCTCCTCTCAGAACCTGTCATCTTGCCGCACCGCTAACCAGGCTTGCAACATCATGACAGGAACAACTCCTTGAGCTTCCTTGGTCACAGAATATTTCCCCCTTCAGAATACAAACATAAGCAGACATATATACAGCATTTCTGTTCTCTGTTCCTGTTGCTTAACTCTGTCTTAATTTTCACTGGAAAACTAGTGTTTGAATGTTAAGAATCCCAGGGGTTAATCTATGTAGGCTGGTGTGATACTGCACTGGAGAGAAACCAACAAAGTTTCCATTTAAGAAAGAAAGCTTATTCTCTTGTCTTCCAGTCACTTGGAAATTTAGCAGGATATATTCAATATGTACATTGTTTGGTCATGCATAACACTGCACACAGACATGTCCATAATGAAACATCATATAAGAATTCCTGCTAACTATCCTCTGTTTTGTTTTTTAAACACATGTATACTTTCTGACTGGTTATGGATTTTGTGTTCCACTCCTAAATTCATTATTGCAAAAGACTTAACTTATGCAGTCACTTGGAGATGTTTCACACCAGCGTGTTTTTTCCACAGTAGTAGGGAAGAGTTGCTGTGATAACAAAAGCTTGAAAACTTCCCTTGACTGCATTAGAGGAGGAGATGAGAGTACACAAGCCTGAGGTTTACTGTGGCATATATGTGTCACACTAAACTATGACTTAGTGTTCCTGACATCCAAATTTTGTGTGGCATCCAAACAAGCTGTAGTCAGACTAGACCCATTGATATTGCTGTATATCACTAACTTTAGGTCCATTCATTTCAGTGGGTCTTCACTGAATAGAGATTAGCTGGATCCAGCCCTCAGATGGTATGTGGCACTTCCATAGACTTGTTATAACTAATAGCAATGGAAGGACTTGTGATATATTTATTATATAACCAGTTAAGCTAGTGGCCATCATCACATCCTGTGGTACCGAACTCCAAATAGGAGAGGAGATAGATAAAAATGATGAGGCTGTGGCCAGGCATATGAAATGTGGCCATTCTCTTAAGCTGCCGTCAGATTCCATTGTTGTAAAAAGCACTGGATTTGGAATGGAAAATTTCTCACGTAAGACCGGTAATTAGGAATTAGTCACAGTTCACACAAGCCTTGTATAATTCTTTAGAGCATGTTTATGAGACAATATTTGATATTTCTCACGCGCCAAAAACATCTGACTTAAAAATAGTAGAACCAAAGCAAACAAGGTATGAGTGATTCATGCTTTGTTTTAATCCAGTCTGAGTAGATCTTGTGATACCTCAAAGCAGTATTACCTTGGGAAGAAAGGTTGGTTGCTGATTACCCAGATCTAGTCTATTTATAGTATAAAATCGGTATGCAAAGCCAAATGACATCTGTTAAATCATAGAATCACAGAATTGTAGAGTTGGAAGGGACCCCAAGAATCACCCTAACCTTATTGGTTCGAGCCGTACTCTCCAGAGCAGGAGAAAACAAGCTTGCTCCATCTTCCATGTGACAGCCCTTTAGATATCTGAAGATGGCTAACATATCTCAGTCTCCTCTTTTCCAGGCTAAACATCCCCAACTCCCCCATCCATTCTGATAAGGCTTGATTTCTAGACCCTTGATCATCTTGGTCACCCTCCTCTGTACATGTCCTGCCTTTTCAATATTCTCCTTGAATTGTAGTGCCCAGAACTGGACACAATATTCCAGGTGTGGTCTGGCTAAGGAAGAATAAAGCAATGCTATTACTTCTCCTGGAGGGCACAAGGAGAAGGGGACAACAGAGGACGAGATGGTTGGACAGTGTTCTCGAAGCTACCAGCATGAGTTTGACCAAACTGCAGGAGGCAGTGGAAGACAGGAGTGCCTGGCGTGCTCTGGTCCTGGGGGTCACGGAGAGTTGGACACGACTAAACGACTAAACAACAACATTACTTCTCTTGATCTGGACACTAGACTTCTGTTGATGCAGCCTGGAATAGCGTTAGCCTTTTTCTGCTGCTGCATCACACAGCTGACTCGTGTTAAGCTTGTGGTCTACTAAGATCCCTAGATCCTTTTCATATGTACTGCTGGCCGTCTAGGTGTCCTCCATCTTATTGTTACAAGTTTCGGGTGCCAGCGTTTGTGGGTCCTGCTGTCTTGTTGCAGCTAGGGCAGGGAGGATGTGTGTGACTTTCACTTACCCTTCCTTTCTCTCCCCACATTTTCCTCCTCCTGTGGGTAGTGCAAGGAAATTAGCATTGCAAGGTTTATGGCTGGCATTGTTGAGGACTCCTTTGCAGGGCATATCAGGGAACAAACAGGCTTTAGGATCCTGCAGGTTCTTATTTGCCTCAGTAAGTCCTGCTTAAACTCTCATCGACAGTGAAGCATTGCTAGTGGGAGAGCTTTCCATCCTCGTATCAGGCCTCTCTCACCACCAGCAGAACAGCGCTTATATCCTTCCTACAGATGCTCTGGGTGAAGGGCTCTGCTTTTGCAGAAGAGCATCTGAGCGTGCAGAAGATCCCAGATTCCTGGCATCTCTAAGTAGGACTGGGGAAAACCACCACAAATTCCCGAAGAACTACTGCTTGTCAACGTAGACAATACTGAGAGTTGCCATAGTACAATCACTCTGCATAAGGGATCTTCCTGTGTTCCTAAATGCCAGCTGTAGGATTGCACCTTTAGTGTCTTGTTCGGAAGTTTGCTTCCTAATTGCTGCTCAACCTTGCAACCTTAACTTTATTCAATCTTTAAAAATTGTTTTCTTCTCTTGTTCTCCCTTGGGCAATCTACCAATGTTCTAGTCCCCAGGCTTGCAGGTTACAATGAAGACTTAGGTGAACTACTTGCCTGCCAAGTGTCTTGGCCTCCTCGTTAATTTTGCAGTTTCTGCTGTAGCCTGAGAGCTCTTTACTGAGATGACAGATTTGATTGTGAAGCAGGTGTGTGTGTGTGTGTCTTTCTTTTTTTTTAAGAGTACAAAACCCCATTCAACTGTTCTTGGCTTCGTCCTTGTCGATGACACCATTCCAAGTTAAATGAGTTTTTACTGCTGTGTTTTTAAACACAGTGAAATTACGACGAAACTATTGTCTCCTTCCCTTGATAAATATCTGATCTCAATAGACACACTCTGCAATAATAATAAAAAAGCTATAGAACAGGGGTGCAGAATCTTCTTCAGCACAAGGGCCACATTCCCTCAAAGGCAAACTTCCAGGGGCCACTTGCCTGTGGTGGGCAGGGCCCAGTGTTCGAAACTCTAGGTGCATTTTGCGACAGAAAATTTCATTGGGGCCAGCAATTTCTGAGCTCTGGGCACGGTATTGCACCTCAGATTTCAGATTAAAACTGCATAGTGGAAGGAAAGGAAGACCTTTTCCTGCTTCCCCACTTCCAGCTACTGTCTGAAGACTGGAGAAGAGACCATCTTAAGAATATTAAGGGGGTGGGCAGGGGAAGGACTAGACCACGTGAAAAATGAACATAATATTTTAGCTGCAGTTTGTTTATTTTCGGCTTTGTATTCTTGTTATTAAAAAGCATGCCTAGACATTCCGTTGTTGCGCCCATAACCTAGGTTTAAGGTGCCGTTTTGCTCCTAGCTTTCATATCTAACACTGGTGGGGCCATAGGCAAAAGTGTGCAGAGCAACAGACGTGATGCTTGGCTTTGTGCGCTAGGCTGCACAAAAAGTCAAAGGTCTCTGCATGCACATATATCCCCAACCCTACCTGTTCCTCTAATTTTTTAAAGGTCTCAGTGCTTTACTTCTGTGCATAGAGCAGGTTGTTCCCATCAGTAATATTAAGAAATCGTTCTTGAGAGATACAGCCTTTGGCTTTACACGAATGTCTTCAGAACTGGTTTGCTTTCTGTTGAACTTTACAAGTGTAAAGTTCAAACGTTCTGCATCTTTGCAGTAGCGAAGTTTCCTGTACAAGGGAATACAGTTGGGAAAGTGCTGTTAAAGTGCACAAACTACCTATCCCTTTTCATGCGTCATAGGCGTTTTCAGTTTGCCCAGTACTTGAATGGCCCCAATATATCTTATCTCACTTTTATGTGATATCTTGCTATCTGCTCAGTCCTGTTGGTGCATGCCAAGTTGATCAGGGAAAACCATGTATGAATGATTAATTGACTTTCACGAGTCCTTTTCAGGCAAAAGCTACACGTTACTCTAATTGTGTGGTTAGCAACCTCGTCTGGGTACTTTGGCCGTTTTCATTAGGACTACAGCCTGCAGAGAAGAGGATCTGGTTTGATAACTTGCTGGAATTGGTTCCATGACTTGGTAAACCAAACCATGACTTACTGCCATTTTGCTCCTCTGTGGGCCTTTTTGTTCCTGAGCTTCCCTGAGCTATGCCAAGGTTTGGCTTAGCATGTTGTCTGAATCTGGGCTTGTGGTTAAGTGCTCTCCTCGCTTATCAGAAGCAGTAGTCGAGAAGAAACCTTGGCTACAGTGAGGACAGAGCTGAACCACAAGCAAGGGTTGCAGATGACATGCTAAGCCAAACATTCATTCTGCTGCAAAGCATATTGTCCATTGTATTACTTAATGTTTACTTTCTATAAAGGTCATGGTAGGAAATGTTTTGTGAAAGAACACAAAGTGAGACTGTGTACTTTTTTATATATAATAAACATAGTAAAACATACAATAATAAAATAATGGTTAAAATCACAGTTAAATCATCATCAGCAATATATATTCTCTGATGGGACAGTAAAAGACAAAGTCACTTATGATCCAAAAGTTTGGACAAATAAAAATGTATTTTAGCTTATGGTTACCACAAAAACCACCACCACCACAACAACAACAACTGATCATTGCTGGCAGAAACATTGACTATGAAGGGGGCAGAAATTACTTGATGACACAATTTAGGTGACCAGGAATGATTGCTGATGGCTTGTTGGTATCTGTCCATCTCTGGAGTGGAGAAGTGTGCTTTTGTGGGTGAAGTCAAATTGTTGTAAGCTTACAGCACCTGCTGTGGCTGTAGAGACATGTTTTGTTGCAGCTGGTGCAGATGAAGGCATCCAGTTGTGCTGCTGCAGATGCACCATGGTGTTTCTTCTGTCCACTCCTCCCAGTGGTCATTCCTCCTCTGGTCACTGCTGTGGATACACAACCTAATTGCCTGTCTCCAGGCACGGTGGTAGAAATTTGTGATAATTAGGCTTTGAACCATTTGTAGCATGATAGTGTTCAGTAGGAATAGTCTCAAACTCTCTTCTAGAACTGTAAGTAAATGCAGTTTTAAAACAAGGATAGGGAACCTGTGCCCCCCCCGATGTTCTTGGTCCCGCTGAACACTGGCTAAGCTGGTTGGGGCTGATGTGGGGGTTCAACATCTGGAGAGCAACAGGCTCCCCCCCCCGCTTTAAAGCATCCTGTGCAGTGCTGTAAGAGACTGCTTCTGATCCTTTCTACATGAAGTTTCAATGCAGGTACTTATATACTTCCTGGTGTCTACAGCAATTTGCAAGTAAGAAATCATTAGACAGCTGTCTTGCAACTTCATTTTAGCCCTGGAAAGTTTGTATAGGTGCATAACTGACTTGAATGCTGCATGCGTTCTCATTAGTGCTGGAAGAGACTTTTAATTAGCCCCATTTCATTCTTCCCCAAGGGAAGTAATTCCCTATTTACTATATCTTTTTCTTCCCTGCTCTTTATATAATAAGCATTCTGTTCTGCTGGGCAAAAAAGTCAACAATTAAATCGCGTCTATAAGAAATCTAAATGATTTATAGCAAGAAGAAAGCCACTGTGCTGCTATAGATCTAGCATTAGATTGGAAACTGGGACTGTAATTGTAACCCCATTTACCCAGGAATAAGCCCCATTGAATTCAGTAGGAACTTCCTGCTGAATAGACACAATTTAGGACTGTGCTGTTGTTAATTCTTTGTTAAAATGCATGCTAAACACATCTTTAGACTTGATTACAAGGCACAGTCAAAAATGCACCTGTGGATTTGAAAACCAAAATAATGGAAAGTCTTCCATATATTTAGCAGTGTACATTGAAGCAATGTAATGTAAATAAAGGTGCAAATGTATAATAAGACAAAGTTTCAAAAAATTAAATCTGGTTATGCCTTTTATAAATATCTTTAACTGTGTACAGTGAACAGTGCATTAACCTTCAGTGCCATCAGTAAAATACTTTATGATGCAAGAAAAGAATCCACATCCCTATTCTTTTTTAAAAATGCACAAATTAAGCAGATGACTGCAGTCTGTTTTTTCAGTTCCATAATATAATCCACTTCCAAAAAATATGTACAGATTGTTTCTCTTAGTGGTAGCCCACTAAATCAACATACAGCGTCTCTGCTTATTTATTTATATGGTTCTTGAAGTTTATTGTCTTGCTTAATGTTTTCCTTTAGTTCCCTAAATGGTTTAATGCCTATTTTAATCCTGCCACATTGGGATGGGCAGAATGATTCCCATAAGGGAGGATATAAGATGCCCTTCATGTGTCTCATGATGTGAGCTCTGGTCCAGAAGCTTATTCTGCAGTAAATATATTAGTCTTCAATGTGACTCCTCCTTGTCTTAGCCCTAATGCAATCAGTCTTCCAGTGGTTGTTGTTCTTTAGTCGTTTAGTCGTGTCCGACACTTCGTGACCCCATGGACCAGAGCACGCCAGGCACTCCTGTCTTCCACTGCCTCCTGCAGTTTGGTCAAACTCATGCTGGTAGCTTCAAGAACAGTGTCCAACCATCTCGTCCTCTGTCGTCCCCTTCTCCTTGTGTCCTCCATCTTTCCCAACATCAGGGTCTTTTCCAGGGACTCTTCTCATGAGGTGGCCAAAGTACTGGAGCCTCAGCTTCAGGATCTGTGCTTCCAGTGAGCACTCAGGGCTGATTTCCTTAAGAATGGATACGTTTGATCTTCTTGCAGTCCAAGGGACTCTCAAGAGTCTCCTCCAGCACCATAATTCAAAAGCATCAATTCTTTGGCGATCAGTCTTCTTTATGGTCCAGCTCTCGCTTCCATACATCACTACTGGGAAAACCATAGCTTTAACTATATGGACCTTTGTCGGCAAGGTGATGTCTCTGCTTTTTAAGATGCTGTCTAGGTTTGTCATCGCTTTTCTCCCAAGAAGCAGGCGTCTTTTAATTTCGTGACTGCTGTCACCATACTACAGATCCATCAGGACAGACTGTGTTGGATCACAGCATCCTTGCATTCCCACACAACTTTCCGTTCCTTTTCGCTAAAAGTTTTAAGCAGCGGCTTCTCAGTTTCTGGTTTGTCTTAGGAAGCACAAGACAACAAGATTGCATTTAATGGCTCTTTAATATTGTTGCAGGTACCATGTGTCCTGCTGAACAATTGGATCGACTGTTTAGCTATTAAAACATTCCTGAACATTTTGTGACTTCAGAGGAGCTGAGATATATTATCAATTAATTAATTAAATTTGTATACCGCCGTATGCCCCTAGGCAGTTGTCTACAGGTTGCGGTATTAGCGTGGGAAAACAGTCACAATCCAAGGATCCCCAAACATGCACCTCCAGATGGTGCAGATCTCAGGTGAGATGATGGTACCCAGACATCTTCACTTGGTTTCAAGCTCTCAGATTGGTGGAGTACAAATAATAACTTTTTTATTAGAATTACTATAGTAATAAACAAGCATGGTACAACTGACACAACATTTAAATAAGAAAGAAACAAAAAAGAGTGGGGGAGAGAAGGCCAAGGGGAGACAGACAGAATGACCAGAAGCAAATGAGCACCGGGCTCTTTTATCTTTTAAGATTTATGAAGGAGAATTTTGGCAGGTACAACTCATTAAGCTGGGTTTGAGAGAAGCTGTAGCTGCCAAAATTCCTCCCTCTGCTAAGCTGTTATAGGTACAATATCCCTGCCCTCATTTGCATCTGTTCACCTTGGAAAGCGAAGGGCAACATCAGGCATGCATGATACAAATATTAAAAGTGGACTCCATGTTGTAGGTAGTGTTAAAATAAAAGTGGATCTGAAAAGACTGAAGATTTAACTGCATTGTATTCTTTTTTAATATATATATATATATATATATATATATATATATATATAGTGGTACCTCGGGTTAAGTACTTACAATAGTACCTCAGGTTACATACGCTTCAGGTTACAGACTCTGCTATCCCAGAAATAATACCGCGGGTTAAGAAGTTTGCTTCAGGATGCGAACAGCAATCATGCTCCAGCGGCGCAGTGGCAGCAGGAGGCCCCATTAGCTGAAGTGGTGCTTCAGGTTAAGAACAGTCTGAGGTTAAGAACGGACCTCCGGAATGAATTAAGTACGTAGCTAGAGGTACCACTGTAATTCGTTCCGGAGGTCCGTTCTTAACCTCAAACTGTTCTTAACCTGAAGCACCACTTTAGCTAGTGGGGCCTCCTGCTGCCGCCGCACCGCCGGAGCACGATTTCTGTTCTCATCCTGAAGCAAAGTTCTTAACCCGAGGTAGTATTTCTGGGTTAGCAGAGTCTGTAACCTGAAGCATATGTAACCCGAGGTACCACTGTATATTCTTTTTTTTGTCCAACACCCCTGTTTGTGGAAATAAATGTTTTCTCTTCCTGGTATTTCGCTACACCTTAATTTCTGAAGTTGCATCATCCCACCTTCAGACTATACTGTTTTCAAAAGGGCATGCTCTGACTTGGAACACCTGCTTCCTCCTCTGCTCCCACACATCCTGACGTTTCTGTGGAAGTTGCAGTCTCCCAAGGCATGCTTGGTCACCTGTGCTACAAACAAGGGGCTACACATGGAAGCACAAGCAGGTCTACCTGCTGTCTGGGTCCAGGCCACTCCCTTTAAACATGAGGCTAGCTTCCTTTTACAGGAGCACATCTGTTCCCATGTGATGATAAACGACAGTACCAATTGCTCAGATCCTCTTTTTTCCCTGACTTCCATTCTTTAGGCAGATGCATTGCTGGTTAGCGAACTGCATTCATGCTTTGTAGGCACACTTTCCATGACACATTCCAAGTGACAAAGCTTCACGCTACCCTTTAGTTAACCTCCTCCCCGGTGTCTATGTGAATTGGCTAGGCTGAGCCAAGATGCGAGTGATGTTAATTATATAATAGTGGAACGTGCGTCCTGTTGAAATGTGCCTAACTGCTTGTGGAATCCGCGTGCACTGTGAACAGTATAGGTCTGCAGATGCACTGTGTGGCCAGATGTTACTCAGAAGAGAAACATCTGGAGTGTCACCTTCTGCTTGCTTGTTTATGAGAGGCAGGTTTACGGGTGCTGGTGGTGGCACCCAAGCTTTTTAATTTCTGGCAAAGTAGTTTGGCTCCAACAAGCTCTTTGGGCAGAGCTCACTCTGGTCAGTACTTGCATGTATGTGCTGGGGTTGATTTTGTGAGAACTCGCTTTCTGCAGCTCCGGATTCCCTGCACCTTGTGTTGAATAGCGGAAAAGATGGACGAAGGACACAGCTCTGTTGGATTCACAGCTCTTTATTGCGGTAGTTAGAACTGCTCCTGGAATCAGAATGACTGCAGCCTAGCTGGCTGCTTTATATAATACTAAGTAACTTGAAACATTAACAACTTACAACTAGCTAACCAATCAGGAGCGACAGTTTTCAATCCTTCATTTACATACTGGTGACCCTGAGTGAGAACTGCAACTAATCTTAATACATAACACCTTTATTTATTAAAGACATGCACACACATACATACACAATGTATGCCTCCCATTCTTCCTTGCCTTTTCTGGTCTCAGAATTTCATATCATCCAACATTCCTCAGATGAAAGAAACTAGGGACATTTCTCACTCCCCCACAACTGACGCTCCTTGCCCCCCATTTTTTGCCCCTCATTTCCTATCAGAAGAAGGAGGGGAGTGTTACCACCACTACATGTGTGACATTTTGATGTATTTTTAATCTTCGTTGTAAGCCGCCCAGAGTGGCTGGGGAGACCCAGCTAGATGGGTGGGGTACAAATAATAAATTATTATTATTATTACATCAATGGGACACAGCACACATGCCCTCCACCATCCTGAGGAAAGTTTCCAATTGTCCTTTAAGACAAAGTAATATTCACTTAGCAGTTTGAAAGCACGTCAAAGTGCAAGTAGATAAATAGGTACCGCTCCGGCGGGAAGGTAAACGGCGTTTCCATGCACTGCTCTGGTTCGCCAGAAGCGGCTTAGTCATGCTGGCCACATGACTCGGAAGCTGTACGCCGGCTCCCTCGGCCAATAAAGCGAGATGAGCGCCGCAACCCCAGAGTCGGCCACGACTGGACCTAATGGTCAGGGGTCCCTTTACCTTTAATATTCACTTGCCACTGGAAGGGATACAGTGGTGCCATTATGGCAGAGGTCCTAACCATCTGCCATATGCTCCTCAAAACAATACAGGTACCTGGAACAGGGCCTCCAAAGCAGATCAGTTTCAAGTCATTTATGTAGCATTTAACAGTAATGGTCCATTTTTGTTTGGTAATTATAAATTTGAATCACTGATTTGGATTGCAGAGGCATTCACGCTTATGACTGATGCTGGCTGCCACTATTTGCAAACAGACATCTTTGCTGCCATTTCCCATTATTCTTTGCTCCGCTCATGCTCTTAAAATGACCAGTTGGTCTAAAAACAACAACAGCAGCTCATGATCTTGTCTGTCTCTAGCATGCAAATCTGAAATTTTTCTCATTACTACCTCAGCACGTGGGAGCCATAAGAAAAAAAGAGCGGCTTTTGTTAGCTGGCAGTGCCATCAGATGTCTTAGTCTGCAGCTAAGCAGTTGTTCGGGAACACCCTTCCCAGGGTTCTTGATGGCTATACTTCTATCATTTGGACTCTAAACGAAGAGTACTGTACTGTATATTCTTTTCCGGAGTTGCTGCTTCAGTGAGATTGAGTGTTTTGGCTAATTCTTCTCTTAAGGGTTTTGATGCTGCTTTGTTTTTGTGGGGCTAAGTCTGTTTATCGTCTTATAGTGATTTAACCTTGTGTTGTAAACTCCTGTGAACACATAATTTGGAGAGACGTAAGGCGAAAAAGAAAAGTAAATGCTAGAAGTAGTAACCATCTTATTTTGTACCATTATTTTGTACAAATCTGAAAAAAATGTGGACAGGCTTGGACTGGTAGTAGCTTTAGCTCAGTTCTGTCAGTGTTGCTGTTGTTTAGGTTTTTTTAATTTCCTGGTTTGCTAGAACAGGCTTAAAATCAACAATCCATGCTGCCAATATGGTTAAAAGGCACCAGGCTTCTGTTGGAAAGCCTGAATAAATAGTTATAAAATTAAATAACAGGATGTGTGTTTTCCTGAGCTGCCTTAGGTGTGCCTTAATTCTATGCTGAGTGAATATTGGCATGCTTGCACTTACCTGGTTTTTTGCATGTTGCTGTGTGCTTATAGAATTGTAATTTGTTGTATAGGCACACAGATCTCTAACTAAGGAGGTTAGGTAGCACAATCACACATACCTTCTGGTAAGTGATGCATTTTCCACATTTTTAACAGTCAAGAGTGGCTTTGTTAGTATCTCTAATTCTGGACAAGTTTCTCATCAGGTAAGTCAAGTTTAATCCAGTCTAACGGCTCTTCCAGGCAGACAGTGTTGCAAAAAAGTTGGCAACTGTAAACCACTTGGAGACAAATAGGTTTTTTGTTTTGCTTTGTTTAGACGCCTTTTGGATAGCTCCAAACTAGATTTTCAAGCTTCTTTCTGCAATTCAGGGCATGTGATTCCAACTCTCTCTTCCCTCCCTGCTCTCCAAGGCACTTCAAGTACTGGCCAGAATGTAGTGGGTTTTTTGGCTGAAGTGTCCGGAGTGAGGGAGGAAGAAAAATGGAGGGAAATCCTTTTTTTGAACACAAACAAAATAACAATAATAATGAAGTTGAGCTGAACAGAGTCCAAACAGGGTACTAGTGGTGTTTTGGGGCAGCTTTGGAGTGAACTGTATGGCGCCACTTCCAGTTTTGTTCAACTTGCGTTCTTTAAGGGTAAGGCCGCTTCGACCAGGTTCTTCTCTTGCCATTTGGGTGCTGGTGCTAAAGTGGTATAATAGTGCTTTGGATGTATGCTGTGGCTGTGGCCCCCCTGCATGTGAGAACCTTATCCTACAATGTCAGTCCCTCGGCCACCACAGCTATGGCAACCTCCACCATCAATTCTGTCCCAACATTTTCTTTTATCTTAGAACGACAGGTGGGTCGGGGGAATATATATTGGCTCCAGGAAGAACAATTGCAGGTGTTTCATAAGTTTCACTGTTTGTTTTCCCCATTTTTCTTTCTTTCTGTGCTTTATGCGTGAGATTTGGTGATTGACAGCCTTTTGGAAATACGGTTTCTGGTCTCTGCTTATATATAATCAGATGGCCTTGGGGAGACTTGCTTTCTTTCGAACTTGGTTCCACACCTGCCTGCGGAAGCATAAATCTATATCTCAGTGGTATTTTAAGAGCAAATAGATTGAGATCGGAAGGGCATGTGGACATAATCCTAGCTCATGGTTTATGAGGTGCAAAAATCAACCAGCTTTCTTCTGAAGTTTCCCTGGTTTGCATTTGGGTTTTATGCACAATCTATGCCTGGAGCTTTGCAAATCTGGTTCCTTCTCCTTAGGGGAAACGTTTAGAGAAATGTTGTTCAAGTACTTTTTTTTTTTTACTGAAACTTCTGAGAACAGTCTTGAGCAATTTGACAGGAGAATGTGTGTGTGTGTGTGTGTGTGTGTGTGTGTGTGTATTGCGCACGCGCGCGCGCGCACACACACACACACACTTTAAGTAGAAGTGCAATAGGATTGTCAGCTAAGGATAGAAATAAGGGGGGTCTGGGAAGCAGGGTACTGTCACCTTGATGGGTTTGGCCATGGGTTGGTGAGTTGGAAGGTACTGGGCTTTTGAATTCCACCTTGTTTTAGGCACCGGTCAGCACTACAGCTAGAAATACACTGGTGGGAGAAATTACCTGTGTAATTTATCGTAAGATTATTTTAACGTATCGACTTTCAAAATCCCTTTTAAGTTCAGAAGCCTATATTTTGTATTTCTGTGTTATTTTATACTAGTTAGGGCTAACAGAAGGTTGTTATCATGGTGTAAAATTGTAAAATTAGAATCCATGGAGTTGGTCACGCTATTTCAGTAGTGAGATACCAGCCTTCAGAAAAGGAGGTTGAAGAAGCCTAACCTGTGAATCTCCCAGTTCAGTGCCAAGATTGACTGTGATACATGAAGGCGGTCCTGTTCTGCTCTGGGGTTTGGTTACTCTATCGCCTTTATTTTGATCCAAGTGATAAATTGGGAAGATCACTGAACACTCATCTTCAGCTTGACACATGTTAATGTCGTGCTTGACCTGGTTTGAACTCTTGTTAATATTTTTGAAGCATATCTGGTTGTGCAAATTGGACTCTTTTTTTCTGGCAGAATCTCCTGTTACAGGAGCAATTAATACATCTTTAAGCAATTAAAGGCAACTAATACAACTTTAATGAAGGATAATATTCCAGGAGGCTGTTTGGTTAGGGATTGCTCAAAATGACAAGAGCAATTGCTTATCCTCAATATGTTGTGCATATCTGACGGATCCTTTTGTGAAGAATTAAATGGACAAGAGGGAACTGTAGAAGTATGTATTCAGCCTGTGTTAGCTGCTTGATATTGTGATTGATGTAAACTCTTAGAGATCTTGTGTTGCTTTCTTTATATTTTACTTTTGGCCTCCTTTATCTGCTTCTTAACATTACCGCCACTCATTCTTTCTGGAACTAATTGCTGTCTGTGCCTAGAGCTGCTTTCTCTCATGTCTTCCTTTTCTTTCTCAATATCAATTTTTTATTTAACATATTTTAATGCCGGAAAGCGTGACAAATGTGGTTTAAGGCAGCAAAACACAGCTGAAAACTAAACCTACTTTTAGTTTTAAAATCATCACCTTAAAATAAGAGCCTGCCCATCGCAGGTGTAAATGACACAACGTGAATAGAATAAAACAGCCTGCCATATCCCCAGATGACTTAAAACCATTCTATTAAAATGTCAGAGATATCTTTAGACCCTGCTTGAAATTTTGTAGGATAGGGCTAGCCCGATCTCACTTGGAAGCATATTTCACAGGAAGTGGGGCCATTGCTGAAAAGGCCCTGTCCTGTGTGCCTGCCATTCTGCTTGCTCTCATAGGTGGGTATGTGAATGGGGCCTGTGATATGGATGGCATGATAAGGGCAGGTCGGTGAGAATGAAAGCGGTCCTTCAAGTAACCCACACCCAAACTTCTTAGGGCTTCAAATGTCACCACCAGTCCTTTGTGTTGGGCCTGGGAACACACTGTCACACAATGCAACTGGTACAATACACATGAAGTGTACCAAATCAACTTCCTGGTACCAGCCATTACCTGCGTGGCTACATTTTTCACTGGCTGACGTTTGAGTGCATTGTAGTCCTTAATGCATCTTTTCTTCAGCTACTGCAGTTTATCATGTCTAGTCCTCTACCGCCACCTGATTCTCCAAGATTCCATCTGAACTTTATTCCACCTGAATAGACACTCCTCTGCTTTGTATATTAGGTGAGCATATAAATGTTCTATGCCTTGTATATTAGGTGAGCATATAAATGTCCTATGCCTTGTATATTAGGTGAGCATATAAATGACTCTATTGCGGGGGTTGTCAACTTGGTCCCTACCACGGTAGGGGGTTCTATGGCACAAGCTGAATCCTCCTTCCATCGAGCACTGGTGGGCGGTAAGGAAATTTTACCATCAAGAAAGATTCATTAGTGGGCGGTAGGTATAAAAAGGTTGACTACCCCTGCTCTAGTGAATGAGAGACAACCATGCTGGTTCTACTACTGATTCAGGAATTGAACCTCTCCAGCAACACAATATCTGTAATATATTTGACCGCTTTCTGCCCGCCCCCTCTCCATCGCAATTATTAAGAATCATATTAGTAAATGATAAGAGGCCGGGATCCAAATAGTTACCTTAGGCGTGGCCAAAAACGTTTGCCTCCCTAAGCACTGCCTTTGGTCAAGAGACCATGATACCTTATCCTAAATTACATTTGAAAACCTCATTGGTTCGAAAAGTGCTTTTTGTTTTGAGAGCAACGAGCCCGAAGCTCTCCCAACCTACTTGCCTGTGTATAACTACTGTATTTTTCGCTCTATAAGACGCACCAGACCACAAGACGCACCTAGTTTTTGGAGGAAAACAAGAAGAAAAATATTCTGAATCTCAGAAGCCAGAACAGCAAGAGGGATCGCTGCGCAGTGAAAGCAGCAATCCCTTTTCCTGTTCTGGCTTCTGTGATAGCTGCCTGCATTTGCTCCATAAGACGCACACACATTTCCCCTTACTTTTTAGGAAGAAAAAAGTGAGTCTTATAGAGCAAAAAATATGGTACTTTTGTGGATCTTGGGGATGTATGGATCTGTGATCACAGCACCCTAGGTTGTGCTGCTGGCACTAAGTTGTTGTAAACTAGGAAACAGATTCCAGCGGCAACTCTTGCGACAGCTGCTGTACTTGGTGGGGAAAGTTTTCTTGGGGTTAGTTGGACCAGGGCGGGGGTAGTTAAGTGGTAAATCAGGATCGTGGAGGAGGTAGAAGTAATTCAGTACCGTAGAGAAGGTGTTAGTGACGCACCAGAAGAGCTTCTTTTCCTGTGGGAGTCTTCGCCACTTGGCATTTCCTCAATTGCCTTTCAGATCAGTGGCAAATGTGACCCAGTTTGGGCATTGGTAGTATTCGGCTTATGGTTCCCTCTGGCGTCCTCACCCTGTGCCCAGAGGGCACTGTTGTCACTCAACAGAAGGAAGAATGGCAGGGAGAAAAGGATAATTAGAGCAAGTTTGGAATTGGAAAGACGTCCAGGAGAAGTGTGGAGGCAGGAGAGAGAATACCTGTTCCTTTTAGGCTCTGAAATTTCAAAAGATCTGGTGTTTGCTTTTCCACACCCTTCTCCATTATTGCAATATTTGTTCTTCAGCAAGCATTGTGCATGGTTCTTAGAATTCCAGTTGCATGTGGAATATACTCATAAATGTGAACGCCACCTGTCTGGGTAGTCTTGTGTTGGTACGCTCAGTCGTACATATATGAGCTGTAGCCTGTCTTGTATAGTTTCATTGCTCGATTTTTGTATATGCATGGTAGGCTTGAACATGTCATCTTATCGAAAAGCCCTTTGTCCCCAAAGTGGAGATCCATACATGTACAAAGGGGTGGGTTGTCTGAGGCAGTCCAAAGTACAGGAAAAGGCTCTCTGTGCATGCTGAGTGGCACTGCATTTGTGCCAGCAAGCGGGTGTGAAGGAAAGGTTGTTAAGAGTACATGCTGCTCAATGTTTCGCAGATGAAAACAGGGACACTTTTGTAATACTACCCGCTACTCCAACCAAGGTTAACTGTCTGAGCTTCCTATCCCTTTCATTCCATATTGCTGGGGATCTGCCAGTATCAGCTGCTCATTCTTCCAGTCTTCTTCTTCTCTTCTTCTTCTTCTTCTTTTTACATTTTAAAATTCATTTTCACTTTTAACGTTTATCATCATACATAAATCATAATCATGGCTCCCAGTACGTTTCCAAGCACAATTCAAAGTGTTGGTGCTGACCTTTAAAGCCCTAAACGGCCTTGGCCCAGTATATCTGAAGGAGCGTCTCCACTCCCATTGTTCTACCCGGACACTGAGGTCCAGCGCCAAGGGCCTTCTGGCGATTCCCTCACTGCGAGAAGTCAAGTTACAGGGAACCAGGCAGAGGGCCTTCTCGGTAGTGGCGCCCGCCCTGTGGAACGCCCTCCCACCAGATGTCAAAGAGAACAACAACTACCAGACTTTTAGAAGACATCTGAAGGCAGCCCTGTTTAGGGAAACGTTTAATGTTTGATTCATTACGGTATTTTAATATTTTGTTGGAAGCCGCCTAGAGTGGCTGGGGAAGTCTAGTCAGATGGGCAGGGTATAAATAAAAAATTATTATTATTATTATTATTATTAATTTTACAAACAGGATTCTCAGAATCCCCAAACTTCCCTCCACCCCTCCATGGTTTTCCCAGATATTATTTTCAAACTGCATCGTATTGTATTCTCCATATTTTCTTAAAACTCAATTTTTTTTATCATAGTTCTCTCTTCATTGCAAGTGTTCTCAAAATCCTGCTAATGTTTTAAATTGTTTACAGTGTTCTTTCAAGTAACTTAAAATTTTTCCCCATTCTTTGTTCAGTCCAGTCATCCACATTTTCACATCGGTTTGCGAATTCCCCCCTGCCAATGAAAATACTTCAGCATTTGTGTGCAAATTTCTCCTGCTGTATACATGTGATGTGTGCAGTTTTGCCTCGTATACAAATTTTCACATGGCAATTTCCCCTGATAAAATGTGATTTTCACAGACATACGTTTAAATGTTATTTATAATGCTGTTGTTGCTTTGATTTTTTTCCGTGCACTATCTTAGTTTGCAGAAAGCTGGCATTAAAAAAATAGCAACAAGTGAATAGCAATAACAAAATAGCAAAATGCCTGGGTAATTGAAAGAATGAGCGTGAGTTCCTTCAGGGATCCTGTTTTGGATCATTTGCTATGGAACTTCCTTTTCCTGCAAACTACTTAGTTTTCAGTGCATGTAACTTAAGAGTTCGGAAATAAAGGCAAAGGGCTTAAACACAGTACAGTCGTACTTTGAAAGTCAAACAGAATCTGTTCCGGAAGTTTGTTCAACTTCCAAAATGTTTGGAAACCAAAGTGCAGCTTCTGATTGGCTGCAGGAAGCTCCTGCAACCAATCGGAAGCCGCGGAAGCCCCGTCAGACGTTCAGCTTCCAAAAATAGTTTGCAAACCAGGACACTCACTTCTGGGTTTACGGCGTTCAGGAGCCAAAACGTTTGAGAACTAAGCTGTTCAAAACCAAAGTATGACTGTATATAACTTTTTTTTAAAATGGATGCTGTGCTGCTGCTGTTCTTGCATCGTGACGTCAGTGACTACTGGCTCAGTAAAACACTGATTCCTACCTATTTTGTTAGCTTGCTGGAATGACAGTCTGAAGACCAGTGCCTTCCTGCAGGCTGCAACAAAAAATGTATAATCTTTCAAATGTCTCCTTAAACAGCTCTATCCATATGCTGGGAAGTCCTGAGTGAACTGCACGTTCCCTGAGCCATGTACACAGCCACTTGAGGATGGATGATCGCCGTTTATGTTTGGAAGTACAGTAGGCAGTACCAACAAGCTTTTGGTACACCTTCAGCAGACGCTGTGGCTGTATAGATTGTGGCGTCATGAAGTCACTGTAGCTCCCTACCTATTCACCTGATGTGCTAATGCCTGGAGACCAGAATTCGAAACTTGTTTAATCCATCGCTAGGCCATTCCATGTTATCTATATGCATACACAAGTGTAATTGCAGAGGAGAGGAAAATGACTGGCTTTTTGTTTGCTCCTTCCCTCCCAACTTATCAGTCAGGCTGGGGTGGGGAGAATTGGCTTAGAAAAAGGTAGATCTTTCTTCCTGCATCTGCAGTTATTTCAGAGGCAACGGTAGGCTGAGCCTGAATAGTCCCCTCCCCTCCAGTGCCCAAAATGATTGTTGGGAAAGAGAGCAAAGGGGTGTGTAAAAGGTCACACTTCCTTTGAGTTCGTAACAAGTCTGCAACCTGTTCAAATTTGAGTCTTCAGAGTATCTGGGCTCAGCTGACCTAGGCCAGCAAACCGGTTTCCAGACCAGGAAGAAGCAAGTGGCAGTCTGCTTGCTTTCCCTGTGCCAGTGAAACTCCTCGCCTCAGTGGGTTGAAGGCTACCCCCTGTGTACTGCCATGTGCTACTGAAGGTGGGATGACGATGCAGCGTGCATTGGCTTAGTCGGCTGAGCATTTGGGTACTGAGGAGGGACATAGGAGTTCACCTTGTCACCTGTACAAGGGGTAGGGTTCCTGGATGACCTTACATAAAATATTTTGTTGAAGTTAGCAACGTTGCATGGTTCAAGAGCCAGACTATACAATGTAATCAAAGAGGTAATGGACGCGGGTGGCGCTGTGGTGTAAACCACTGAGCCTTGGGCTTGCCAATCAGAAGGTCGGCGGTTCGAATCCCCGCGACGGGGTGAGCTCCCGTTGCTCAGTCCCAGCTCCTGCCAACCTAGCAGTTCGAAAGCACATCAAAGTGCAAGTAGATAAATAGGTATCACTCCAGCGGGAAGGTAAACGGCTGCTCTGGTTTCGCCAGAAGTGGCTTAGTCATGCTGGCCACATGACCTGGAAAAACTGTCTGCGGACAAACGTCGGCTCCCTTGGCCAGTAAAGCAAGATGAGCGCTGCAATCCCAGAGTCATTCGCGACTGGACTTAACTGTCAGGGGTTCTTTACCTTTACAAAGAGGTAAAACGTGGGGTTTCCCCCCCAGACCTGATTGTTGCGTTGAGCAAAGCCATTGACTTGAGTGGCAGAAAAGAATTAGATGCCTTAAATTCTTATTAGATCTGTACTGTGCTTGATGTGGGGTTGTCTTAAAAAGTGCTTATTTCAGGAGCATAATTAATTGTAGTGTGTGTATTCTGGGGCGCTATTAAATACAGTACAAAAATGAGGAAACGTATGGCTAGAAAAGAAATTTCCCTATGAAGATTTGGAAAAACATGATACCATCTTGTCCGCTGTGAATATTTGGTCTGAGTTATATTACGTGGACGACGAAACTCTTGATGGCTCCTATCAAGGTTTGCTTTGGGCAGCAACCTTCTCTGTCTAGACGATTGGCAGACGAAAGTTCCATGAGTTCAAGTTTTTAGAAGGATTCTTCTTTTGAATCTGATGGGAACCGTTGAATCAAAAGGGATTGCTGAAAGTGGAGAAGCAGAGACACTGTTGTGGTCCTTAGAAATGGTTCCGGGAAAGTGGCATTGCTGCCATGCTGGAGTTTGCAAAACTCCAGCATTTTCAAAGGAAGCGCTCCATTCCTAATCGTACCTCCTAAAATGATTGATAATATGAATTACTTATGTTCTGCTTAGTTAGAATCAACAAAACCCTCTGCTCCATATCATTTCAACAAATCTATGAGGTTGGCAATCATTTGATGCAGAAGAGCTGCTCATTCACAAGTAAGCATATGCAGATACTCTCTTGCCTGTAACTTAAGTTATGTCCCATGTGCTGCTTTATTATTATTTACCACCACCATCATTTATTAAACTTGTTAGCCGTCTGCTTACCCAAAGGTCTCCAAGCGACCTAAAACACATTTTGTTGCTTTAGCCTTTGAACCAAGAACAAAAAAAGCAGTCATGGAGTTTGAAAGCTAGTTAGGGAGAGAGGTTGTATCCTTGAAATTGGCATGTTGCTTTAGTTCTTTGACTGTTGATTTAAGTGGCACAATACACAATTCCTTTGAGTTTGTTGTTATTGCCTTTATTAGCAATCTAGGCTTGTTGTGTTTTGAGATGAAGGAGAAAAATACTGCTGAGTCAGAATGAGATCACCCAAGTTGCATTTAGGACTTCAGAAACTAAATCGACGCCAGAAGGCCTTCTTTCTTTTCTTTTCTTTTCTTTCTTTCTTTCTTTCTTTCTTAAAACCTGTTTGGAGTGTGTTGCTCAGCTTACCCGGCGGTCTACAATTTTTTTAAAAAATGAAAGCAATTGTACATGTCTCGTGAGCATTCTGCCTCGCTTCTTACTATACAGTACATCAGTGTACCTCTTTCATATAAAATGGGGATCTGGTATGTGGGTAGTTAGCATAACTGATTTGTCACGATTCTCTCTCGTTATTATTTTTTGTAAAGGAACTGCTCAGGGTCATAATACTCTTTTCTTTATGAGTATCCGGTATCCAGCACAAAGAGTTTGTTGAACAGTTGGCTAGGGGAGCGGCTAAAAGGCTTTGGTTTGTGTGTTTTTTTATTACCCTGTTAGGCATTAACAGGGCCACTCCCTAGCCTAGACTGTATCAGCAAAAACAGTCTTCCTAGTATATGCAGGTGTGGAAGCATATTTATGTAGCCTTACTAGAGTTCAAATGGAAAATCATGATTTAAAGTCCTTGTGGCATGGATGATTGAGGACCGGAATTGGGCTGTTATGACTACTGTCTCTCTGCAGGCCGTGATTCTTTCCCAGGGATGTGGAGCTCCATTCTCCTACTCATGTTCCTTTTAAACCAAATCTTAATTGTCGGGGCTCTGAATTTTACAACACACTTTTTTATTTCTTCAGTCTGTTTTGGCGGCTTCAGTCAATGTAATGGGAAATGAAGCAATGACAACAGCCCTTCCCTCTAGCAAATGGTAACTGCTTGTAGAATTATAAGCTTACCTCCCTTATACATCACAGAAAGGCAGCTTTTATATTTGATAAAATTCAAATTTAAATGTAATGATCTAATCCAACTAATTTGTTCATTAAGCACCCTAAAGCATAGTGACATTCATATTAAATTTCAACACTATTTAAGTTCGTTCCACTTTCAAATGAGTTTCCCTTGAGCTTTGGATCCCCATTGCATATGCTTCTTACCTATGGAATTTTTAGTACTTTTTAACAAGCTTTATTGCAAGGATGGGCAACCTGTGGCTTTCCAGATGTTGGGCTCCAACCTCCCTACCTGCCCTGCCCCAGCCCCAGCCTGCAGGGTCCAATGATCAGGGACGGTGGAAGCTGTCATCCAGCGATTTTTCAGAGGAGCATAGGTTCCTCAACCCATCTTCTGGACCCCCTGGGAAACTCAACAAACTGTTCTGCACCTGGAACTGAGTGTGGAGAGGGGAACTGGATGGGACACAACTGTGGGCAGCCTGAGGATGTACCATCCACCTTGGGCCAGTCTGTAAAATGCAAGTCTGGAGTGAAAGACTAGGGTGACTATTTCCAGGAACTCTTATTGTGAGACTTTTGTGGGTGAGCTGAGAGTTTGTTTGGGCCCTAGGAGAGAACCCAGAGGCTGAGAGGAAGAGGGTGTGCCAGAAGGAAAATGAATTGATGTTGATTTTCATATGTTTTGTAACTTCTTTGCAATGTTGTTGTTTCAGTTTTCTGCCTACTGCTTATATTAACAGTATACAAATTAAATCATCAGTCAATCGGTTTGTGGGGTGGCGTGTAGTGCTTGGTATTGGCAGAGGGTAAAGCTGTGTGTCTTCTTTAAATTACAACTTTCTGCTGCAAAACCATTGTTCAGTTCCCCTGAGAGAGAAGGATTGTAGTCATACTTCACAATACAACATATTCTGTTCTGTTAGGCTTTGTTAAGAAGAAACAAAACGGTCTATTAGAGGTGCCCTTCTATGTGCTGTTGTGTTTTATTGGAAAATTGCCTTTATTGTCATCTCTGAAGCACATATGTGAGCTTTCTCTCTTTTATTATTCATTTCCACACACAAATACACAGAAATTTTATTTAATAACATATTCTTCAAAGGCCTGCTTTTTAGTATTCAGTTGCTGTACTGATAAGAGATGGCTGCATAATTGCACACCTCATTCTAAGGAGTTTTCTGGGGACTGAGTGCAAGCTACGTTTGGCAGAAGGCAGGTGGCAATGCCAGGGTTGTGCCTTAGGCAAATGATCCTTAATCATAGAGATGAAAATGTGTACTCAGAGGTCATTCAGCTGAGCCCCCTTGCAATGCAGGATCTGTAATGCCGACTGCAGCTCCAGCGTCTCTGACTGATAGCTGTCCAGCCTCTGTACACATGCAGGATAGAAGCATGTGGTAATTTTATTAGATCCTGCCACTTGTTGAAAGAAAGGTTTGTTAAACATTTGAGTTTTAATACATTGATTAACTACCGTATTTTTCGCCCTATAAGACGCACCCGACCGTAAGACGCACCTAGTTTTTAGAGGAGGAAAACAAGAAAGCAACGCAAAGCCTATGGAGCACAGCGGGAGGAATGCTCCCACTGCGCTCAAGAGGCTTTGCGTAGCTATCCCTGAAGCCAGAAGAGCAAGAGGGATCAGTGCGCACCAATCCCTCTTGCTCTTCTGGCTTCAGCGATAGCTGCACAGCCTGCATTCGCTCCATAAGACGCAGACACATTTCCCCTTACTTTTTGGGAGGGGAAAGGTGCGTCTTATAGAGCGAAAAATAAATTTGCATCTCCAAGTGAATGAGAGAATAAGGTATATTTGCAGGATGCAGATAGCGAGAAGAAATCTAGGATTGTCTTTGCCTGTGTATAGTGTTGGGGAAACAAATGCTGTATGTATAACTCGGCCTGTATAAGGTTGGAGCTGCAGATAAATTTGACAATTACACTTTTTTTGTTTTTGAAAGCACATCTTTCAGTTGCCTACATTTGTTTAAAAAGTCATCTCTGTCACCAGTGTTGGTGTTGTTTTTCATTGGTTTTATGGATTTTAGCTGCATTTTATCTGTACACTACTTTGAGAATTTTTCTGATGTGTTTAAATTTGCCATGATGATGAGGATGGTGGCTAAAAAGGGATGAGTGCAGAAATCCCAGTGTAGGGTAGGTTCTGAAGAACCAGAGCAATGAATCAGAAAGTCCTTGGATCAAATTTTAACATCTGCTGCGAACTCACTAGGCACACTGCTCTCTCTTGCTCTCTCTCTCTGCCTCAGTCCTTCTCATCTTTAATACAGGAGATAATAAGACAACAGCTTTGTTTACAACAACTGTATAGTGCATGTGGAGCATTTTTAATCCTTGAAATCATTATCAAGTTTGGGCAACTGTTGACACTGTGGCAGATGTGCACATCCAGGCTGATTTCCCTCCTTTCTCTGATAGTTCAAATGGAAGTCCTGCTGCAGGGATAAAGAATCTGTGGCCCTCCAGATGTTTCTGGGGTTCAGTTCCCATCATCCCTGACTATGAGCCATCATGGCTGGGAGCTGATGCGAGTTGGAGTCCAACGTCCTCTGTAGGGGCACAGGATCTTCACCACCCATGATCTAATGCCTGGAAAGCATGTGTGTTGCTCATGTATATGGAAGCAGCTAAAACCCTCTGGCTCTTTGAAAGGAATTTGATGGGTGAATTGACTTCCCTTTGGATGTAAAGTACCGTATTTTTCGCTCCATAAGGCGCACCTAGTTTTTAGAGGGGGAAATCAAGAAAAAAATATCTGTCCGCTTCTCCCAGAGCTTCTGGAGCTGCCGGGGGGGAAGCCCCCCCCCCCCCAGAAGAAGCCATAGCCGCGCGCAGCCTCTCCCGGCCGGAGGGGCTGCGTGTGGCCTGGCAATACCACCACCTCCCGCAAAAGCCCACAGGAGCTGCACACCCTTTAAGGAGCGCGCGGCTCCTGCGGGCTTTTCTACAAGGAGGGAGAAGGGACTGACTGGCCGTGTCAGTCCCTTCTCCCTCCTGGGGAAAAGCCCGCAAGAGCCGCATGGAGCTTGTGTGCGGTTCTTGGGGGCTTTTCCTGCCAGACGTACACACATTTCCCCTTACTTTTTAGGAGGGAAAAAGTGCGTCTTATGGAGCGAAAAATACGGTATATGCCCTCCCCTCAGTAGTCCACCTTGAGCTTGATTGTCTTCTAGCACCGTGAGCCAAGAACAATCAAGGCTGGAATACATGAAGTTTTTAGCTGTACCTATTCACTTAGAAAATGATCCTTTAACGTTTCACCACCACCACCATTACATTTTACTGCCTGTAAACTCCCAGGTGTATTTGCACAAGACTACAGAACCCTCAGTCAGCCCAACCTCCTTTGGCAGTTTAATCTGTTACCAGGGACTATGTCTTAGGTGAGAGACTTCAACCACTTCAGGAGACAGGCAACTGAAAACAGATGCATGACTGAGATTCAGAAAAAAATAATACCTTTTATTATTATTTTTAAGTGGTGCTAAGGGAACTTTGTTCCAGCTTGCAAAGTCTCTCAGGGAGGTGGTTGGGGCTGTATCCTGTGTGTATCCTGCTAGGCTGAACTCAAGTTTGCTTTCATTTCCGGCTTTAGGAACGGCTAGGAGGATGAATTCGGAAAGAGATTCGGAAACTACCTTTGACGAGGACTCCCAACCAAACGACGAAGAGGTGCCATATAGCGATGATGAGACAGAGGATGAATTGGACATTCCGCCTCCTGTCGAGCCAGAGCAAAACCGCATCAACAGAGAGGTGGAAGTGACTCGAGATACACTTAGAAAAGGTGAGTCGGACGTGAATGATTCCGGAAGGGGAATGTAAGGTGAGCCTCGCTGGATCACGTCAAAGGCCCATTCAGTTCTGTGTGGAATGGCCAACCAGATGTCAATGGGAAGCAGGGCCTGAGTGTGGCAGGACTCTCCCCACTTGTGGCACCCCCACTAACTAGTATAGCTAGCAGACAGAACACAGCTAGCCGCCATTTATAGCCTTATTCTCCATGAATTTGTCTAATCCTCTTTTAAAGCCATCCAAGTTGGTGGCCACCACTAGGGCCGGCCCTCACACAAGGTGGTCCACAGGAGCAGCAGCTCCAAGGAAGTCTTCGTCTGCTGCTGCTGCTTCCACTGTGGCAGCGAAAGCCGGGCCCACTCCTTGGAAGTGGAATTTGCCACCTCCTTGGCTGACTCCCCCTCCAATGCTGCCCCCACAGCGGCCTCTTGGAGAATAGGAGATACGGCTGGTCTACTCCCACCCCCTAGGAAGGAAATGGTGGGGGCTGCCCTCTGGGGTCTCCTGGGCTGTGCACCTACCCAACAAGATTCAGAGTGGGTCCATTTTCCTCATTGCAATGGCCTTTGATTTCCATTTGACCATTGAGTAAGGCTGATTTGAGTTTCCCAACTTGTTTCTGATGGAGATCTTCACTCACCCCTTCTTCCCTGGTGTGGTGGTGGTGGGTTCCATTTTGTGGTGGCAAAATGTATTGGGCCAGCCCTGGCCATCACTGCACCGTATGAAGTACTTTCTTTTGACTGTCCTAAATCTTCCAACATCCAGCTTCGTTGGAAGCAATTACTCTGAGCGTTATGTTTTTACTGTTCAGTTTCCAAAACACCACAGGGTCATTCCTAGATTGATCCAACAGGGAAACTACCAATGTGGTTTGGAAGTGGCATAAGCCTGTTTAAAATGAAATTTATTTGGCCATATCCTCTAAACAACTGGCTGAAAATGCACAAGCCACATTTTATGCATGGGTTTTCTTATTTTTATATTATTTGTACATACAAAGTATACTATAAATATACAATAATGCATAGTAATATAATCAAGATAAGATATGGATGCAGAGAAAACTAATTGTCTAACTTATAAATATAAAACAAGGAGTATAAATCTATGCATGAAAGTAGGAAATAGGTATGTGGATAAATAGGTTGCAATATTTAACTTCCTATATATTTTACACTAGCATATAAACAATCCTTGTCCTAGCTATTTCCAACTCTGTTTTTCACAAGCTTTGAATTTTCAAGTTGATGCAAAGCAATACTGTAAAAATTATCACTTCCCCCTTCTTTTAACCCTCATAAACCACCACATTTTAAAGCATACTTTCTCTACTTTTATTAACTTAGTTTTTCTGGCACTCCAGAAAAATCCCCCTAGAATATGCAATGTACTTCCAAAAATACATAATTCGTTTCTGCTTAGATGAACTAGCCCACTTCTCAACAAGAAAACTCAGCAAAGATAACAGCTGCAGTTCTGAAATTTCTTCCAGTAAATGCTGAGAATCCCCAGAACTACAACTATTCGCTGCCAGTTTTTGTCTGTGGAGAGGTGGTGATAGAAATTCCCATAATCATAATTTCAGGACTTTGCAATGTAGATTTTGAAGGGGTATATACTATCAGGCTCAGGGTGCAATTTGACACAAACAGTGCATTCACACAAGCTTGGCACACTCTTTATGGGGCATTTATGCATAAACCAATAGCCAGGGTCGATTTGATTTAAATCAAATTGATTTGAATCACGATTTAAATCACTAGTCAGTAAGACTTGATTTAATTCTTTTTTTTTGTTTTACAGAAAGACTCATTCTTGCCGGTATAATCTTAATATTTACAAATGAGAAGAAGGGCCTGGAACTCTTATTAGTTGACTGGCAAGCACTTCAAGGTCTTGCCAAGGACTTACAGATCCCAGTTACTATTTCCACACACACCCCTATTTGAATTTGCTTCTACGTTCAGGTGCCTATTCTGTACAGTTAAGTGTTAGTGCATTTGTTGGAACCCAGTGGGATTGGGAAGAGGTTGCCAGCCCTGAAGTGCCTTCAGCACTTGCCTCAAGTCTGAGTTGCACAGACATGCAACTGACTCACACAATTATTACACAAAGATCCCAAGAATTGTGGAGTATTCCGCTCACAAGGTTGCGCTTTCATTTTTACTGCTTCATACTTAGCTACTTGTGCAGATCTGTTCCACTCCAAACAATCTGTTCATTGAACCTCTTGGAACTTAGTGTTTAAGAGGGGCTGATTCTGTGTACAGTGGTGCCTCGCAAGACGAAATTAATCCGTTCCGCGAGTCTCTTCGTCTAGCGGTTTTTTCGTCTTGCGAAGCAACCCTATTAGCGGCTTAGCGGATTAGCGCTATTAGCGGTTTAGCGGCTATTAAAGGCTTATCGGCTTATCGGCTTAGCTGCTAAAAGGCTATTAGCGGCTTAGCGGCTTAGAAAAAGGGGGGGGAAGCGGAAAAAAATCTCAAGACTCGCAAGACATTTTTGTCTTGCGAAGCAAGCCCATAGGGAAATTCGTCCTGCGAAGCAACTCAAAAACGGAAAACCCTTTCGTCTAGCGGGTTTTCCGTCTTGCGAAGCATTCGTCTTGTGGGGCACCACTGTATATAAATTTGCAGCGGAACAATGGGATTAAGGTCCCCCCCCCGCTCAACTCTGTGTATGTTTATTTTACAACATTATTCCTGTGAAGAAAAGGCATGTTATCTCTGCAGACACAAATTCACACTTTTGAAAACTGCAAAAACAAGCATCTGTGATAATAGCTTCTTGTTAGAAAAACTACCCCAAATAATCTTACAGAAACCTCTGGAAGAGCGTGACATTGTGAATGGATTAATGGAATTCATTTACCAAAAAATTAAAACATTGCATATAAAGCCTCATGCAACATTTGAAAACAAATCCTTATTTCCTGAAGGACTATAATGTAAGTTAAATAGAAAACTATCTTTAGAAAGATTTTTCCTCCGAAAGCATTTTATTTTTAAAAATCCAATTTAAATTTTAAAAAAATCCATTTTTTTATTTTAAAAAATCATTTATTTTTATCCACCCTGCCAATGGCTCTACTTCAGGCTTCCTCAAACTCGGCCCTCCGGATGCTTTTGGCCTTCAACTCCCATGATCCCTAGCTAGCAGGACCAGTGGTCGGGGATGATGGGAATTGTAGTTTCAAAACATCTGGAGGGTCGAGTTTGAGGAAGCCTGCTCTACATGCTGATGTGAAAAGTAGGTTTGAGATGAAGAAAAACAGTTGTGGCAGTAAATTAACTTTTCTCTCCTCTGGATCCACCAGTAGATGAGTCATAAGGATAACTTTTAAGTGAGATTTCCAGTCTGTTCTTTGCTAATTTTTTAAAAGACAAATGGTTGACATCACCACAAATTACATCGTATTTACCTGGGATGTTCTCCCCAAGGTCATTCCGGTAGTAAAGCTTATTTCTCTCTCCCACGGCTAACTTGTTCTCCCACTTCTGCCTTAGCGGAAGCAAAAGTAAACAGCTTGTAGGTAGTTTTGAAATTATGCAAATCAAGGGAAGTTGTTTGGAATTCCTTAGGTTTCCCTTGTTCTGTTAATTCTTTGAACAAGGAGTAAATGTTTAAAAGCAGAACACTCACCATTTGTTCCACTGCTCATCTTTGTTGCATTTGTAGTTTCTTTTTGATCTTGGGTATGCTAAGACTGCTAACTGGGGAGTGGGATGGGGGTCCTAACCATTCTAGCCTTCATATGCTGGTGGGAGTTAATAAATTTCCTGCTTTCAGTCACTTGATTATTAAGTTCATGATTGTCACACTTTATGGTTTTCATTTTTTTGTTTTATCTTTCAGAATGCGGCTGGCAAGTTAAAGCAAATGATTGTGCCTTCTATGAACAGCCCCAATTTATGAAAACGGCTTATCTGTGCCTTAAGAAAAGTAAATATGCAGTAAGTGGATTTAAAATCATGGTGTTGAAGGGGACCTTCACCTAGTCCAGGGATCAACTAGTCGTGGTTCATTGGTTTTCATTACTGGAGTACAAATCCCATCATCCCTAAGCATTGGCCCTAGATAGGACTGATGGGAGTTGGAGTCTAGAGAACCACAAGTTTCTTATCCTTCATCCATTCTAATTCAACACCTGACCTGGAGGAAAAAGTTCCTGCAGGTTTCTTTGTGTTTTTTTTAATGCCTCGTTTTATCACTCTTTAAAGCACAGCACCAAACTCTTCGATAACATGAAATGGGTTACACCAGGGGTCTGCAAACTTTTTCAGCAGGGGGCCGGTCCACTGTCCCTCAGACCTTGTGGGGGGCTGGACCATATTTTTTGGGGGGAAATGAATCAATTACTATGTCCCACAAATAACCCAGAGATGCATTTTAAATAAAAGGACACATTCTACTCATGTAAAAACACGCTGATTCCCAGACCATCTGCGGGCCGGATTTAGAAGGCGATTGGGCCAGATCCGGCCCCCGGGCCTTAGTTTGCCTACCCACGGGTTACACCTTTTCACAGTACATGAACACCCCATATCCATTTCATATGACTTGTTCAAGGTGGTTACTAGTGGGAAAACTATAATGCACTTGCCTAACTGAAGGATGATTTCACTAAATGATAACGTTTCACATGAAATGCTACCTTGTTAGTATATTTAATGCTTTTTCTGTAATATGCTTCTTTGTCTTCTTCCACAGGGGAATGCAATCAAAACCTACAAGTATAATCCCATTACCTTCTTGCCACTGAATTTATTTGAGCAGTTTAAAAGGGTCGCCAACTTCTATTTCTTGGTTCTACTTATTTTACAGGTAAAACAGGACTGTATAATTCATTGTGGAGACTGGCTCACCCACCCCCACCCCTTTGTGCCCCATTTAAAGCAGGTGTGTGATGAAGTACAACTCTTCATAGGTGGCAGATCTTGGGGTCTCAAATTTCAGCAGCACCCTGTGTGATGTCAAAATTCAGCACCCCTCCACCTATCGCTCTTCATTCTGAATCGTAGTTATGGTGCCCCCAGCGGTGACCCCAAGACCCAGTGCGACTGAACTGGTTGTTCTCCCCTAAATCTGCCTTTCCTCCTGCAGCTGAGCCTATTAAAACTGAAGGGTTGGGAAAGTCAGGTACCATTATCAGTAGGAAATGGTCAAAGAGGATATCTGGGTTGATTGATTTTTAAATTTATTATTTTAGTGCATGAACGATGGAGCATGTAGGTGTTAGGGCTCAGAGAATCACTCCACCCTGACTTGAGAGAACAATGGCTCTCCAGCTTTCAACTTTTAAAGTCCTCCTCCCTGCGTAACTGCAATTCCATTCATTCCTGGAGGATCAGCTGTGGTGCTGGAACTGGTTTTGAGCTTAACGTGTAGATGCAAGCTTGTCTCGGTTAACAGCATGCTCTGCTCTCTCATTACACCTGCCTGTTTACTTGCTAGTGCAGCTCTTCTTCTGACCATTGCTGCCTTTCCAAACGTACCTTAGTGGAGGTTGGGGGGGGGGACAGGACTCCCCATGGTGCCAGGCAAGGAGAGTTAACAGTTCAAAGGTATTTACTGTGTGAAAATTTGTACTGTATATTGAAAGCCATGTGGTCTACTACTGAGATATGGCGTCTACAGATGTGTAAAACACCTTGGACGTAAATGCAGGGTAGTAGGTTTTTTTTTTTTTTTAATTTCAAAAATAATAAATACCGTATTTTTTGCACCATAGCACTCACTTTTTTCCTCCTAGAAAGTAAGGGGAAATGTCTGTGCGTGTTATGGAGCGAATGCCTGCAGGTGGCGGAGGGGATCTGCTGCAGTCGTGAGCAGAGGATCCATGGTTCCCCTTCCTTCCCTCCTCCGTGGCTCGCTTTGAAACAGCAAAGCGGGAGAAGAGCCGCGGAGTGGGGAGGAGAGAGGGACAGAGAGCCTGCTTCTTTAAAGGAGCAAAGCGGGAGGGGAGAGGAGCCTTCTCCTCTTATACCCCTCTTCTTCATTATTAGCAGCATCCTTCTCCACCCACCCCACGTGTGTTCCTTGTCCCTTGAGTGCTTTCCCTTCCTTCCCCACTTAAAACGTGGTTACAAAGCATGGATCCACATGGATCCTCAGGATTTTTGCACTGGGTCACCCCAAATTCACCATCAGATCACCTAGCATGTCCATGGCTACATCTTGCACCAAAAAAATCATGCACCCACTGTTGCCTGGGGCCACAGTGGTGCAAAAACATGGTTACAAAGCATGGATCCACATGGATCCTCAGGATTTTGCACTGGGCTATTCCAAACTCACTGTCAGATCACATGTCCGTGGCCACAGCATGAACCACAAAAATCATATATCCACTGTTTCGTTTAGAATATTTTTTTCCTTGTTTTCTTCCTCTAAAAACTACGTGCGTGTTATGGTCTGGTGTGTGTTATAGAGCGAAAAATACGGTACATACATAAATATTCCATTTTTTCCCCCTTGCAGTGCATTCCTCAGATAACCACCCTCTCATGGTATACAACTCTGATACCTTTACTCTTGGTTCTCGGCATCACTGCGATAAAAGACCTAGTGGATGATATTGTAAGCATTGTTTTATTTATGTATTCTTCCTCTTTTTACATTTCAGGGTGTTTCTCTCCCCCCTCCCCCGCATTATATTGGGGTAGTTAAAATAATTGTCACAATAAACCTTCCTGAACCAAAGAACAAAAAGGGTGAATGACAAATTATAATTGTAACAACAGGTCAATTGGTGACCTGCAACAAATAAATAGAAGAGAGAATTGTGTTTTATGCCAGCCCAAAGAATGAATCTGCGAAACCTTTGTTCCTAGCATGATTATTCACCGCAATTGGGGCTTCCCATTCTTTGCCTTCTGACCTATCAAGGAATGTACAAAGTTTAATTTTGTTCATTCAAAATAGAAATGACGATTACTGCTATTACTGTTTCTTAAGTTTAGTAGCCACTTTACACAAACATCTCCAAAAAAAAAAAAAAAGGTCTTACAAATAATAGTAACATGTGCATTAATTGAAAGCAAAGCAGGAGGAGATCATAGAATCATAGAACTGTAGAGTTGGAAGGGACCCTGAGGATCATCTAGTCCAACCCCCTGCAATGCAGGAATATGCAGCTGGCCCATACAGGGATCGAACCTGCAACCTTGATGTTATCAGCACCATGGTCTAACCAACTGAGCTATCCAGGCTCAACCATATGAACAACCCATTCCCTGTCCACCACAGATAGCAAAGCAAAAACAAACACCACTCAGTTTCCTGGGAGAAGATAAACTTATTTGGCTAAAGATGTCAGTGTTGGTGCCAGGCGAGGCTCCCTGGGGGAGAGAATTCTGTAGACGAGGGGGGAGGACACAAGCCCATTCCCTTGTTGCCATCCCCTGGATAGTTCCTAGGGGTGTGGGAAATAGAGAAGGCCTCTGGTGCTGGGACATGGGAACATTCAATTAGAAGATGATGTTCTGTAAGGTATTGGGGTTCTAAGCACACACGCCTTCATTCCAACTCCATTCATTCTTCTGGGCTTAAGGAGCTGTGCTGAAGGAGTCATATAAGTTGCCCAGCTGTGCTTTAAGACAACAGCAACAACGATATAGGTTCTTTTAATCTCTTTCCCTTCTTCTTCCTTTTTCTTAGGCTCGGCATCGGATGGACAATGAAATTAACAACCGCACATGTGATGTAATCAAGGATGGCAGGTATGGTTCTATAGGTGTCACCTTAACTATTGTCTGTCCGAACAGCCATCACTCTGCACTAATCATACATGTTTCAAAAAGGTTTTCTGTGGAAAGTTAGCATGGCTGTTTTTAATAATTTTCTGCACAGCCAGAAACTGAGAGGGTTGAAATATTATTAGTTAATATTACCTAGTAGAAATGACATATATTCCTTGAGAGCATTCAGCCTTTTTCCTAAATATTATCCAGTTCACTTTTTAAATATATATATATATATTATTTCTCTCTACTTAAGGTTTGAAAATACAAAATGGAAGGACATCAAAGTTGGTGATATCATCCGTCTTAGGAAAAATGCCTTTATTCCTGTAAGTGAAATGCGCTCTCTCTCTGTGTGTGTGTGTGTGTGTGTGTGTGTGTGTGTGTGAGAGAGAGAGAGAGATTTTTTTTTGCAGTGTGACGGCAGTATCATTCACATGCATTTAATTTGCTTTATTCTTTATTTAATCAGGCTGATATCCTGCTGCTGTCCACTTCAGAACCTAATAGCCTTTGCTATGTAGAGACAGCTGAACTAGATGGGTAAGGGTTCTTTCTCCTAACGTTTACCTCCCCATAATATTAAAAAGTTACTCTTCTTTGTAGTCTTAGCCTTAGCCATGCTAAATTCCCAGTCAACATGTGGTTTTTTTGGTGCTATGTTTTAAAACTTGCTCTGTCCATTTTAAGGTTGCGTGGATTCAGAAAAGCACATTTTGACCCAACGTGCATAGGATAAGGAAATACTGCTCTTAAACATAATTAGGTTGTACAGTGGTACTTTGGTTCTTGAACTTAATCCATTCCGGGAGTCTGTTTGACTCCCAAAACCATTTGAAAACCAAGGCGTGGCTTCCAATTGGCTGCATGACTTTCCTGCACTCAAGCAGAAGCCACGTTGGATGTTCGACTTCCAAAAAGCATTTGCAAACTGGAACACTTACTTTTGGGTTTGCGGCGGTCCTTCAGCATTTGCAGGAAGACTTGCCTATAGAGAGAGAAATTAGCCTGAATGATAAGGGGCTTACACAGAGACAGGTGCAGCCATTTCTGTGGTCCTGGCTTCATACAGCCATTTCCCCCCCGATCTTCTGCTTCTGTAATCATGGTGCAATGCATATTCTCCCGTTGTGATCAAAGAAATGAAGAAAAGGCCTGCTTGCATGTCTAAGCAGGCTCCAGGTAGCTTCCCCAAGCGGTGCTTAATAAAATCTATGTGCAACAAATGTGTTAGGAAAACCTGTTCAGCCTTGTTGGGATTAACATTTTATAGCACCATCATCTGATTGACCCAAATGGACATGCACCACTGTGTACTCTTATACTTCAGTAGCAAAGAACACCGTGTGACAAAGCACATCTTGTTGCTCATACCCTTGTTGCTCTCTTTGGAGCCCTAGGGGTTTTGTTTGCTTTGTGTGTTGTTCAGCTGATGTTTTGTTAGAAACCCACAGAACAGTAGAACCGAAAGCTAAGCTAAGGTTCCTTTAAAATTTCTAATGGCCCATTGTCCCTATAGAATTTGCAACATTACAACTTTGCATTTCCCTCCTGTGCTTCAGTGAAACCAACTTGAAGTTCAAGATGTCTCTGGAGGTGACTGACAGATACCTTCACCAAGAGGGCGCCTTGGCAGCATTTGATGGTTTGTACAAACGTGCATTTCTTCTTAATTACATATGAATATGTAACTACCAGACTTTTAGAAGACATCTTATGCCATGTCAAGACACTGGACCAACTAATGCAGGATGGTCCAGCAGCAGGTCTGCAGGTTTGCAGACGGAGACTTTCCCAGCTAGTGATTTCAACTGAGAACTGTGCACGCAAAAGCCGTGCTTTACTAATGAGCTACAGCTGCAAGTACCTAATGCCACTGAAGTTACAAAAAGAGGGGAAAGCCAGTCTCTTTCAAAAACAAAAGCCTGGTTTGCACAACACTCTTTCCTGATTGCTCTCCTGTGAGCGGTGAGGGAAGCAAGGTTGTGTCATCTCTTCCTCCTTGTTCACCTGTGCTGTGCGCCTATCCTAGGAGATGACTGTTTCAGCAAAGGCTTTGCCACTTGCTGCCCCAAATGCCTTCTCGGTAGTGGCACCCACCCTGTGGAATGCCCTCCCACCAGATGTCAAAGAGATGAACAACTACCAGACTTTTAGAAGACATCTGAAGGCAGCCCTCTTTAGGGAAGCTTTTAATGTTTTACAGACTACTGTATTTTAATACTTGATTGAAAGCCGCCCAGAGTGGCTGGGGAAACCCAGCCAGATGGGCGGGGTATTAATCATCATCATCATCATCACCATCATCATCTCCCTTTAGTCATAGTCAGCAGCACTAGGCTAGGTAGATGAACAGTGTTAAGCTGATGGCAGAGTCATGTCTTCATGGGGCCTGACTGCAGTGGGCCATCACTTTAGAAGTCTCTTCCCAAGGGTATATGTTTGCACCTTTTCTACCGGTTTTCGAAAGAACACAAAAGCCTTAAGGGGGAGGGGGGAAGCATCTAGTCAGCTTTTGAAAAAGTTTGGGTCTGTTTTTATTCCGCTGACACTGTTTTCAATTGCTGTTGCTGTTATATTTTTAGACATTTTGTGTTTATACTATGGTTTTTATGGCTTGGACTGTTTTGTGTTTTAATATGTGGTGAGCCACTTTGAAGCAGGTCGCCCTGAAAGGTGACCTATAAATAAGCAACAGGATGTGCACAAGACGGTACAAGTTGGTTTGGCACCCAATTCAGCACTTTGGAAAACAGCTGATCTCAGTCTGAGTTGGCTCATAGGCCAGTGATGGCCAAACTTGGCCCTCCAGCTGTTTTGGGACTACAGTTCCCATCACCCTTGACCACTGGTTCTGTTAGCTAGGGATGATGGGAGTTATAGTCCCAAAACAGCTGGAGGGCCAGGTTTGGCCATCACTGTCATAGGCTGCCCAATTTGGCTTGTGTCTGGCTAATTTCCACCCCATTCATGGTTGGGAAACTAAACAATTGCAATAACATTCCCCCCTTTTTGACAGAAGTGGATGACATCTGCAGACGTAGTTCTCTTCTCACTGGATGCAGCCTGCTAAATTCCAGGCAAATAGGGGCAGAGGATTTTGTTCTGGACACTCCCAAAATGTGTTGTTTTTCCTCCCAAACAGGAACTACCTGTGTTTTTTTTATTATTATCGGAAATAATTGGGTGAAATTTTCAGGCAAGATTGCCCCTTCTGAAGGCATGAATCCTGACAAATTTCAGAGCTATATCTGTAGTAGTTTTCACACAAGGGTAGTCATTTGGTGTTGTGGGTATTTTTTGAGGGGGAGGCAGAAAAGGGTTCGCTTAAATGACCCCAGTGTTTTGAGATCTGAAAATTGCAGGTATGGGGGGGGGTCCCCTGAGTAAGAAAGCTTTTCTGTTAGGCACCTTAATGCTTGTTGAGCATTTCAAATAATTCCCTCTTATTGACATGTCGGTCACGATGAAGCTCTCCAATGATTACGGACTCCAACTCCCATCATTCCCAACCAGCATGGTGAATGGTCAAGGATGATGTGAATTGTAGTCCTGCAACATCTGGAGGGCCACAGATCCCCATATTTGCCATTGCTTGTGATTACTCCATAGTTTCCATTTATCTCCTGTGTAGAACCACTTCTAGCATCTGATCACATTCCAGTCAGATACAGATGCATATTTTTTTGCTATATAACATGCTCATCCAAATCTCCTCAATAGTTACTGAGAGGTCTCCTTAAATTGTCTTACTATAAATGTATTGCAGACTTATCCATTGTAGGCTAAAAGGGAACTGCAATCAGTGAGTTTCCTTTTTTCTTGATGATTGATCTGCTTCCTCCTTTGTGCCTGTATGTTTTTTACTTCGCTTCCAAATGCTGTCTTAACCTCATCCCCTGAAACATTTCTGCCACAGAGACCAAGTCTACAAGTGGTACATAACTATATGTAAAAACTGCAGTGCATTTCTGCCCCAGTTGACGCAGTAGGAAGCTAAGGGGTGTTGTTCCTTCAAACATCTCCTTTTAAATATTGTACTTTTGCAGAATTCATTGCTTAATATTTAAAGGCTTACCGTGAAAATGTTTTAATACATTCTTGTGACGTGGTGTTTTTTCCCCTCTCCTCATTCTTTTTTTGAACTACCACACCAGGTTTGATAGAATGCGAAGAGCCCAACAACCGACTCGATAAATTCACAGGGACTTTGAAGTGGAAAGGAAAAAGCTATGCTTTGGATGCTGATAAAATCTTGTTGCGTGGCTGCAAAATCCGGAACACTGACGTTTGTCATGGGCTTGTCATATTTGCAGGTATCTGTTTTGGAAATGGAATGCTGCTGCCTGTTTAAATTAGAGCTGGACCAATGCAATAACCCCAGCTTTTTTCTTTTTTTATTAATTATTTCATGCGGTTGGGGTGTAATTGTTGACATTGATTGGCAGGGCTGAATGTAGGAGTCTTTCTTAGCCCAGCCTGGAGTTGTTGGAGGCTGAGCCCAAAACCCTCTCCTTCACCTAATGCCATACCCTCCAATATGTTGAGTCCCCAAACTGAGACATGCTCCCACACGAGTCATGTGACCTGTGAGGGATCATGGAGACCCAAAAATGTGTTTTGGGGTGCTGCGTGAGATCGCTGCTCCAAAAAAGTGGGGTTTTCTTGGGGGGGGGGCGAGATCTTGGCAAGAAGTCATGTGAGATCATGGCACCCAAAATGGCTGCTGAGATCTTATGTGGGGGGGAAATGGGATGTCCCGGTTTTTCTGGGACACTTGTAGGGTATATAATGCCCCATCCACAGATTGATTCAGACAGGGATGAAATTATTTGGGGAAGGGAGGTCTTTTTACCTTAACACAAGGTAGTGATTGTTTTTTTTTAAAATAAAATACAAAAGGCTTATTGAAGCTTGCATCTTTCCCATGGGGCATTCTGCTTTAGACTGGAATGCCCATAGGTTCTTGTGAGAAGCCAAACTAATGGAAGCATCAGTAAGGTCTTTTTTAAAAAAACTAAGAAAAGGAAATTACTTGCATATTCATGCAAAGAGACACCCCAAAATGTCTTAAAATCCTCCCCACACCTCTATATAAGTCACACAATACGCACTTTTGCACGAGAGGAATATTCCTATGACAGTGTATTGTGCCTGGGATATTCAGCTTACTGTTTTCAGCAACAGAAATAGCAGCTTTAAAAAATAAATCATTTGTTAGAGTTGCCACTATATTAACAACACAAGTATATACATTTCTGCTTAGAAGTAAGACTCATTGTGTTCAATGGATCCTACTCCCTCACCTAAATCTATGACAGATAATCAAATGTACTTATATTATTTAAAATTATTCATGTTCATAGTTGTCTTTAGCCGTTAAGAAAGCAGTTTTAAAGTATTCATATTTGTTTAAAATTCAGTGACATTTACACTGCAGTTTTTAATATGATTTTAGGAGCAGACACAAAAATAATGAAAAACAGTGGGAAAACACGGTTTAAAAGGACTAAAATTGACTCCCTTATGAATTACATGGTTTATACGGTAAGAAGTTTTGTGTTTACTTTTTGCTTTTAGAGCTTACGGGAGCTGTAGCGCTTTACTGATCGCTAGCTTGCAGCTCTGTGCAAATTAAATATTTATTTTGCTTATTGACAGAGTCATTTGTGTACCTAGCACAGGCTCTGCAAAGGCTTCCTGCTTGCTTCCATACTGAAGTTTGTGTGGGTGGATGGTTTTCTGTGAGTGAGGCAGGTAGAGAGAGGCCAGGACTTGCAAACACATAGAAGTGTCATGCAGAGATCTGCAGGTTTGGCTTTCCCATTTGGCAACTCTTAAGCGTTTCACCTTATGTGCTTTGTTAGGGTCACGGCCGGCATTTAAAAAAAACACCTTACCTGGAGAAACAGGTTTTGCCACAGATACTTGCTGCTGGCTATATCCAAACTATAGTTCTGCAGCGTGGGCAGCTTTTAAAGATGGTTTGGAAGCTCCGGTTGGTGCATAGCTGTCAACTGTCCCTTATTTGGTGGAAAAGTCCCTTATCCCAGCGCTGTGTCCCGCTGCTGTCCCTTATTGATGATGTCCCTTAAATTTCCCAGGTTTCAAAGGAAGCAGCTCCTCTCCTTCCCTCCCTGTCGGCCAGGGAGGAGGGAGGCTCCAACTGTGTTGCTTGGCTGCGTTGCTCACCCAATAAGGAGTCTAAGAACGACTGGGGGGTGGAGCTTGCATGCCTTGTGCCGATCAAATTGGCCGCGTTGCCTGGGGACTCACCTTTGCTCAGCGCTTCCCAGCAGAGAGGTGACGGTGGTTTTCCTTGCTGCATCCCCTTTGCCGGGTTGCTGCGCTGTGGGAACCATCGCTTGAGGCTTCGTTTGGCTGCTGGCTGGGTTTTCTGCCTTTGGCTCGGAAGGGCTCAGAAGTTGAACATACCTGTGTTCGGAAAATCCCTTATTTTGGCTGCTGATCCCTTATTTTCAAATCTGTAAGTTGACAGCTATGGGTTGGTGCGGAGCTGTATTCGCCAACCTGGTGCCCTCCAGATGTTGTTGGACTGCAGTTCTCATCAAGCCCCGTTCAGAATAGCCAATGGTAAAAGACAATGCAGATTATAAACTAGCAACATCTAGTGCGCACCGATCTCTCTCGCTCTCCTGGCTTCAGGGATAGCCACGCAAAGCCTCCAGAGTGCAGCGGGAGCGCTCCTATTGCTGTGCTCCGGAGGCTTTCCGTTGCTTTTGCTGAAGCCAGGAGAGCGAGAGGAATCGGTGCGCAGCGATCCCTCTTGCTGTTCTGACTTCGCTTCGCTGGAGAGGCACTGCACAGAGAGGGAGAGAATATATATTTTTTCTTGTTCTCCTCCTCTAAAACTAGGTGCGTCTTATGGTCGGGTGCGTCTTATAGAGCGAAAAATACGGTATCTTTAAAGACCTAAGCAGTTTGATGCATATGGCCCCTACACTGATGGTTCCTAAAGGGGTCTTAAAGACTTTTTTTGTTTCATTCCACGTTGCTTATAATTGGCATTTATGTCAGTACTTTTCTGCTTCTGGTCTCCCGATGCACTATTTTTTGCTGTTTTGTCCGCTTTTATATGTGTCATAGTCTGGGCTGTTGATATTGATTTATCAGGTGCTCTGATGCTTCTTAGCTTGGCTGCATTCACATGTAACACTGGCCATAAATCACAATTAGAAAAATTAACCAGTGCCTGAGCTGCGTGCTTCGCTTTATACCTGCCCCCTCCTCTCAAGGAAGGCAGAAGCAAGCTATGGGGTGGCTGGTTTAGCATTATGCAGTGATTTTTTTCCTAAAAATAAATAAATGTTTAGGGGTACTCTCATTTTCCTACTCAAATTGAAATACTGCCCCTCAATGAGGCCAAACTTAGATTCACAAAATGTTTAGGGGTATGTGTAGCCCTGTGTCCCCCCAGAAAAAAAGCACTGGCATTGGGACGCGGGTGGCGCTGTGGGTTAAACCACAGAGCCTAGGACTTGCCGATCAGAAGGTCAGTGGTTCGAATCCCCGCAACGGGGTGAGCTCCTGTTGCTCGGTCCCTGCTCCTGCCAACCTAGCAGTTCGAAAGCACGTCAAAGTGCAAGTAGATCAATAGGTACCGCTCCGGTGGGAAGGTAAATGGCGTTTCCATGCACTGCTCTGGTTCGCCAGAAGCGGCTTAGTCATGCTGGCCACATGACTTGGAAGCCATACGCCGGCTCCCTCGGCCAATAAAGCGAGACCTTTTCTTGTTTCAGTGGACCTATCCAGACACAAGATTTGGGTACAACCGTTTTTAAACTTGTTTTAATACTTTAATGGCTGTTTTTTTAAAAAAATGCTTCAGGTTTTTTTTTTAATTGCTTTGCTTTACTTTCAGAGTGGATCTACACATAGGAAAAATGCTATAAATAAGTTAGAAATTAAGTTATAACAAAAGAAAAAAAAATGCTATGTGGAAATCACAAAGAAATTTTTTTTGCTCTCTGGCGCCATCTGGTGCTGCATGTTTATAACATTGTTTTTTGACCAATGTAGCTGAGTCCTCAAGGGTACTGTTTTATCACACATGGGTTCGCCGCCCGGGATTCCTTTGGGAGGAAGGGTGGAGTGTAAATGTAATAAAATAATTGCTGAATGGTTTTTGAGGCTTTTTTTAAAGAAAAAAACAAGTCGAAAGCCACTTTGAGAGCAGCAACCTTGGTAGCCTATACGTAACAGAAAATAAAAGAATTCTGCTGCATCTGTCAGTGATTCCTGTTTCTATTCTTTTCAAGTATCAGTGAGTTGATGGCTAATTCTTCTTCATGGCAGTTAGTCTGGGAAGCAGGAAAGGATTAAAACATGCATGAGCTTCAGCTAACCTTTTACAAAGCTTTGTCGCCTTAATGTTTTTTCCTCCAGATTTTCGTTTTGCTCATCTTAGCGTCAGCTGGCCTGGCTATTGGGCACACCTATTGGGAACAGCAGATTGGCAATTCTTCTTGGTACCTCTATGACGGAAAGGATGAGACCCCTGCTACCAGAGGCTTCTTTAACTTTTGGGGTTACATCATTGTCCTTAACACCATGGTCCCAATTTCCCTCTACGTGAGGTAACAAATATATGTAACTTCACTGCAGTTCTGCATGCAAGCATTGAAATTGTTATAGGTTAATGAAATCTCAGTCTGTCCAAGAAATTTCCTACATAAATAGTTTCTCCCGCAGACTATGGGTTCTTCCAAATGGCCATTTATTGACCATTAACCCTGATTTGTTTATTCAACCTGTGTGTGGAGATTATATTATGTCATTGCTGAGATTTTGTTCAAATTAGTTTGCATAGAGATTATACAGTGGTACCTTGGTTTTGAAACTTAATCCGTTCCAGAAGTCCGTTCCAAAACCAAAACGTTCCAAAACCAAGGTGCACTTTCCCATAGAAAGTAATGCAAAATGGATTAATTTGTTCCAGACTTTTAAAAACAACCCCTAAAACAGGAATTTAACATGAATTTTACCCTCTAACAAGACCATTGTTCCATAAAATGAAAGCAATAAACAATGTACTGCAGTCACACAATCAATCAATCAGTAGCTGAACTGGGTTCCACACAGTTACAAAAACAAAAAGAGCCACAAAAACAAAAACACAAAATAAATAGCAAAAAGACATACCTCAGCATCACACTCAAAATGGAAGTGTGCTATTCAGAACAGAAGCGTAACACTCAAAATGGAGTACGTTTGGCTTCCAAAAGAAGTTCGCAACCCGAACACTTACTTCCGGGTTTGCCGGGTTTGGGTTCCAAGTTGTTTGAGTACCAAGGTGTTTGAGAACCAAGGTACCACTGTATAATATTGCCCGATGTCACCATTATCCCACAATTCCTAATGCATTTCTTCATCACTTTTCCTACTACAAAAATAAATTATTTTTGGCGAAGTGGTTTTTTTAAATCCAAGAGCAGAAGAGCACTAAATCCACTTCAATTCTGTAACCTAAAATTGTGGGTATACTACAGAATCATACCCATAAAAGGTATGACAGTTTGGAAGCAGTGCAAGGTTGCAACAATATCTGTTTGTTTTTCTTGTAAGTGTAAACATGATTCAGATATTCCCCCCTGACAATCCTGCCCCTTTTTACAAATACCTTCTTCAAATAAGTCAATGCTATCAGTTAGTGAGCATACAAGAAGCTGATCTGAACAGCCTCCCTAGATTTAACAGTTAAGAATCTTGCATGGTTTGCAGAACTCCATAGTTTTGTTAAATGCCCTGCTTTTGTACATTGAAGATCTCGAAGCAAGGATAATCATCACTGTTATATCTTACTCCCTCAGTGTTGAAGTGATCCGTTTGGGCCAAAGCTACTTCATCAACTGGGACTTGCAAATGTATTACCCAGAGAAGGATACAGCGGCAAGAGCCAGGACAACTACTTTGAATGAACAGCTTGGACAGATCCACTACATCTTCTCAGATAAGACGGGCACACTGACGCAGAACATAATGGCATTCAAAAAGTGTTGCATAAATGGACAGTCCTATGGTAAGTCTAAGCATCACTGGAGTTTCCCAAAGAAATTGGTTGGATGCCACGGAAATATTAGCAGGAGGAAGTGCTCCTTCACTTACTATCAAAAATTATAGAATTCACCACTGCAGAATATTGTTCCGTATCCTATGTTTGCCATACTTGGAGGCAAACACATTGAAATTAGTGGGCGCTACTAACTTAAGTGTATTTATTTAACGATTTGTTTATTGCTTAACCGTGAACAAAACCTCTAAGTGGTTTGCCAAAAACGCAGAATAAATGCTAACATTTTCCATAAGAACAAATGTTAAAAACAAGTTTATTTTAAAAATCAGAATAAATAAAATAACCATTTAATTTTAGTTTACGGTGTAAACTTTTAAATGTTAAAATGCACATCAGCTTTACATGCCTGGGTGCATTTGTCAAAGCAGAAAAGCTGTCAACAGGCATGGAAGATATCAATGGGCAGAGAGTTCCATAGGAGCTGTCTCATGAAAAAAAAATGGCTCTTTGCGAGGTGCTTTAATTTCAGTTCATCTCCTCTGAGTAGCATTTAGTTGGATGCAAACCATGGTGATGGCCACCAGCTTTTAGATGGCTTTAAGAGATGATTAAACAAATAAATAGAGGCTGAGCCGACCAATATCATTGAGCACTGTGGCTAATCAAACATTCACATGCCAGGACTGTGGAAAAGCAGATCCTGGGAACAGGGAACCACCTGTTCTCTTCGTTTGCTGCTTGTATGTTTCTTTACAGACACTGGCAGACTCCTGAAAACAAATTTTGGTTGTATCAAATTTTGATATTTATATATATCTATTTTCCTTGCAGGAACGTGCAGGGATAAAACAGGCCAAGAACTGCATCATCCTGAGGTAGGTGACTTTCAGTAGCAAGCAATACATCCCTAAAAAGAGGCAGAGATATGACCCTTGGCCAACTCCAAAGATAACTTTCTCTGAGGCTCCACCCCCATCGTTCTGCCCGGACACTGAGGTCCAGCACTGTGGGCCTTCTGGTGGTTCCCTCACTGCGAGAAGTGAGGTTGCAGGGAACCAGGCAGAGGGCCTTCTTGGTAGTGGCACCTGCCCTGTGGAACGCCCTCTCATCAGATGTCAAAGAAATAAACAACTACCTGACATTTAGAAGACATCTGAAGGCAGCCCTGTTTAGGGAAGTTTTTAATGACTAATGTTTTAATGTATTTTTAATCTCTTGTTGGAAGCTGCCCAGAGTGGCTGGGGAAACCCAGCCAGATGGGCGGGGTATAAGAAATTATTATTATTATTATTAACCTCAGATGGCCAGCCTGTGACATAGATGCCAGAAGCATCAAAGGAAGCAGGAGTTTGTGAAACACCTGGGAGGTAGTTGGAGGGTCAGTGAGGCTGGCTACACAGCTCTTACTGTCAGAAAGTTTTTCCAATTTTTTTTTTTATGTTTTATGGGGTACAGTTGGACTTACACCTGCTTCTCTACTGCTGACCTTTCTCAGTAAAGGTTAAGCTGCCCCAACTGTCCCAGGATGTGGCCTACATACTGTTTATACTTTGAACTGGTTGTGCATTGTCTGAAAGATAGACTGTGTGCACTAACACATTATTCACATTCCCTTCTTGTGTAGCAAGTTGACTTCAGCTGGAATATGTATGCAGATGGGAAGCTCACCTTTCATGATCAGTATCTGATCGAACAAATTCGGTCTGGCAAGGAACCTGAAATTCGACAGTTCTTCTTCCTGCTTGCAATTTGCCACACAGTGATGGTGGATGCCTCTGATGGTAAGTACTGCATCCACAAAGAATCCTCATTTTATATACACTGAGCTGACCCAATATTCATTGAAATGGAATGTTTATAAGACAGCCTAGTTTAGAATTCTACATCTATACAGCAAAAGCTGCACTTTCGTGCATCAGGTGTTACTACGAAATTGCAAACTGCTGGCAAATACACGTACTAATGATGTTGCCAAGAAGCCCCTCAAGGCTTTTCATCATCCCTAATATCATAACAGTCCCCTCTCCACACTCTAGTGAGGTTATATTTCGACTTAATGAGAGCCAGCGTGGTGTAGTGGTTAAGAGCGGTAGTCTCGTAATCTGGGGAACCGGGTTCGCGTCTCCGCTCCTCCACATGCAGCTGCTGGGTGACCTTGGGCCAGTCACACTTCTCTGAAGTCTCTCAGCCCCACTCACCTCACGGAGTGTTTGTTGTGGGGGAGGAAGGGAAAGGAGAATGTTAGCCGCTTTGAGACTCATTCGGGTAGTGATAAAGCGGGATATCAAATCCAAACTCTTCTTAATAAACTGGCATGTGAATGAGTCTTGCACCTGCACACATCCTGCTTCCTCCCTCCTTTCTTGGAACAATTAATCCTGGAGGCCTAGAATTAACCAGAGTTTGCTGTTCCGTCTGAACTGGGAAACAATGGTTACCAGACTAAGGGAAAAGCCTTATGCCAACCCCACAAAAATGGTTCAAGGTCTGGCATATTCTGCGCCTGCTAACCGAAGTGTACAGGTTCAGATGTAGTGGGAAACTGATTAATTGAGAACTTCCAGGGTTATTGCAGCATGTCAGGAAAGGAGGGGCTGGTGTGAGAACAGAACACATGGGCAAGAGACTCACGCATATATTAACTCACGCAATTCTCCCATCTATGAAAGTTTTCTAATTTTTTGTCTTAATACTCTAGGTGAGCTCAGCTATCAGGCGGCCTCCCCTGACGAAGGAGCATTGGTAACTGCAGCCAGAAACTTTGGTTTTGCTTTCCTTTCACGGACACAGAATACTATTACAATAAGTGAGATGGGAACTGTGAAAACTTATGAAGTTCTTGCCATTTTGGACTTCAACAGCGATAGAAAGAGGATGTCCGTTATCAGTGAGTAAGCTGCAAAAAAGAAAGAAAGAAAAAGGTTCATAAATCCTAAAACCATGTGCTAGAAGGTCTCTCTGCTGGAGGTGGAAAAACACATCAACTGTGCTCTCCGCCCTTTTTTTAAAGGAGCAATAACGAAAGAATTAATGAAACCTCCTTACATAAATAATTTGTATACTTCCAGCATAGCAGCAGACCAGCCCATCATCTTAGCTTTACAGCACTGATGCCCTTCAGACTCCAGTCTTCAAACCAATTTCCCACAAGTTTTCCCAATACAGTCCTCCTCCTCTCGTTTTAGTCTAAGCATGGAGGCAATTTGGGAAAGGGCCATAGCTCAGTGGTGAGGCATCTGCTTTGCATGCAGAAAGTCCCAGGTTCAGTCCTCAGCATCTCTAGGTAGGGCTAGGAGAAACCCCCATCCGAAATCCTGCAGAGGGACTCAGTATGATCTGATTCCTTAGGAAGCACTTCCCTGTGTTCCTTAAAGGGTCCAGCATAGGCCACATGAAGGGGGAATGCATTTTTCCTATAACACTGTGTTTCTAATCCATCTGTTGCTTTTGTAGCAAGAGAACCAGATGGCGCAATCAAGCTTTATTGTAAAGGAGCGGATACAGTGATATATGAACGGCTGCATCCAAGGAATCCTACGAAGCATGCAACACAGGAAGCATTGGATGTAAGTTGGGTTCCGTATGTTTCTGTTTTGCTTTGTTTGCCATGTTCCTTTCCTTTCCTTTCCTTTTCGTATTCCATAAAGTTCAAACACTGCTGGAGTCAGGAATAGGTTGGCAATTATAGAATTAAATTTTTTAAATTAATTTTTCATTTATGACTATCCAGTGCAGGCCACATTAACACAATACCAAATCATCACAAAAGAGCCAATTAATCAGTTCTGAATTAAACATTTTTGGATGGCTTCCCGTGTTCTGGCTATCAGGAGTTGATGTCATTCCTTGGTCCTGCACCAGTTCTCTTAAGCAGTCCAAGTTCCACAATTCCGATCTTAATCCTTTAGTTTTGCAGCCACTGATGTAATGACTTTCGATCGTATTTAGTGAAGGAATAGGTCTGCAATTGTAGAAGAGCATGAGAAGAGCTCTGCTGGATCAGGCCCGTGGCACACCTGATCCAGCATTCTGTTCTCATAGCGGCCAGCCGGATGCATGTGGGAAGCCCGCAAGCAGGACTGTCCTGCTGTTTCCAACAACTGGCATTCAGAAGCATTTCTGCCTCCAGCCAGCCATGCAGGCAGAGCATAGCCATTGTGGCTGGAAACCTTATCATCCAGGAGTGTGGATTAGGTGACAGTTATAGGTGTGACCCTCCAGATGTTGTTGAACTCCAATCCCCATCAGTCCTAGCCACCATGGCCAATGGTTGGGGATGATGGGAGCTGTAGTCTAACACCATCTGGTAGAAACAAATGCTGACCACCCCCCAAAAATTGGCGGACTTGCTGCATTTGTTTCTACTTAGATTTCTCTGCATCTCTTTCAGTTATTCCAAAATGCCTTCCATTTTATTCACAATCCCTGCTTGGCAGAGTGATACCTGTCAATCTGTTTTTGTCACAGAGAGCTTTCTCAGATCATAGAATTGCAGGGTTGGAATGCAAATTCAGGACTCTCAACTAAAGCATCCTCGACAGATGGCCGTCCAACCTCGACTTTTAAAAACTGAGACATTCTTGTTCCTTCCCCCTGGTAGATCTTTGCAAATGAAACCCTAAGAACGTTGTGCCTTTGCTACAAGGACATTAGCGAAGAGGAGTACGAGGCGTGGAATAAAAAATTCATGGCTGCTAGTGTTGCTACAAGAAACCGTGATGAAGCTCTGGACAAGGTGTATGAAGAAATTGAAAGAAATCTAATTGTAAGTCTATTGGGAGTGGCTGGGGAAGGGAGCTTTTGCTGTCTGCTTCCACACTTGACCTTGCAATACTTCCTAGGAGGCTGTCAACTCAAACAGCATTTTCTTAAATGCACACGTGTTTTTCTGGGCCCCTCTCTCTTCACTGCTTGGATGGCTACACGTTTATTTTCCTTTGGCACCCACATACATGCATCCTGACGCCTGAACAACTTCTCTGCAGTAGAGGAGCAATGGATCCAAACTACAAGAAAGAAGATTCCACTTAAACATTAGGAAGAACTTCCTGACAGTAAGAGCTGTTCGACAGTGGAATTTGCTGCCAAGGAGTGTGGTGGAGTCTCCTTCTTTGGAGGTCTTTAAGCAGAGGCTTGACAACCATATGTCAGGAGTGCTCTTGGCAGGGGGTTGGACTCGATGGCCCTTGTGGTCTCTTCCAACTCTATGATTCTATGATTCTAGGCTGCTTTGGCATACTAAAAGTTGTTGTAAGTTGCTTTAGGATGATCTTTTCCATGTGGAGATCATGGGATTGTAGAGTTGGAAGGGGCCACAAGGAGCATCTAGTCCAACCCCCTGCAGTCAGGAATCTTTCACCCAAGTGGGGCTTGAACCCACGACCCTCAGATTTAGAGTCTCATGCTCTGCCGGCTGAGCTATCCAGCCTCCTATGTCTGGGTAGGGAAACCTCTGGCTTTTGAATGTAACCTGATAGATTCTGTTAGTCATTTCTAGCATAGCTACACCATACATTTAAAACACATCCATCATGCGGCTTCACCCAAAGAATCCTGGGAAGTGTAGTTTAAGGATGCTGGGAATTGTAGCCCAGTGGAGGGGGGGAAGCTACAGTTCCCAGGATGCTTGGGTGGTGAGGAGTCATAGGCTTCAGATCTGACAACGGCCATACTAAAAATGCTTGTTCTTTAAATAACCGGCAGCTCTTAGGTGCCACAGCAATTGAAGACAAGTTGCAGGATGGAGTTCCAGAAACAATATCCAAACTGGCGAAGGCAGATATTAAGATATGGGTGCTGACAGGCGACAAGAAAGGTAATGTGTATATAAATAGCTGCTTCTTATTTACCCAAGGGGTGCGAATGCAAAGCGAATAGCTCTGTTCCAGGGCTTTTTCCTTGTGGTTTGAATTGCTGTCGTAAGTGCAGTGCCGGCATATGCTTGTGAAAAGTCAGGTGAGCTAACAGATCATGACACGGCATTTTGTTGTTCTGTTGCAGAAACTGCAGAAAACATCGGGTTTTCCTGTGAACTCTTAACGGATGAAACAACTATCCACTATGGAGAAGACATCAGGTAAACAGGAAGAAAAACCCTGGGGTTTTCTTTTGCATGCAAGGGATCTCTACTGAATGGAGTCACAGTGTAGGCTGGTCCATTAGGACAAATAGAGCATGTTATGTACTGAAGATCTCACCCTGGGCCAGCAGGGGGATACTGTAGATAGTTCAGGTCCACATATGCAAATAAGGGATCGAAGTGACGTTCAGTGATTGGATAGTTACAGAAAATGGTTACTGTTGCGTTCCAGTGGAGCTCTATATAAGCAGGCTGGCCAAACCCTTCAGTTCAGTTCTGTTCTGGCCTGTGAATAAACAAGACCTGTTTAAAGAATTGCTGTGTCGTCTGATATGTTCACCCGCAACTTAACAGAGCACAGGAACCATCATCCTCATTGGCCTAAATCTACCTCACAAGGCAGTTGTGAGGACAAAATAGGATAACTATTTTTCCTGAAGCCGGGTGCCATCATTATATAACTTTAGGCACCAGACAAAAACTTTCCTCTGTAACTGGGCCTTTGGCCTTTAACTATCTGTGGCCTTTGAGAAGCGAGTGGGATGTTTTTTTAATGCATTTCCTTTTCGTCTTAATGTATGTATGGGGTCGGGAGTTTTCTTGTCTGTATGTTTTGTTGTAAGTTGCTTTGAAATGCCCTGGGCAAGATAAAGCAACTAACAAATTTAATAAATAATAATAGCAACAACTCTTACACACACCTCCTGTTAGCTTTTAGGAGGAAAGGTGGAATATAAAAAATTTGGGGACTGGATGAATGAGAGAAATAGTACTTTAGGTTGATGTAGTAACCTGTACTTAGGAGGATAATTCTAAGGGTTTGTTAAGGACTGGTGCCACTAACTTGGACAGCTGTTGATCTGTAAAACAGTGGTGACGAACTGTTTTTCTGGCTACTTGTGCTACAAGTCCAGTACAGAATATTACAGTGCACAAAAAGTTATCTGAGCCTGGAGACAGTTTTACCCTCCTTCTTCTAACTGCTGTCCCCACCCTCCCACTCAATGTGACACATACATGGGAACCCCAGTTATAGGGAAAACATTCGGTGAATTACAGGTGGAGAGAAGTTTGTGGAGGGGATGGTTAAGCCTCCCCTCTCACCTGTAGCTTCTCTGCTTTTACCTGCCACTGAGTCAGAAAAAGAATGACTCAGGTTTGTAGACTCACCTTTGCTACAGGGGTTTAGTTCCTGGTGAAATACCTAGGATTTCTTGTTAGGGTAAGATTAAGGAATTTCACAATCAAGACTAAGAGGTTTCAGAAGCCTTGTAGCTTTTCCAGCTGCACTGGCCCCCGGTGGAGTACAGGGTCAGATTTAAGGTGCTGGTTTTGACCTTTAAAGACCTCCACGGCCTAGGACCCTTGTACCTACGGGACCGCCTCTCCCGGTATGCCCCACGGAGAGCCTCAAGGTCCATAAATAGCAACACCCTAGTGGTCCCGGGCCCTAAGGAAGTTAGATTAGCTTCAACCAGAGCCAGGGCCTTTTCAACTCTGGCTCCGGCCTGGTGGAACGCTCTGCCTCATGAGACCAGGGCCCTGCAGGATCTGATTTCTTTCCGCAGGGCCTGTAAGACAGAGTTGTTCCGCCTGACCTTTGGCTTGGAGCCAATTTGATTCCCTCCCCCTCTTTCTTTCCCTTTCTCCTCCTGCGATGAGGTTTCAATATTTTAATGTTGTATTTTAATGTTGTTTTTAAGTTGTATTCATTCAATTTGTTTTTATTATTGCTTGTTAGCCGCCCTGAGCCCGGCCTTGGCTGGGGAGGGCGGGGTATAAATAATATTATTATTATTATTATTATTATTATTATTATTATTATCAGTGTAATATGCCGAGGTTCTAGAAGACTTTGGAGCAAATGCCACTAAGACCAACTTAAAATATGCTGTAGGTTTTGTACACCATTCAATTGCAAAGTGGCCTTTCTTGCTAAATCCTAGTGGCATTTTCTTGGACATCTTGAATTGTTACACCCATCGTGGTTAAATAGTAAGATTTTGCTTTTGCCTCTACACCTATTTAGTGCTCTTCTGCAGACAAGGTTGGAAAACCAGAGGAACGTAGTCGGATCAAACACGAATTCATCCCAAAGAAGCAACGATCCCTTTTTTGAGTCGGGTAGAAACCGTGCCCTAATTATCACTGGCTCATGGCTGGTAAGTATGGATTAGAGGTGCACTGATTACTTTGATGTAAGAGTTTTCCATACCCAAACAGCGGAAAATAAAATGCTAAGAATTTAGCGAATCAAGGCAGGTAAGCACATGGTCTTGCAAAGCCACCAACATCCATATGGAACTAAAACTGTCTTCATATTCAGGAAATTGGAGAATATTCATAAAGTTACTCCTTTTTTAATGGGTCAAAGCTTTTTGCCTTTCATGCTTCCTGTGGAGTCATGGAGTTAGAATATTTGCTTTCTGTTTATCTAGCTTGTTTACCTAGCTCAGTGAGATATTTGGCCATTTGAATAAGTGTAACAGGTGTACAGGATCAGATCAATCATCCTTTGGGACATACACACATACCACTGACAGCAGGCAGCATTTTCAATAAGGATATTTTACTGTATAAGGTTGTTAATGATTGTGTATTATTAGAAGATATATCTGATGGTGAATGGCATTGCAGAAGGTCTTTGCAACTGATCCACAGAGATGTTTATAAGCCCCTTTCAGACACATCTTGCAGTACAGAATCAATGTGGCTACTAAGCCAAATACTCATAAGCAACCTGAAGGCAATTTTACTGATGATGTATGACTTTAGATGTGTCAAGTCATTGCAAACAAAACAGGTAAAACCTCAACATGCCATTTTTATAGGGGGTGGTGTGCACATGACCCCAGATTCACTTTCTATCTCTTGTGGTGTTTTCAAATTCTAATCAGATTTTGAGTTGCTCTATGCATTTGCTGCCTGTATTTAGACTTCTGAATTACTTTGCAATAATCTTTCAATGACAGTGGATGAAATTTTTCGGACCACTTCAAAGGTCTCCAAGCCTCCCAAATTGCAGTTAAATAGGTCTAGGGACCTTTTGTGGAGGAAGTAAAAGGGATGAGGAGGGGGGAAATGTGAGTTGGTTGATTTCTTAGCTCAAAATAATTAAGAGATGGCAAAGTATATATTCTTGCTGGGACATTAAAAAAAACCTTTTCAGCCTTCCTAATCAGCCTTTACAGGTCGATGACAAGCCTTACAGTATGAGGCTGTATAGAATTCTACATGTGGATTTCTGAAGTTCGGGAGGGGGGAAGCAGTTGCTAAAGAAGAGAAGTGTAGAATTTTTATTTTTAAAAATTGAATATAATTTTTAAATTTAATTTAAAAAGGTTAAATGGTGCTTTTAACTTTTCTTTTTAAAACAACAACGAAACCAAACTCCTCTGCTGTGTTCTAACAAAAAATAACAATCCAGAACTCTTCAGTGCTCTATAGGTAACGTTTATTACAGCCTCTCTTCTTGCAAAGCACATAGACCTAGTCAGACATAAAGGTATTACAGTGGTACCTCGGGTTAAGTACTTAATTCATTCTGGAGGTCCGTTCTTAACCTGAAACTGTTCTTAACCTGAAGCACCACTTTAGGTAATGGGGCCTCCCGCTGCCACTGCGCCGCCAGAGCACAATTTCTGTTCTCATCCTGAAGCAAAGTTCTTAACCCGAGGTACTATTTCTGGGTTAGCAGAGTCTGTAACCTGAAGCATCTGTAACCTGAAGTGTATGTAACCCGAGGTACCACTGTATATAGGAAAGTGTATTGGCACAGCAAAGCATGAATGCAGAGGGCTCTGTGGCTTACTGGTAGACCTGATCTGACTTGCACGGTGGTAAAGGTAAAGGGACCCCTGACCATTAGGTCCAGTCGTATTTGCCTCTTTATTCAGCCCCTACAGACAGCCTGTGCACACTCCTAATTTTTATAGCAACTGGAAGTTTACCGAGAACAATTATTTCTTACAGAATGAAATTCTCCTGGAGAAGAAAAAGAAGAAGAAGAAACTCTTGAAGCTGAAGTTTCCAAGGACAGCAGAAGAAAAGCAAAAGGAGATGGAGAGCAAAAGGAGAGCCGAGCTGGTCAAGGAGCAGCAGCAGCAGAACTTTGTGGACTTAGCTTGCGAGTGCAGCGCAGTGATTTGCTGCAGAGTGACGCCCAAGCAGAAAGCCATGGTGGTTGACCTGGTGAAGAAGTACAAGAAAGCCATAACCTTGGCCATCGGGGATGGTGCTAACGACGTAAATATGATAAAAAGTAAGTGGTGCACGCATTTATTTGTTTTTTGCCAAAACACATTTGTTTATTTAAATGTTTATATGTCTCCTGTTGTGAAAACAACCAAGGCGGGTTACAATAAAGTCCAATAAAAATCCAGTAACAACAGTAAAAGAATACCAGCGGTATTAACAGTCTGTACAAAATGTAACTTTAACAGTTTCCGACAGATGCCTGTCAATCAGTAGCCTGGAAAGGCCACAGTAAACATATGGAACAGGGCTGCACTGGTACAGTTAAGACAGAAAACAGGAAGGCTACCTCACCTCCATTGTTTTTCAATTTAAATTGCTGGGGGTGGGGAGGAATGCACCCAAGTGCATTTGGGCAATGGTATGTCCCATCTTTTATTCTTGCGGTAGTAATGTTTTAATGCTGCAAATTCTTTTTCTTGACCCAGTTTGCCAACCACATTCCTTATTTTCTGGGTCTACTTTTTCCTTTCTACTATTTTTGAGAATTCTGAACTTTTTAGATGACACAGTACAGTGGTACCTTGGGTTACATATGCTTCAGGTTACATACGCTTCAGGTTACAGACTCCGCTAACCCAGAAATAGTACCTCGGGTTAAGAACTTTGCTTCAGGATGAGAACAGAAATCACGCTCTGGCGGCATGGCAGTAGCAGGAGGCCCCATTAGCTAAAGTGGTGCTTCAGGTTAAGAACAGTTTCAGGTTAAGAACAGACCTCTGGAACAAATTAAGTACTTAACCTGAGGTACCACTGTACACTCATGTCAGAATTTAATGTTGGGAAAGCAGGAAATAATGGACGGCCTAGCCTCACATGCAGTGAAAATGTTTGTTTTTAATCTTTGTACACAGCAGGTGAAAATACAGATATGATTGATTTATTAAAATGTGAAGCCTCTATGACGCTTAGACCTGGTTTACATATAATCCTAAGGTAAATAGTTAACGGGATCATCCAGACCCGGGGCTTAACAAAGGTTTATTCACCACAAACAAGCCACACTCTTAACCCGTGGTTTGTTGTTAGTTGATAAAGCTTGGTTAATGTTAATCATTGGCTAGCATTATGTGCAAACCTGGCCCTCAACTCCCTCCCTCCCTTGGTGACTGCTTTTTGTGGAAGGAACTCTCAACTGTGTGTTTTCATTGTTGTTGTTCTAGCGGCCCATATTGGTGTTGGCATAAGTGGACAAGAAGGGATGCAAGCAGTCATGTCCAGCGACTACTCTTTTGGCCAGTTCAGATTCCTCCAAAGGTTGTTGCTTGTTCACGGCCGATGGTCGTACATAAGGATGTGCAAGTTCCTTCGGTACTTCTTCTACAAAAACTTTGCATTTACGTTAGTCCACTTTTGGTACTCCTTCTTCAATGGCTATTCTGCCCAGGTAAGAGAGAGAAGGGGCGGGGGGGGGCACGTAAATGTCCAAGTTAGCTCATAGTCTAAGAAGCAGGAACATCAGTACCAAATAATATTCATGAAGTTTTACTCCAAAGTGAATTTTCTAGAATTGTGCTGAAGATTTAAGTGCTGTTCCAGTCAAAACAGTTCCTGGTGACCTAATTTATTGTCAAAACAAAATTAAAAAAAATTCCTTCCAGTAGCACCTTAGAGACCAACTAAGTTTGTTATTGGTATGAGCTTTCGTGTACATGCACACTTCTTCAGATACTTCGTGTGTATCTGAAGAAGTGTGCATGCACACGAAAGCTCATACCAATAACAAACTTAGCTGGTCTCTAAGGTGCTACTGGAAGGAATTTTTTTATTTTGTTTCGACTACGGCAGACCAACACGGCTACCTACTTGTAACTAATTTATTGTGTTATGAAGAGAGCCTACAATTGGAACTGTGTAACTTTTCAACAACTGAGAACTGCAAGAGAAAAATAAGATTTGCAGTTAATTCTGTTTGTGGATGCCTGTTCTTTCAAGTCTAGTTACAATCTCTTGACTGACTCTCTCTCTCTCTTTACATGGGAGATAGAAAAATGATGTAACCAAATTATTATTATATTGTTTATTGCAGACAGCTTATGAAGATTGGTTTATCACTCTCTACAATGTATTATATTCCAGCCTGCCAGTTCTCCTCGTTGGGTTGCTTGACCAGGTATGCCAACAAAGTCAGAATTTATTTCTTTTAAAAGCAGTTCAGACTTTGGGATGCCATGGAAACAGCTGACCTGAATCCTCTGTGTTAGTGACCTCCATCCTGCTCAAAAGCACTTACCTGTGGTTGGCTCTATTGGTATACTGTAGAACTAGGAGCACAAATCCTGTAGCTACCTCCCACATCAAGGCCACACCTTCAGACCTGCCGATTCTATCATAGGAAAAACCCATGTGACTCTAGGTGAGGTTGGGTGTTCAGTGAATGGACTCTTGTATAACCAGCCTCCAGAGTCCTCTTCCTCTTTGAATGAGGTTGTTGCTGGCATTCATCAGTCTTGAGAGACAATGGAGCGTGCCTCTGGGGGTGAGGCAAAACCCTGCAAAAATGCCTGTGTTTCAAGACTTATCAGGGAGCTATATAAAAGCCCTGTGCCTGTAAAGTCTTAGTGTCTTACGTTAGGCACCAGGTTGCTTTTGAGCAACCTTGGAGATCCCATCATATATTACATGCTGAGGAGGCTGCAGAAGCAGAACCATACTGCTGACATCCCCCTTAGTGCTGAGCATGCCACTGGGCCCACCTTCTAGACATCCGTGCATTGGTGTGGATGTCCACAGTGAGGAAGTGTTTGCATAAGCAGCATAAGGGAAGACCTGGGCATTTTCTGGTACCATAGTGCAGGTATATGCAGAGCAAATCAAATCAAATCAAATCAAATGAAATATCTTTAATACGGTCAATGACCAGCAAGAGTATATGCAGAGCTTTTGTTGAGCAGTATGGAAATAAGGGTGTAACCTTCCACTGGTCAAAGCAGAAACGTAAGTCCTTATTTATATTGAAATACCTGCAAATATTGACCCAGTTTGCTTAGTGGGTTCTCAGAGATAAGATTGTGGCTGCTTTGCTCTTCCTCCTCCAATCTTGCTGCTGTTGTGATTGGGTTTATGATTGGGTCAGCAAACTTTTTCAGCAGGGGGCCGGTCCACTGTCCCTCAGACCTTGTGGGGGGGCCGGACTATATTTTTTGGGGGGGAGGGAATGAATGAATCCCCAAGCCCCACAAATAACCCAGAGATGCATTTTAAATAAAAGGACACATTCTACTCATGTAAAAACACGCTGATTCCCGGACCGTCCGCAGGCCATATTTTGAAGGCGTTTGGGCCTGATCTGGCCCCTGGGCCTTAGTTTGCCTACCCATGGTTTAGTGTGTCATCTGAACCAGGGGTGGTGGTTTGTTGTGTTCCAGACAAGACAAAGCTGTAAATGAAGGCTTGTTCTTGGGTTTCAGTTTGTGGTTTGTCCAGAGGAGACAAATCATGAGCATCGGGTGAGATGAAACACTAAGCCAAATCATGGTTTTGCTTATGTGCAGTGCAGCAGGACCAGAGGAGAAGCAAAGAGGCCACAATTGCCTCTCTGGGAGCTCACATGCTCACATGTTCATAGTGTTACATGCAAACTGGGCCATTTTTTACTGGGGACCAATTTTTCTCACTGTTTCTGTAATTGAGATATGGCTGCCTTTCTGTTTTGGAATTGAATGTTTCTGATTAATATTACAGAGTAGTTGTGGGTGTGTGTGCATATTTTATAGTTACCTTTCAAGATAAAAAAACAAAAATTGCTGTAGTAATAAAATTGCAATGATTTCTTTAAGGACGTGAGTGACAAGCTGAGCATACGTTTTCCTGCCTTGTACGTATCGGGACAGAGAGATTTGCTTTTCAACTACAGGAAGTTCTTTGAAAGCCTCCTGCACGGTGCTCTATCATCACTGATTATTTTCTTCATACCGTACGGTGCTTACCTACAAACCATGGGGCAAGATGGAGAAGCACCCTCAGATTACCAGTCCTTTGCTGTCACAGCGGCGTCCTCTCTCATAATCGCAGTCAACTTTCAGGCAAGTAGATGAATCTCATATAGCTCTTCTGATGTACACAAAACACATCAGTGAAATGGGCAGCTTGGTAATCAAACTCTCTCTGATGCTGTGAACACAGAGATTTATGGCCAGACATTGTGTGTGCGGGTGGGAGATTGAGAAACTGAACGACCATTTCTCAGTCCTGCAGACCTGGAAAAGTTTTATGCGATATGAGACTGGGTGTGAGGAGGGCTGAGAGAGAGACCCTGTCTGCACTATACATTTAAAGCAGTATTATACCACTTTAAACTGTCCTGGCTTATCCCCGCCCCCACCAAGAATCGTGGGAACTGTAGCTTGTTGAGAGCTGTTAGGACAGTGGTGTCCAAACTTCTTTCAAAGAGGGCCAGATTTGATGAAATGAAGGGCCGTGAAGGCTGACCAAAGGGCCAACCGGCCAATCAAAGTTGTTGAGCTTTTTTAATTAGGATTTTACCCCAGTAAATAAACTGCCACAGGGGCCGGATTAAACTGACCGGTGGGCCGGATTAAGCCCCCAATACAGACTTTGGACATACCTGTGTTAGGAGAACTCTATTCCCTTCACAGAGCTACAAATCCCAGAGTGGTTTAAGAATCAATCCCTCTTCATAGTTGTCACTCTGGGAACTGTAGCGCTGTGAGGGGAATAGGAATCTGACAACTCTCAGCAGCCTCAATAAACTACAGTTCTTTGAAAGAAGCCCATGACTCTTTCAGGGGGCATGATGCTGCTTTAAATGTATGGTGCAGATGGAGCCCAGAGTGTTGCTACGGCTCTGTCTTGTAGCAACTCTGCCCTTCATCTAACCCTCACATCTGTGCATCTTAACCACTGGAACTCTTGCAAGAGGAGCAGGAAACCTGCAGGAAACCCGTGTGGCCTCTATCACCAGAAGTAGCATCTGGCAAGAGTGCAAATGTGCCGAGTGATTTGGGCTTTTTGCAGTTGTTCCTTATTTTTCTTACAATCCTGCCCTTCCTCTCGTGAGAGACCAGAACACAGCTTTTACAACAATCATAAAAACCCAAAGTAAAATCACAACCCACAACGTAAGCAAGTTATGCAGGTCAAAGCCGATTCCACAGTGTTCCAAAGGCTACAGGAATGAGGAGCTTTTTAGCTGATACTCCTATGTGCAAACAATGCATGGACGATAGCCGGATTTTTGTAAGCAGGGAGTTTCATGATAACTCTTTCGTGCTGTCTTCTGAGCACAAGCAACTCCTGCTTCTCTTTGAAGCAAACCCAGAAATATTTAAAGCAGGAGAGGCGAAATGTTGGCTGTGGGAAATGGTATGAGGGAAAGGAAATGAGAGAGAGAGAGAGAGAGAGAGAGAGAGAGAGAGAGAGAGAGAAATTGCTCTTGCAGTAGACCAGGAGGGCTGAGGGATGGCTCCCTGCTCTGTCCACTTGAACATGCGATTCCTAAGAAAGTCAAGCTGAAGAACAGCTTGGGCATAGCTGGGAGAAAGTAGCAAATGGAGGTGCCGGTCTCCTTTGTCCTCCCCTCCCTTGTGTTCATCTTGCCCATTGAGAGCCAGTGTGGTGTAGTGGTTAAGAGCGGTAGTCTCGTAATCTGGGGAACCGGGTTCGCGTCTCCGCTCCTCCACATGCAGCTGCTGGGTGACCTTGGGCCAGTCACACTTCTTTGAAGTCTCTCAGCCCCACTCACCTCACAGAGTGTTTGTTGTGGGGGAGGAAGGGAAAGGAGAATGTTAGCCGCTTTGAGACTCCTTAAAGGGAGTGAAAGGCGGGATATCAAATCCAAACTCTTCTTCTTCTGGACAACTTTCTTCAAGGTTTCGCAGAAACTATTGACACCTCCCACCTGCACTGTGATCTTCCCTCTTTCTAATTTCCACATGTCTGTCTGTTTGCTTCTAGATGGGGCTGGATACATCTTACTGGACGTTTGTGAATGCTTTCTCAATATTTGGGAGTATTGCACTTTACTTCGGAATTATGTTTGATCTACACAGTGCTGGGATCCATGTCCTTTTTCCTGCTGCTTTTCAGTTTACAGGTCAGTACTTAACTAAGTCACCATAGCTGCAGCCACATTAGTGACTACAAATGCCATGTGACACACCCCAAAGAGTCTACACTATCCTGGTGTGCCCTCCATGATGTCGTTGGGACTAAAAATCCCATCATCCCCAGTCATGCTGGCTGGAGCTGATTGGAGTTGAAGTTCAACACCATTTGGCAAAGGCGATCTTAAAAGAGAAACAAGAGTTTACCGTAATTAAAGTTTGGGCCTGGTAAGGCGGGGGCTCCATTTTATTCAATTTCATTGAATTTTATGTATGGCTGAAGCTGTTGAAGTCCAGAAAACTGACAACATATCACAGGCATATTTGAGGCCATGGTTGGTTGGGAACCTAACCCAATGTACACTAGCAACTTTTAATGGGGCTGTTGCTAATAACCACTAATCTTCAAATTTGAGTTCGCATTGGGACATCAAATTTCTGTATCTGTATCTGGTTTCTAATCTGATTTATTGTTTGCATTCATATAAATCATCATAAAAACATCACCATCTTATTTTTATTTAAATTTGTATTCTGCCCTTAACCTGTAGATCACAGGGCGGTTCACAACATAAAAGTAGAAGATAAAAAACACAAAATACAGAATAAAAGCAAGAACGAAAACAAACCAATAACCCCCTCCCTCCCTGCCTTTTCCGTTGCCACCTTTCCACAAAAGCAGTTATCGTCAAAGTGGCTTTAGAGATGGAGCAGGGGCTGGGGACCGCAGAGCTCTGTAGAAGGGCACACATTGCAGAAGACCCCAGGTTAAAGCTCTGGTATCTCAAAGGATCTCAAATAGCAGGGTTGGTAGGTACACCTGCTGGAGACTTAGAAGTGCTGCTGCAAGTCAGACTAGATAGTGTTGGACAAGGTAGATCAGTTTGGGTCTTCAGCTGCTTTTGGACTACAATTCCCATCATCCCTGACCACTGGTCCTGCTAGCTAAGGATCATGGGAGTTGTAGTCCAAAAACAGTTCGAGCCCTAAGTTGGGGAAATCTTGAGGTAGACCAATGGCTTTGCTTGATGCAAGGCAGCTTCATTTATTACACACACACACACACACACACACACACACACACACACACCACTTCAGCCTTCATGAACCTGGTGCCCTCCTGATGCTTTGGGCTAAAATTCCCATCAGCCCTGTGCTGCCTGGAGCCTATGGAATTTGTAGTCCAATGCATCTGGAGGATTGCAGCAAAGAGCCATAGTATTTGGGCCCCAAGAGGCCATGTGAGAAATGCTCTGGAAGTTACTTCTCAAAACATAAACCCATCACCAAAGCCTTTTTTTTAATAATAAAAAAAAGCCAGTAATTCTTACGGTAATAACATTGCAAGCATGTTTGCTTTCTGTGTGATACTATTAGCATGAAGGGGAGCACCACAGCCATAGCTATGTGTGCATTATTCTTTCCTCTCTTTTTCCTCCTACAGGCACTGCTCCAAACGCTCTCCGCCAACCATATCTCTGGTTGACAATAATCCTATCCGTTGCACTTTGCTTGCTGCCGGTGGTCGCTCTCCGTTTCTTGAGCATGACCATTTGGCCTTCGGAAAGCGAGAAGGTACGTATGAGAAATGTAGAGGGCATTAACTTAAAACAGGGCGAGCAGAGCTGAGCTCAACGAGCCCACTGGTCCGTCTCAATGCGAAGTAGCATCTTAGGGTTCCCAGCATCTTCCAGGAGTCCACAGGACTTCACTTAACCTTCTGTCCGTAGCAAGCGAGTCTGCTTCCTTGCCTCGTCGTTAACCTTTCGTGCAACTTTCTCCTTTAAAAGGTCCAGAAGAATCGCAAGAAGTTCAAGGCCGAAGAGGAAAAGTGGAAGCGGAGGCAAAGCGTCTTCCGCCGCGGGATCTCTGGCCGCCGTTCTGCTTATGCCTTCTCCCACCAGCGGGGTTACGCTGACCTCATAGCTTCCGGGCGGATCATTCGTAAAAGGAGAGCTTCGTTAACCGCAGTCCTTGGCAACAATTTATCAGAAGTCAGGCAAGCTGAAGAAGCCAGCTGATGATTTTCTGTGTCCTACAGGAAGTGGATTCCCCCCCCCCCTTTTGAAAAACAATTGCACAAAGTTTTTATTTTTTTATGAAAAACTCAGGATTCTTTTTTCTTTTTTGGGGAAAAAAATTCAAGATTATGAAGACAGCCTGATTTCCTCCTCAAGCTACTTCGTTTGAGATAACTGAACTGAAGAACTGAGCAGTGTTTTCAGATCTTGATCCTTGTATATTTTGTTTCATGTGAAATTGAAGGATATAAATCTATGGGCTTAAAGACCAACAATTGCAATGGTTGTTCTTTTAAAATGATACTTAGAACTTCATGTTTCTTTTTTTAAAATGCAACCATGAAAATACAGTTTCAACTGATGTTTCGTGCCTCAACACCAAAGATGGACTTAGCTGAGAAGCAAAATGGTTCTGTTTGCCACTTCATTCCACTAACTCAGCTATGATTATTATTTTTAGCTAACCAAAGATGTCCTCTTTTTCTTTTAAGACAAGAGAGGTGCAGTTTTACTTTGCAAGCATTCGGAACCATTATTCACCGATCGATTGGGTATTGTGGTCCAAGGCAGCATGCTTTTAATAATTTTCAGGGATTTGGGTAGGGAAAGTTCAGTATATGCAAAGCATCTTAATCAGGTTAGCCTCTTAATCTGGCATTGGGGATAGGGAGTCTGTGGCTGTGTGCATGTTGTTCAGACTCCAACGCCCATGAGCCACAGCCACAATGGCCAATAGTCAGGGGTGATGGGAGTTGTAGTTCAGTGGCATCTGGGAAGTACAAGTTCCCTATCTCTGTTCTAGGTCTGGTTCAAGAGGCATAGCTAGTTTGCAACATTCACTCAACCGGGCTTTCTTGGGGGATACTCTACTGAAATCACTATCTATTGTTCACCAGCAGGACTTGGTGAATTGAATCTCTTTTCTGGTATATTGTTTTATACCACTGCCTTTACTCTTTTTAAAAGTCTCTGTGTTCTTTGTATCTTGTTTTGCGAAGAAAGGGAAGAGATATCAAACCAGTGAAGGGTGTATTATTGGCATACTTCCTTGATTTTCTACCTGCTTAACCTTTATGCAAGGTAGATGTCAATGATTCTCACATTATGGGAATTGTTTCCACGTAGAACAGGTGTGAGGAACTTTTGGCCCTCCGGATGTTGCTGAACTACAACTCCCATCACCCCTAGCCATTGATTTTTGCTGGGTGTGATGGGAATTGTAGTTCCCCACACCTGATGCAGAACATGTGGACACCATTGTACTTAAAAGGCACATGCGTTGTCTATTTTACTAGACATGTATATGTGGCTAAAACCAGGTGTGCATGGGTTCTTCACACATGATAATGTGCACGCTTAAGTGAGACCCATGTTACAAGTCCTGGGTGAAACAGACTAAACTGAATAAAATGTTTTTTGTTCACTGGGTGATGGTTCAAAGCACAAACTGGAACAAGAGAACTGATCACATCAAGGATGACTCCTTTTCACTATGTTTTAATAGTAAAAAAAATGTTTGAGATTTTTAGTGTACAGATCTTCAGAGGGTTTTTGTATTGGGACATATAAATGGTTTACATTTCAAAAATTTCAGCATACACCAATGTGTCTTGTTAAATATTCACTATATAGTTCCACTTTTTTTTTTTTTTTGCAAACCATGCAGTCTAAAATCATCCTTTAGGAGCATGGAATTCATACATTTCTTCATTATTATTGTTATTTAATGTGCAAACGTTTACAGCTTTTTCTTTTCATTAGGTGGGAGAAGATTGTCTTTAGTTTCCTAGCTTGATTTCTCTCCATCCAAAGATGAGGAGGTGGCGAGCCACACGTTTCAAGCTCCTAATCTGGGTGCAATATTAATTTTAACGTGCTGGTAGAGATAGGTATGCCATACACTTGTATCCAAACCATAAATTGTAAATATTTTTATTTGCTTAAAGATAATGTACATATTTAACAGGCCTTAATTTTTAATGCTTTTGACTGAAGTGAAAGAAGTGTTTTCACTGGTCCGGAATATTTTTATTAAACTATACTTCAAATACATATTTGTATATTCATATAGTGTTCAGTGACTTTTGTGAGAGTGCAACTGTTACTTTATTTGCTATGTTTATGTTCCCCCTTTCCATCAAGTAACTCAGGAGTGGCATACACAGTTCTCCCCATCTGTCAGGAACAGGCAGAAGTCCAAAGGAGGCAGGGGGCAGGAGGACAAACCAAGAGAAGGGGATTCTGTGAGGCAGGGAAAAGAGGAAGAGTCTGGGCAGTCAGATGGAATAAATTGTTGCAGGAAGGCACAGAGGTAAAGAGACAGCCCCAGAGAGTGTCAGTGTCATGCAATGATTGAACAAAGAGAGGAACCAGCTGGGGAATCACCAAGGGAAACAGGCTCAAAACCTGAGAAGTGGTGGTGGGATGGCGATGGGGGTCAAAGGGAGAAAAGACTGGGAGGAGGTGTTGGAAGCTGAAGAGGTAACTGTCGGAGCCTCCGTACGACCGAGCTGTAATGGCTACTCCTCCGGCCGTATTTTCAGAACCCCATCTAGGCTCTCCTCCGACGGTGATTAATGACCTAAGCCTTTGAATGAGACTTCAGGCACGCTCTCCATTCACAGAGTACTCAGACAGCAGCAGCAGGAGCCAGAAATATGTGCTACATTGCTAATTTACAGTGGTACCTCGGGTTACATACGCTTCAGGTTACACACTCTGCTAACCCAGAAATAGTGGTTCAGGTTAAGATCTTTGCTTCAGGATCAGAACAGAAATCGGGCTCCGAAAGCACAGTGGCAGCAGGAGGCCCTATTAGCTAAAGTGGTGCTTCAGGTTAAGAACAGTTTCAGGTTAAGTACGGACCTCCGGAACGAATTAAGTACTTAACCCAAGGTACCAATGTATTTCTAATTATGCAAGACAGAAAGGAATATGCATCTGCTCTCTGTGAGAGACAGAAAACAACAGAACAAAGAAACAGGAAACCAGTAACTTCAGCATCCGTCTCCCATCTCACTTCCAACAGTCTGGAATGTCAACAGAGTCTTGTGACTCCAAGAACTGCACAGTGGCATAACAGAAACCTATCAGTAACATGGCTTAGTGAGCTGGGAGAGTCTGTGGCAGAGAGAAGTCCAGAAGCAGAAGCTGAAGCAGGAGAGAAGGGAGGTCAAGAGGCAGAGATGGGTCAGGCTTGTGAAGAGGTGCAGGTATCTCCCCCTTGTGCTGTGACAAGCTCCCCTCCCTGCTGTTCTCCCAGAACCAGAAGAGGTATGAATCGGGAGGAGCAAAGGCAGACACGCAGGAGCAGTCTCAGATTGCTTGGGGCGGTGGTGGGGAACCCAGAAGAGGCAGAGACATAGGTGACCGTGGGGAGTTGGGGATGTTTATTCTTGGCAACTGTGTCGTGGGGGCAAGACCTGCCGGAGATGAGTTGCTGTGCTCCTTAGGCCTAACACTCCTGTACGGATCCTCTTTTGCTAATAAAGAGTTAACTTGGATTCACTCAGGTGATTTACTGCTGCTGGCTCCTGTCAAAGGGCTTAAAGAGATAGGAGCAGCTGGGGATCCAGTCGCTTGCGTGCACCATCTTTTGCAATTCAAATTTGAATACTCTCTGCAGGGTGCAGCAGTGCAGCGGTAAAACTGCTACCACATTTGCAAAGCTAAGCAGAGTACGGTATGGTTTCAAACTGGATGGGGGACTGTGCGTTTGGGATTCCTGCATTGTAGGGGGTTGAACTATAGATGACCCTCAGGGTCCTTCCAACTCCACAGTTATATGATTCTTCGAGAACACTTGGGCTGGATCTATACATATTTTTATTTTTTTTTAAAGTCACAGAACACGTTAAAAAGGCTCTTAAAGGAAAACCCATTGGTGATGGATGACTGCTCTACAGCACCATCTGGTGTCACATGTTTATAAGGCAGGTATAATGATATACAGTGGTACCTCTGGTTGCGAATGGGATCCGTTCCGGAGGCCCGTTCGCAACATGACAATAGCGCAACTCACAGCAGCGCGTCTGCGCACACGTGGGTTGCAATTCGCCGCTTCTGCGCATGATGTCATTTTGCACCTCTGCGCATGCAGCGAAACCCAGAAGTAACCCTTTCCGGTACTTCCGAGTCGCCGCGGGACATAACCTGAAAGAACGTAACATGAGGTATGACTGTAATTGAAGTCTCACTTGAGTCCTTGCTCTAGCTCAAAAATCTGCTGAAAGTGAAGTTTGACATTTCACCACTAGAGGTCTCCTCACAGACCTGACTTTAGATAGCTAGAATATACAGTGGTACCTCAGGTTAAGTACTTAATTCATTCCGGAGGTCCGTTCTTAACCTGAAACTGTTCTTAACCTGAAGCACCATTTTAGCTAATCGGGCCTCCCACTGCCACTGTGCCGCCGGAGCACGATTTCTGTTCTCATCCTGAAGCAAAGTTCTTAACCCGAGGTACTATTTCTGGGTTAGCAGAGTCTGTAACCTGAAATATCAAAATGTTCAAAAGTAGGGGGTCCATGGTTTGGCTTCTGAAAAACATGGAGCCCGCAGTATTTAATTAGGAACTACTGTGCTAGATGATGCACAAGCATCTTGCTTTCCTTGCTACAGAGGAGTGAAAAATGTGTGTTTAATAAAGTACATATACAGCTTTCCTCCTTAAGATAGACAGCTTTTTTTTAAAGAAAGAACTGCATAAGAGTAGCTAAGCCAGCAGCAAAAAAATTACAAGGAACTTGCAGGGGTTTATTACAACATGAACTTTCATGATTCAAGCATGCAAATTTAAAACAAATATGCACACAAACTCCTGCATACTCTCATATTCTGCAATTTGCAAAACCAGCATAACTCCCATGATCCCTAGCTAGCAGGACTAGTGCTCAGGGATGATGGGAACTGTAGTCCCAAAACATCTGGAGGGCCGAGGTTGAGGAAGCCTGCTTTAGATACCTATTACATCCATAAATTACCATATAGCATATACTGTATATAGCATATATACTGTATTCAACACAAAAAACAGCGACAATTTGCTGTTGATGAAGGACAGCTGGATATATAAAGGGCCCCATTACCTTCAGTAGCTTTAGGGCCTCGTCAAACCTAAACCCGGCCCTGGGAAACACTGTTTTAATATAATATTTTAGCTTCCTGTTCATTACATTTGAACGTATACTTTGACTTTCTCCAGCGACGTTTCACTTCGAATTTAACTGACGCAACCCGTTTCGAATCTTCCCCCCACCCCCTTGAAATTATAAAGCGGTAATAGAAATAAATAATAATAATAATAATAATAATAATCCCCGCATCCTGCTCCCGACGCCGCCGGCTCTCCCCAACTAGGCGCAAGGGGCGCGCAATGGGTGGCCACGTCGGGGCGGAGCGCAAAGCGGAGCAGCAGCTACGGCTGCGGCAGCCGGCCTCGCTTTGCGGCAAGGGCGGGCTTGTGGGCGGGCAGGCCTGATGCAATCTCCCTGCCGGGAAGCGCAATCCCCTTCTTGAAAAGGAAAGGGAAAGAGGCGGCCGCCACCTGTCTGGTTCGAGGGGCGCGCGGCGCTTTACGCAGGAGCAGCGATGTCTCTGGAGATCCTCAAGCAGACGGGCGCGCTGGCCCTGGGTGAGTTTGTGGGGTGTGTGTGTTTGGGTGTGTTTTGGGCAAAGAGAGCCCGGCAGGGAAGCCTTCGGAAAAAAAAGGCCCTGGGATCTGGCAAGGGCAGGCGGAGATCCTGTCTCGTTCATAAGCAATAAGAATAATAATAGAAATTATTCACGTTGGGTGAGATGGCGCAGCTGCGGAAAGGGCCCAGGAACAAAAGATGCGCGTCCTCCTCCTCCTTTTGCCATTGTAGCAACTGCAGCCCTGGCCTCGGATGAATGAGGGGCCCGCCATCTCCACGCGTCGGAACCAGATTTCAAGGCCCCGAGGCGTTTGGCTGCGCGCTCCGTGCGCCCTAGACCTTTCCTTCCCCATCGGCAGCTGTTTAAAAAAAGATCAGCTAGCGGCTGGTGTTAAAGGATTTAAATGGCCACTTATAGATCCGCCCTTCTTCCCCTGCTTTCCTTGGGAAGAGGCGCTGCACGCGATTGTATAGGTTTGCTAGTGCCTCGGGGCAGGGGGCTTTTTCTGTAGTCACCTATTTCCCCTGCCAGCGCTATAGCCACGTCCGCTTTTCCCCCTTGCAACGCAGGAAATCGGTGCAAGGGAGGATGGGCTTCTCATGCCGCTCTTCTGTCTCCTTCCAGCCAGCCTCTTGTCGGGAAAAGCGGCTTGTAGCAATGAGTTAAAGAAATGCAGCTTACCAGAGTCATCCTGGGGGGTTGGAAAGTCGGGGTTCAACCTGCCAGACATGTTCTGGCGTTTGGAAACGGGTCTCCTCCTTCCGTTTTTATTACTCATGTTGGGTGTGCCAAGCGACGTCCAGGCACAAGGAGAAGCTGTATTAGCAGGCTTGGGGGGTGGGAAGGTATTAAATATGAGATATTTAAGAGGAAGGACCCTCGCCATCCCCAAAAAGAGCCTAATAAGGCCTCGGTGTGCAAATGGAGTGTTACTGGGGTGAACGGTGGACAACTGGGAAGGAGGACAATTGTGCAGGGTGGATTTCATTTAATTCAAATCGATTTAAATCACGATTTAAATCACTAGTCAGTAAGACTTGATTTAAATCTTTCTTTCTTTTTTACAGAAAGACTTATTCTTGCTGGTATAATCTTAATATTTACAACCAGAGGAGGGTTTCATTTTTGGCATAATAAATTTTCAGAGTTGTTTTTACAGTTGTATCAAAAATTGCTGATTTGGTTATACAATTAAAAATACATAGACAGATAATTATGAAATTCTTGTGAGGTTTAGTAAGTTAACTGTTTATATTTGGACAACTTCTGCTGTACTTTGTTGGAAGGAGAAAAATAATCATTTCCTTAATAACAATTTAAACAATTTTATTTAACTAAAGCAATAACATTATAGCATATGTATCCATGTTTGTTAACTGATGTGGTTAAACTTTTTTTAAAAAATGAAACAAAAACTTAGACTGAGTTTTAGCACACATGAAAAACTTAAAACAAATCCTTATTTCCCAATGAATAGCTTTTGGACTCTAATGTAACTTAAACAGAAAACTATCTTTAGAAAGATTTTTCCTCCAAAAGCATTTTGTTTTAAAAATCCAATTTAAATAATAAAAAGCATTTTTTTGTTTTTTTAAAAAATCATTGATTTTTATCCACCCTGCAATTGTGTAAGGCAGAGCTTCGCGCTGCCACATTTTGTGGCAGGCCCTCGCTTGTCATTTTTGCAACGAAGTGACTGGCCTTTTAGCCGCCTTGGGGTGACTGACTCCCATTTTCAATCACAAATCCACAGACCACCTGAAGGAAGCTTGTGAGACACAGAATTGGAAGCCCTGCCTTAGGTAATGAGAAGAAAGGTTATATAATCAACTTTCCTCTCCTGCTCTGTAGGTTTGAGGCTGGCAGTGCACCTGGGGGGGAAATAACTCTCCCCTCAACTGGCAGTGCTAAAGGAAGGTTTAGGGTGTGGTAGCAGCACCCCAAATCTGCACTGTGCTCTTGTTGAAAACCTAAAGCATCAGTAGTTGAATTCCAACTCCTATCATCCCTGATTGATGAAAGTCCTGCAAATCTGGAGGACACTATATTGATAGCCGCTGCTCTAAATATATATATATTTTAAACATATATATATATATATATATATATATATATATATTTAAAGAAAAATGAAACAAACTGGTATATATGCATTATTTATTATCATGTCCTGGGCATTCTCCATATCAGTAGAACATGGCTTTTAGTTTAAAGCAGATAACATTAATATTAATTTATTTCTATCCCGCTCCCCGTCCCCCACAAACAGGGGCTCAAGGTGGCTTACAGATAAAATAGGATTAATTGAAAAAAATATAAAAAATTGTCCAGTAGCACCTTAGAGACCAACTAAGTATGTTCTGGGTATAAGCTTTCGTGTGCATGTACACTTCTTCAGATACATGCATGCATACGAAAGCTTATACCCAGAACATACTTAATTGGTCTCTAAGGTGCTACTGGACAATTTTTTTATTTATTTCGACTGCGTCAGACCAACAGGGCTACCTACCTGAATCTAGAAGATAAAATAGGAACAGCTAAAGACATAGAGGTGGAGGGGAAAACAAACAAATCATTAATAGATAATAAAACCGAAACTGTACAGAGTCTTCTTTTTAGAGCCAAAAGGACATTGAAGTCTTTAATACTGGGCTTGATTGGGAAGGATGGTGCCGCAATAGAATAGCTTGATTTTGGCCACAGCTGCCTGGTCTGCCTCACTTGGTGAAGGTCCTTGAAGAAGTTTTGGATGCCTTATTACAGGCGTCAGCAACCTTTTTCAGCCGTCCCTCAGGTCCACTGTCCTTCAGACCATGTGGTGGGACTGAACTATATTTTGAAGAAGAACAAAATGAACGAATTCCTATTCTCCACAAATAACCCAGAGATGCATTTTAAATAAAAGGACACATTCTACTCATGTAAAAACATGCTGATTCCCAGACCGTCTGCAGGCCGGATTGAGAAGGCAATTGGGCCGAATCCGGCCCACAGGCCTTAGGTTACCCAAAGGTAAAGGGACCCCTGACCATTAGGTCCAATCGTGTCTGACTCTGGGGTTGCGGCGCTCATCTCGCTTTATTGGCCGAGGGAGACGGTGTACAGCTTCCGGGTCATGTGGCCAGCATGATTAAGCCGCTTCTGGCGAACCAGAGCAGCGCACGGAAACGCCGTTTACCTTCCCGCCGGAGTGGTACCTATTTATCTGCTTGCACTTTGACGTGCTTTTGAACTGCTAGGTTGGCAGGAGCAGGGACTGAGCAACGGGAACTCACCCCGTCGTGGGGATTCGAACCGCCGACCTTCTGATTGGCAAGCCCTAGGCTCTGTGGTTTAACCCACAGCGCCACCCGCGTCCCTAGGTTACCTACCCCTGCCTTATTATATGCTTCCTCCACACCTACTAACGCCATTCTGTTGTGTATGGGTGGAGCCATTTGGGCTACTTAAGAGTTGTCGCTCAAAGAACGAGTTCATTGGTAGCCATTCCAGAGAGGAGATTAGTACCTTCTCTGCATGTTCTCCTAGCCGAGTCTGATCCATCGACAGTCTCCATCTTCAGATGTTGGACTGCCAGCTCCCTTAAGCCCCATCCAGCCTGGCCGGTGGTCGGCTGTGAAGGGAGCTGAGAGTCTTAGGGCCTCCAGAGCAGCAACAGAGGTTCCCCACCAGTTTTTAGAGGCAATAATAATAATAATAATAATAATAATTTATTGTTTATACCCCACCCATCTGGCTGGGTTTCCCCAGCCACTCTAGGCGGCTTCCAGTAAAGGTAAAGGGACCCCTGACCATCAGGTCCAGTCGTGACCGACTCTGGGGTTGCGGCGCTCATCTTGCTTTATTGGCCGAGGGAGCCGGCGTACAGCTTCCGGGTCATGTGGCCAGCATGACTAAGCTGCTTCTGGCGAACCAGAGCAGCACACGGAAACGCCATTTACCTTTCTGCCAGAGTGGTACCTATTTATCTACTTGCACTTTGACGTGCTTTCGAACTGCTAGGTTGGCAGGAGCAGGGACTGAGCAACGGGAGCTCAGCCTGTTGCGGGGATTCCAACTGTCCACCTTCTGATCGGCAAGTCCTAGGCTCTGTGGTTTAACCCACAGCGCCACCCGTGTCCCAGGCGGCTTCCAACAGAATATTAAAATACAATAGTCTATTAAACATTATCGAGTGCAAAGCAACAATTTTGTGTAGATGGATCTCTGTGTGAATGAATGTGTGCTATGTGCAAGGCTCCTAATTTCCATGCCTGCTTTTACAGGAGAGGTCTATGTCTCTGATCGAGAGGGAAGTGACGTTACTGGAGACGGGTCACAGGAGAAGCCGTACAAAACTGCTCTGAAGGTATCAGACTAGCCCAGTTTAGGTTCTCTCATTTTCCCCCAGGAGTTCACATCCACGGCCAATCAGTGGGCTTATTCTGTGGCGGTTCCTGAGGTTACTGCAGCTGAAAAGTCTTTGGTGCAACGGTGCTTTCAGCAGTTTGCGCAATGTCTGTGATTGCCTGCTTCGCGTATCCTTAACATTTGTCTGCACAATGGGGTTCCAAAGAGCATTCAGGGCAGTGTTCAAAATGTGCCAGGCACATTTTGGGAGTTGTAGTCTGGCAGTGCCCTGGCTGCCCCTGCTTTTAGAACTAGCTGTCTTAAAAAATAAAACAAAACTTATTCCATCCTTTTCTCTTTTTAAAGGCTTTGCTGTCTGCCGGAAAGGAGCCGTTTCCTACAATCTACGTGGACTCGCAAAAAAAAGACGAGGTTGAGTATTAATGGGTGTTTTTCTGCCGTTTCCACGGGGAAAGGATTTGGTTTTGATTGGCAGTAGGTTCAGGACAGACAAAATAGAGAGTCTGCACACCAACACATAAGAATTTGCAAGATGTAGTGATGGCACTCACTTGGTTAGCTTTAAAGGGGGATGAAACAAATCGATGGAGGATTAATCAACAGTGACAAAAAGGTACCTGCGACAAAATGTTGCAGCGTGAAGTACTCTGTTCACTATACCAGCCAGCCAGCCAGCCAGCCAGCCTGAGACTCCATTATGTTATTTTCCTCCTCCTCCTGTTTTTGCTAATATATTGTGTTTCTGCAAAACTTTGGGGTTCTCTCAATCTTGCTGGATAACTCCTCTTGCCCCTGGATGGTTCAATTTTGACAGTGTAAATAATAGCACTTATTTTCTGAACATTGGGGAAAGGAGATGTGTGGGAGCCATGAAGTCATGGCAAAGGCTTGTAGCGCCACCTGGTGCCTCGCTGACCTCGGTGACCTGCATGTCCATGCCTTGCAGTGTATTAAGTGTATAACCTTATATGGAGTTATGCTCCCCCTCTGGGCAGTAATTGCCTTATATGGCGATGGGTGGGTAAAAGCCATGACCGGATGTAGGTAACGTGAGACATTGGCAAACGGCCATGCGACAGGAGAGAACAAAGGATAACAAAAGATACCGGAGAGGAGAGAAGTTCGAATGAGCTGCCCTCCATCCATGAAAATATAGCTGGCTCACTGTGTCCTTTTTTCAAATGCTGAGCACCATTTAATGACGGCTGGCTTCCGTCAGAGATGATAGCTCTAAGGAACTTTTGAGTCATCTGGTTGGCCACTAGATGGACCCTGGGGTTTTATGTTTTCACCGGAAAGCGAAAGTTAACTCTCTTCTTTACGCTTTCGCTTTCTCTTCTTTTCATCTGCCCTAGAGATGGGATACCATTTCCAAGACCCAGCTGAAGAATGTCAAAAAGCTGTGGCACAGGGAACAACAAAAAGCTGAAGCTAGAGAAAAGAAAGAGGTAAGGTTTGCAAACGTTGCTCCTTTTTCTTGTGGCATCTTCAAGACTCCCAGTGGCGGTTTAACAATTCCCCCCAGGGAATTCTGGGAGCTGTAGCTCAAATGGGGCCTTAATGCTAACGTTCCCATTGGTTCTAGTGTTCCCAGATCACTCCCCACACGCTTGCATTCAGAGTAGAGTCTCGACTAAACCACTCTTTAAAACAACCCGCAGGAAGAAGATCTCTTGCGCCGTGAAAAGAACTTGGAGGAAGCAAAGAAGATAATCATTAAGAATGACCCCAGTCTCCCAGAGCCCAAATGTGTGAGTAAAGCTTGAATGCTTGTGCAGACAACCTTAACCAGCTCTTTTCAGGGGGTGGGGGGAGAGCCCTTTTAAATGACATATGCTAGGGGGTGTAGGCAATGTGGTTGCTTCCCTATATTGGTCTCCCAACTCATCCCATCATCCCTGACCCATGGGATTGGGAGTCCAACAGTATATAGAAAAGAAAAAGGTAAAGGACACTTGGACAGTTAAAATAATAATAATAATAATAATAATAATAATAATAATAATAATAATTATTTAATATTTATACCCCGCCCATCTGGCTTGGCTTCCCCAACCACTCTGGGCGGCTTCCAACAAAATATTGAAATACAGTAATGCATCAAACATTAAAAGCTTCCCTAAACAGGACTTAAGTCCAGTCAAAGGGGACTATGGGGTTGCGGCACTCATCTCGCTTTGAGGCTCAGGGAGCCGGTGTTTGTCCACAGACAGCTTTCCGGATCATGTGGCCAGCATGACAAAACTGCTGCTGGTGCAACGGAACACCGTGACAGAAACAAGAGCGCATGGAAACGCCGTTTACCTTCCTGCCTCAGTAGTACCTATTTATCTATGTGCACTGGCGTGCTTTCGAACTGCTAGGTTGGCAGGAGCTGGGACAGCAACAGGAGCTCACTCCACTGCAGGGATTCGAACCGCTGACCTTCCGATCGGCAAGCCCAAGAGGCTCAGTGGTTTAGACCACAGCACCACCCACGTCCCTTGCCCAACAGTGTAGCCCATGATCCACACCCCTGATTTAAAGCGATAGTAGGAGGGTCCAAACGTTGAATGGGAATCTGTATTGTGCATGTTTATAGTTTAGCACATTCAAAATAAACTTAGCTCTCTTTTTTCAGGGTTAGAAACCCAAGTATTTCTAAACATCTGGATCATTAGACAAATGCATGGAGGATAAGCGTATATAACAATGGCTGCTAGCCACAGTGGCTATATTCTACCCCCGCTGTCAGTGTGCCTTTGAATACCAGATGCTGAGAATTGTGGAATTGGAAGGGACCCCTAGGGATCATCTAGTTATGTAAACAATTGATTAAAATACAACTTAAAAACAAGATTAAAATACAACATTAAAATGCAGCCTCATTTCAATAGAAACTCAAATCAAAAACTTTTTGGGGATGAAAACGTCAAATCTTCACCAGACTGGTCCTACGTGAGCCAGAAAAAAGCCAGGGAAGTCCCCAAAAACAGTTCATCACAGAAGGAGAAAGGAAAAAGGAAAGAGGGGGAGGGGATCAAGTTGATTCCAAGCCAAAGGCCAGGCAGAACAACTCTGTCTTACAGGCCCTGCAGATGTCAAATTATGTTAGCCTCTGGATCCATGCCTTAACGCAGATTAAAATCTCTGCTTCAGTCCCAAGCATGCCCTGAAATGGTAGTGGGGAACCCTTCCCAGATCATATGACTGGATGCTTAAAGGGCAACTATCTTCTTTGGCGATCACACGTACGCGAGTAAGATTGTCTTCCATGAACACGGTTTTAATAGTGAGTCTGTAAGTGACTGTGGAGGCCAATTCTGGATCCACACGTCCTTCCACAGTGGGGACATAGGTTTCCGGGCGGGAGTTGATCATGGTGTGGGTTTGCCAAGCGTGCCTTCCTCTTAGCGTGTTTCTCCCTTTCGTCCTGAGTTCGAGTGTCTTCAAAAACCCTGACACCTTTAGTAAAGGCTGTTCTCCAATTGGAGTGCTTGCAGGCCAGTGTTTCCCAGTTGTCGGTGCTTATACTACATTTTTTTTAGATTTGCCTTGAGAGAGTTTTTAAACCTCTTTTGTTGACCACCAGCATTACGCTTTCCATTTTTAAGTTCGGAATAGAGTAGTTGCTTTGGAGGACGATAAATCAGGCATCCGCACAACATGACCAGTCCAACAAAGTTGGATGTTGAAGAATCATTGCTTTGACACTGGCGATCTCTGCTTCTTCCAGTACGCTGGCATTAGTTCGCCTGTCTTCCCAAGTGATGTGTAAAAATTTTATCAGCATGCTCCAACTTAGGCCCAAACTATCTTGAGAGACTGCCTCCTTCCCTACAAACCTTCTTGGTTGTTAAAATCAGCAGAAGGGGCCCTCATAGTCATTCTGCTGCCATCAAGTTTTTTGGGGGGTGGCATTCTCTGTGGCAGCCCCTGAGTTGTAGAATTTCTTCCCCACAGAGGTATTATCCGGCTTTTGGTGAATGCTAAAAATGGAACTCTTCAGCACCTGAAACGTCTTCCTGTAATCTGTTTTAACTGTTGTTGATACCGAATTTCAAATTGTTGCAACCTCACCCTGGAACCTGCTGGTGATTCAGGGTTTAAGAAATTTGATGATGGTGCTTTAGGGCTTTTCTGTCCAATAAGCATGCATGGACCATAAGACCATAAGAGCTGGACCATAAAGAAGGCTGATCGCCGAAGAATTGATGCTTTTGAATTATGCTGCTGGAGGAGACTCTTGAGAGTCCCATGGACTGCAAGAAGATCAAACCTATCCATTCTGAAGGAAATCAGCCCTGAGTGCTCACTGGAAGGACAGATCGTGAAGCTGAGGCTCCAATACTTTGGCCACCTCATGAGAAGAGAAGACTCCCTGGAAAAGACCCCGATGTTGGGAAAGATGGAGGGCACAAGGAGAAGGGGACGGCAGAGGATGAGATGGTTGGATGGTGTTCTTGAAGCTACCAGCATGAGTTTGATCAAACTGCGGGAGGCAGTGGAGGACAGAAGTGCCTGGCGTGCTCTGGTCCATGGGGTCACGAAGAGTCGGACACGACTAAACGACTAAACAACAACAACAAAGCATGCGTGGGGTTGCAGCTGCCATGTGTTAGCTGTGGAAAGTGACCTTGAGTGCTTGTGTCCAGGCAGGCTGCCAAATTTAACTTGCTGAAATGCATGGAATTGGCTTCCCAGCTCACTGAATCGTTCCACCTCCTCTGGCAGGAGAATTGGATTGGAAAGAATATTTTTCCTTCCACCAAAAAGAGCAGACCAGGAAATCCATCTAGATTTTGACACATTTGAGGTTAGACTCAAACTACCGTATTTTTCGCTCCATAAGACGCACTTTTTTCCTCCTAAAAGGTAAGGGGAAATGTCTGTGCGTCTTATGGAGTGAATGCCTATGGATGGCGGGGGGATCCTGCTGCAGTCGCGAGCGGAGGATCCATGGTTCCCCTTCCTTCCCTCCTCCGTGGCTCACTTTGAAGCAGCAAAGCGGGAGAGGAGCTGCTTACACGCCTGTAAGTGGCTCCTGTCCGGTTGGCTGCTTTAAAGCACATGGATCCTCAGGATTTTTGCAATGGGTCACCCCAAGTTCACCATCAGATCACATAGCATGTCCATGGCTACAGCCTGCACCAAAAAAATCACACACCCACTGTTGCCTGGGGCTGCAATGGCGCAAAAACACGGTTACAAAGCACGGATCCACATGGATTCTCAGGATTTTTGCGTTGGGCTACCCCAAACTCACCATCAAATCACATGTCTGCGGCCACAGCATGAACCACAAAAATCATACATCCACTGTTTCTTTCAGAATATTTTTTTTCTTGTTTTCCTCCTGTAAAAACTAGGTATGTCTTATGGTTAGGTGCGTCTTATGGAGCGAAAAATACGGTATTTGCTCCTTGTCTTGTGACATAGATTGGTTGGTCCTGATACAACTGGCGAGACTTGGAGTTTTTCTAATGTGTCTTGCTTTGCTTTTCATGCGTAAGGTATTGTAAACGGTATCTGAGGAAAAAAGCAACAACACTCAAGGAGAGTTTCTTTCGTATTCTTGATTCGGTGTTAGGCAAGCAATCTGTGTGTATATCTTGATAATATTTTCAAAGAAAAACAACTTACTCGGCTGCTTTCTAACAGGTGAAAATTCGTCACTTAGAGGCCCACAGAGGAGAGAGAGTCAAGGTCTTTGGCTGGGTCCACAGGCTGCGTAGACAAGGTGAGTGCCGTGTTAAAAGGAACCAGTTCTGTAAAGGGGGAACAACAAACTGCCCCTCAAAAGGATTGAAGCCTAGAAAATTTGTGAGAGAACCAGCATGTTGCAAAACTTCAAGTTGAAGCTTCCTTAGGGAAAGCCAGTTTAATTTAGTAGACTGACGTAGTTCGTGGTACGTATCTTATCAAAGCAGCCTATCTTTTGTTGACTTGGGCTGCTGTTTCACAGGACTTTCCCCTCAGAAAATGACTTACCGTATTTTTCGTTCTATAGGACGCACCGGTCCATAGGACGCACCTCGTTTTTTTGGGGGGGAAATGAATAAAAAAAATCCCCCCCCCGCGGCTGCCGCCCCAAGCCTCGCGTGCTTCGGGCGACAAGCTGCAGCCCCAAGCCTTGCGCGCTGGGCGGGACCTCCCGCCGGGCGCGCAAGGCTTGCAGACACTCGCCCGAAGCACGGGGAGCCCTCCGGAGGGCGCCCCGTGCGTCGGGCGACAAGCTGCAGCCCCAAGCCTTGCGCGCTGGGCGGGCCCCCCCGCGGGGCGCGCACGGCTGGCAGACACTCGCCCGACGCAAGGGGAGCCCGCCGGAGGGCTCCCCGTGCTTCGGGCGACAAGCTGCAGCCCCAAGCCTTGCGCGCTGGGCGGGACCTCCCGCCGGGCGCGCGAGGCTTGCAGACACTCGCCCGAAGCACGGGGAGCCCTCCAGAGGGCTCCCGTGCTCGGGCGACATGCTGCAGCCCCAAGCCTTGCGCGCTGGGCGGGACCTCCCGCCGGGCGCGCGAGGCTTGCAGACACTCGCCCGAGCACGGGAGCCCCCCGGCGGGCTCCCCGTGCTACGGGCGACCAGCTGCAGCCCCATGCCTTGCGCGCTGGGCGGGACCGCCCGCCGGGCGCGCGAGGCTTGCAGACACTCGCCCGAAGCACGGGGAGCCCTCCGGAGGGCTCCCCGTGCTTCGGGCGACAGCTGCAGCCCCAAGCCTTGCGCGCTGGGCGGGACCTCCTGCCGGGCGCGCAAGGCTTGCAGACACTGCCCGAAGCACGGGAGCCCTCCGGAGGGCTCCCGTGCTTCGGGCGACAAGCTGCAGCCCCAAGCCTTGCGCGCTGGGCGGGACCTCCTGCCGGGCGCGCAAGGCTTGCAGACACTCGCCCAAGCACGGGAGCCCTCCGGAGGGCTCCCGTGCTCGGGCGACAGGCTGCTGCCCCAAGCCTCGCGCGCTCGGCGGGACCTCCTGCCGGGCGCGCAAGGCTTGCGGACACTCGCCGGGGCTGCAGGCTGCTGCCTGCAAGCCTTGTGAGCCCGCGGGAACTCCCACCGGGCTTGCAAGGCTTGCGGATAGCTTCCTGAAGCCTGGAGAGCGAGAGGGGTCGGTGCGCACCGATGCCTCTCGCTCTCCAGGCTTCAGCGAAAGCCTGCATTCGCTCCATAGGACGCACACACATTTCCCCTTCATTTTTGGAGGGGAAAAAGTGCGTCCTATGGAGCGAAAAATACGGTAGTTCTTACCTTGCATGCATTTGGTCTCTGCACAGAATGTGACGCTCCCTTTTTATTTCATGGGCCTTTCAGCTCCGCTGTTTGCAAACTGAAACCAATAGTTCAAAGCTGCAGCTTTGCACCTCAGTTAGTTTAACTTCCTTGTGAGGGTGTAAAATCCCTGGTGAGCTCTGTAGTCCTTTGCATCTGTGCATGTAGGCTTATTTTTATTGTGCATATTTTAAGTACAGTAATACTTGCTGTATTGGATCTTGAATTATAGAAGTTTATATTTTTGTGTTTTTGTACTATGCAAACTGCTTAGAAGCCTGTTTTGGCATTAAGCGATTATTAATAATAATAATAATAATAATAATAATATTTTTTATTTATACCCCGCCCTCCCCAGCCAAGGCTGGGCTCAGGGTGGCTAACAACCAATAATAATAACGAATACAACTTAAAAACAAGATTAAAATACAACATTAAAACAATAAAATGCAGCCTCGTCACAGGAGGAGAAAGGAAAAAAAGAAAAAAGAAATTATTATTTTTTTATTTATTACTTATACCCCCGCCCATCTGGCTGGGTTTCCCCAGCCACTCTGAGCTGCTTTCAACAGAATATTTAAAACACAATAAAACTTCAAACATTAAAAACTTCCCTAAACAGGGCTGCCTTCAGATGTCTTCTAAAAGTCAAATAGTTGTTTATTTCCTTGATATCAGATGGGAGGGTGTTCCACAGGGTGGGTGCCACTACCAAGTAGGCCCTCTGCCTGGTTCCCTGTAAACCTCACTTCTCGCAGTGAGGGAACCGCCAGAAGGCCCTTAGCGCTGGACCTCAGTGTCTGGGCAGAATGATGAGGGTGGAGACGCTCCTTCAGGTATACTGGGCCGAGGCCGTTTAGGGCTTTAAAGGTCAGCACCAACACTTTGAATTGTGCTCGGAAACGTCCTGGGTGCCAGTGTAGGTCTTTCAGGACCGGTGTTATATGGTCCCGGCGGCCACTCCCAGTTACCAGTCTAGCTGCCGCATTCTGGTGATAACATAGTGATAATAGCAGGCTCCTTGACTTCACTTGTTTCTTAGAACACCCTGGAAGGCTTGGCTTGTTAGGACTCGGCTACATTAGTTTAAAAAACAAAAAACAGCTTTTGAATGCATTTTAAACATGCAACAGCAGATGGAGCTGGAGAGCAAAAAAAAATTCTTTGCAATTTTTCGTAACCTTTTTTCTTTTGTTATAACAATGTAATTTCTGACTTATTTATAGTGGGGTTTTCCCTGTGTGTAGATTCATCCTTAGTTTCTCTCTTGCTTTCGATCTTCACACACTACATTTGACGAGTGTACAAGCTGTGTACAAAGTAGGCAAGCTGCACAAATTAACAAGTATAAACCCTTTTCCACACAAGCACTTGCACCTGTGTTCAGGATAATATGTGAACAAGCCTGTTCCCTCTTTCTCTCCATGCTTCTTTCACATGCAGTTCCAAGCTCTTCTCCACAAAATAAAATCATATATGTATTTAAAGTGTCGTGGGACTTCTCTCTTCCCCACCCCCTCTGGAAATATTTATCTTCCCTGTTTTGTTTTTTAATAGTAAAATAGTTTTGATGGTTTGGGATGGAAGGGGATGAAGGATGCTTTTCAACGAAAGGAAATTTAAATTCTAACACCTAACGCTTCTTTTTTGCTAGGGAAGAACTTGATGTTTATTGTATTAAGAGACGGCACAGGATTCCTTCAATGTGTCTTATCAGACGAACTGGTAAGCTGCTTTGAAGTGTGTGTGTGTGCGCGCGCACACACACTCTCCTCACCCTTCTTTCTCCAACACACACACACACACACACACAAAAAAAAACACCCCTTGCTTTTACTCTTCTTCCACTCCCAAACCCCCAGGGTCACAAGTTAACAAAGAGAAAATACAGAAAAAGCGAGGCTGAGGAGGAGGTCTGGGTGTGTAGCATCTTTGAGTCCTTTTGATAGGTCAAGGATGATGGGAGTTGTGGTCCACCAATGCGGTGCAGCCAACACACATTTTGGAGAGGAAATTAAATAATGTTCGGGTGTGGAAAGTTCAGAAGAGGACCCATTACGATCCAGTCCGTCCCAGTTCTGGAGTGCTCTGTCCTCAGAATCTGGCGGCCCACCGGAAGTTGAGTGGTACAAGACTGCAGCGATCATCCAACACATTGGATTACAATCGCTAAAACAGGCAGAAAAAAAATAATTAAGTGGTCCATCAAGATCTCTTAAGACCCTCAGAAATCTTCAAGCGGTCTGGTGAGAAGAAAGTTTGGGAACCACTAAGAGAGAACAAAAGGGAGCGATGGGAGCTGACGACAAACGGAATTCTGTGGCTCAAACATGGCCGCCCCAAGTTCTTACATGGGTGCGTCCATGTATTTTTTTCCTATACAGTTCCTTCTGAGAGCAATGGAACATTGTCAAGTTCTCTTTCTCCCTGGAGGAACTTTCTCTGTTCAAGGTGAAAATGGCAGTAGGAATCTCAGTGTGCTAGCTCCTCCATGATATCTGGGGTTTTGCAGAACAATTAAAAGGGGTGAGGGGGAGAGGCAGCGCTGAAACCTGCCTGGACTCGGGATCTGATCTGCGTCATGAATCTGCCCCGATCAAATCAGACGAGTCGTCTTTGGAATTCACAATCTATGGATTCCTCCTCCATCCCTAAGCGAGAGACAACTCTTGGCTCTCGTGATGAAGCATTCTAAGTGTTTCCTTGGGAGTGGTGTGCTCCCATTTGCTCTTTAAAAAAGAAAAGAAAACAGGTAAAAGCCTAGCCCACACAGCCTGAATTTCCCCCTCTGTTTCTCTCTCTGTTTGAGAGCCAGTGTGGTGTAGTGGTTAAGAGCGGTAGTCTCGTAATCTGGTGAACCGGGTTCGCGTCTCCGCTCCTCCACATGCAGCTGCTGGGTGACCTTGGGCCAGTCACACTTCTCTGAAGTCTCTCAGCCTCACTCACCTCACAGAGTGTTTGTTGTGGGGGAGGAAGGGAAAGGAGAATGTTAGCCGCTTTGAGACTCCTTCGGGTAGTGATAAAGCGGGATATCAAATCCAAACTCTTCTTCTTCTCCCTTCTAGTGCCAGTGTTACAATGGAGTTGTCCTCTCAACCGAGAGCACCATTGCTATCTATGGAACGCTGAACCTTCTTCCAGAAGGCAAACAGGTGAGTAAGGGAGTCTGCTTGCTCTCTCCTTGCTCCTGCCAAGGGAAGGGCTCTAGCTGGAAGGTAGGGAGTTTGCTTTGCATTCCAAAGGTCTTCCGTTTGGCATTTTCTGGTCGGGCTGAGGAAGCCCCTTATCTGAACCCCTGGAAAGTCACTGCCAGTCAAAATGGCCGCCCTGTTCTGCAGGTAGTAGGGAATGTTTGTTTTTTGTTTTAGTTTAGGGAAGCTTTTAATGTTTAATAGACTATTGTATTTTAATATTTTGTTGGAAGCCGCCCAGAGTGGCTGGGGAAACCCAGCCAGATGGGCGGGGTATAAATAATAAATTGTTGTTGTTGTTATAATAGTCATCCTCTTCCAAGCATGGTATTGCTCCAGGAGATGATCAGACAGGCTTTGGAAACCAATAGAGATTTGCAGATGACATGGCTGGCCTTGGTTAAGTTTCAGAAGTTGATTGTGTAAACTGATTTGCTATTGGTGTTTTTTCTTGTGAGAAACATGGTGACTGGCAACGGCCACTGTTGTCTTACAGCTAGAGCATTTCTGGATAAGGTCTCAAAGTGTCTGTAAAGCTAGGTTTGATTTTGAGGCTCTGTTCAATGTTTTGAGAGTGAGAAGAGTGCTCAAGACTTGCAGTTTCTGCCGCTAGCAGCTGGAAGTCATTTAGTCCCAAAGACCATAATTCTGTTGACTATATAGCTCTGATGTGGAGATGGGAATGCAAATAAATGGGTTATCTTGGTTTCAAAGCCAGAAATACAGCATGCATGGCGGTTAAGTGCTGCTGTAGCCCTGTGTCAACATCACACGTGTTATTCACCTGCTAAATATATTCCTTGAAAGTCGTTCCCCCCCCACAACACCCCGCCATCTCAAGAAGAAAGGACTGCCAAGCTGGTTAAATGGGATATTATCATTGAAGGAAAGAATTTTGATGGTGTTAATCACTCAAGTCTGGTTTTTCCATTGTGATACATAGTTTTAAGTAATAATAATAATCTAATTTATTATACCCCACCCATCTGGCCAGGCCTCCCCAGCCACTCTGGGCGGCTTCCAACAGAATATTAAAAACACAATAAAACATCAAACATTAAAAACTTCCCTAAACAGGGCTGCCTTCAATGTCTTCTAAAAGTCAGATAGTTGTTTATTTCCTTGACATCTGATGGGAGGGTGTTCCACAGGGCGGGCGCCACTACCGAGAAGGCCCTCTGCCTGGTTCCCTGTAACCTCGCAGTGAGGGAACCACCAGTAAGCCCTCAGAGCCGGACCTCAGTGTCCAGGCTGAACGATGCGGGTGGAGACGCTCCTTATAAATTCGCAGGAAATGAAACCTGTAATATTAACCAGCAGGGGGAGCTTGTGGAGTTATCTAGAGAAAGAATTTAATTTGCCTGAGAAATAATGCATTGGCCTTTGGGATGTGTTTAGTACCACCCATGTTGTATTATTAGCTCAGATATAAGAATAAAACAATGCAAAATCATACTGTCAGGGGATGCCTCCCACACCCAAGTTTTTGTTTTCTGAATCTCTGGCTCCATCTGCACTGTTGATTTAAAGTAGTACCATACCACTTTAACAGTTGTGGCTCCCCCCAGAAAGGAAAGAATCCTGGGAGCTGTAGTTTTTGTTAAGAGTGCTTGGTACTCCCCTGTTCCCCTCCCAGAGCTACAATTCCCAGATTTCCTTGGGAAGAGGGACTGATTGATAAACCACGCTGGAAACTGTAGCTCTGTAAAGTGAGTAGGGGGACGACCCCCATCCTCTCCTGATCTTTGCACACTTAACTTGGAGACCTGCAGGAAGAGTCTTATAACTGTGTTCAACTGATTGGGAAACCTAATTGCAGGAAGGTTTCAGCTTAACACAGTTAGAAATCCCGCTTTGTGGTCTTTTGCGTGAAGTTCAGGAGAAGAGAAAGGGCTTGTGTGGACCTTAGAAGGAGGAGGGGGCTTGCAGGTGTGTCCCTGTCCCATTTTAATCTCTGCATGTGACAATGACAAAAATCCACCAACAGCACACAAATCAATATGGCTAACCTGATCCAAAACACCCACCCACCCCACTCAACACATGAAAACAAAGACCGCCACAGCCAACCACAAATGAACAACCACACCCTAGGCCAACCCCAACCTCTCTCACCACCAAAGGAACACAAGCAGAGAACGCACAAGCAACGCTGACACCAAACCCTACATTGTAGTGAAATAGAAACATCGCCACCCGACCCCCCCATCTCTCCCCCCTCCACCTCTTTCCCCCTTTTCTTCCTAATGTCTCAACGAATGAAACTGATTTGTAAAAATGTTACATGGGGAAAAAACACGAGAGAGAGAGAGACATCACACACTTTTGTAAATCAACAAAATCTTTTTTATATATATATATATAAAAAATAAAATAAAATAATCTCTGCATGTGTGTCAAGGGGCTGCTGGGGAATGCCCCAGAGCTGAGGGAGGGGGAAGAACGGGAGCCTTTAGAAAAGACAGGAGAGGGAGAGGAGGACAAGCAAGCGGAAGGGACTCAAGCGGCGAGGACACTCCCGGATGCTGGAGAGCAGCAACTCCACTTGACTAGTTCAGGGACAGAGGGAGACTCAATGCCCATTCCTTCGGCACAGGACAGGAGGGGGTTAAAACATAGGGAACAAAGGAGGCGTTTGGGGCTTCCCAAGCTCCTCTGCTGGAGGAGGAGCAGAAACCTCCCACTTCCTGGATCTGCTACCGAGGATTCGGATGCATGAAGCTATGCTCTGTACCTTTGTAAATAAGGACTGTAAATATATCTCTGAGTGAGTAGAGGTATTCCTTGCGAAAGGCTTCTAGACCCATCACAATGGGACTTTGGACCACCTGATGTGCTGTTGTTTGCTGGTACAGAGAGCCTTGTTGGTAGTTGCAGGTGATTTTAACAGAGCATAATATTTATGCTTCCATCGCTTTCTCTTTCAACCTATGCGCACACCCAACCATAGGCTCCAGGAGGCCATGAGCTGTGTTGTGACTACTGGGAGCTCATTGGCCTGGCTCCCGCTGGTGGGGCTGATAACCTTGTCAATGAAGAGTCAGATGTGGATGTGCAGCTGAACAACCGGCACATGATGATTCGAGGAGAGAACATGAGCAGGATCTTCAAAGTGCGCTCCGTGGTTGTCCAGTGCTTCAGGGATCACTTCTTCGACCGAGGGTATTACGAAGTAAGTAGATCTGCTGCTTCGCTGATCTTAAAGGAAGGTTCTCCAGTCTCTGGGATCCTCCTTCCCACTCAAAGAAGTAAACCTGCAGCCTTTTATAAAGTTATTATTAGCTCTTTTTTTTCTCTTCTCTTTTCTTACTATTTTCTGTTTAGATTTACAGTCGTACCTTGGATCACAAACGCCTTGGTACTGGGATGTTTCGGTTCCCAAACACCACAAACCCGGAAGTGATTGTTCCAGTTTGCGAACATTCTTTTGGAACCTGAACATCCAAAGGGGCTTCCACGGCTTCTGATTGGCTGCAGGAGCTTCCTGCAGCCAATCAGAACACACAATTTGGTTTTTGAATGTTTTGGAAGTCGAACGGACTTCCGGAACGGATTCCGTTCAACTTCCAAGGTACGACTGTAGTTTGCTTTTTAATCGTGATGTAAAAAGTTTTAATAAAACTTTTTTTTAAAAAGTTCTTTATTAGATTTCTCTCTTGCTTTTGATACAGCAGACTACTTCTGTCTTGTTCTTTCTGAACTGTACACAAAGAATCCAACATTTAGCTCTCGGGCTTAAGTTAGCTCTTCGGAGGTAGACAGGAAATGGTGTTACTCAGTACATGCATAATCTCATTTCTGCTTCCCTTCTAGGTCACCCCTCCAACGCTGGTCCAAACGCAGGTTGAAGGAGGCTCCACTCTGTTCAAGATGGACTATTTTGGCGAAGAAGCCTTTTTGACACAGTCCTCCCAGCTGTATCTGGAAACTTGCATCCCTGCCCTGGGAGACACTTTCTGCATTGCCCAGTCCTACCGAGCTGAGCAGTCTCGGACCCGCAGGCATCTGGCTGAGTAAGAGACCCTTTTTGTGGCAGAGCTGGGGAACCTTTTATAGCCCTTCAAATATTCCTGAATTACAAACCCCATAATCCTCAGCCCAGTGAATGGCCAGGGGTGGTGGGAATTGAACAGAAAGCCTGCAACTTGCACACACACACACACATTTAACTTGTGCGCGTTCAGATTTGGCAAAACAAAACAAGAAAGAAAATTAAAAAGGGGTTGAGCGTTCAGGAAAAAAGACTTTGCCACCTCCCATTGACTATGTACAATTTTGGTTTTAGGCATGATAATCCGAAACTTAACCCCCATGTCTGTTGCGGGCTTGCTGTAGTTCAGCAGTGTCAGGAGGGCCAAAGATTCCTCACACCTGGTGTATGGGGCAGAACAGTGCTGTAGTGTGGGTTGCCAGTGCCCAGGGCAAGGCAAGTATCCTCAGCACCGCCAACTGATAGGCTAGAACAAAGGGGCAATCGTTCAGCAACCTACCAAAGTGGGACGGACTTGGTCGGGAGCGGTTATCTTTCTAAAGCTCATGCAGAGGGGGTCCTAGGAACCGGACATCTCCCAAATCTGCTCCTCAGTCCACCCACACGAACACTGGGAGATTTTCTGTGTGATGGGGAGGGCATGCCATTTATTATTATTGCTGCTTTCTTCTTTTTTCTTTTAACAATAGTAATAATAATAATAATACATTTTTATTTATACCCAGCAGCTAACACCAGTAAAATCACAATTAAAAAAACCCCCCAATTTAAAATACAGGTTAAAATATAATTTAAAATGTAGCTTCATTTTAATAGTAGCCCATAGATAAGGGGAGGGAAACATAAGGGTCAGACTGAGTCCAAACCAAAGGCCAGGCGGAACAGCTCTGTCTTGCAGGCCCTGCGGAAAGATGTCAAGTCTCGCAGGGCCCTAGTCTCTTGTGACAGAGCGTTCCACCAAGTCAGGGCCAGTACTGAAAAGGCCCTGGCTCTGGCTCTGGCCCTAGTTGAGACCAGTCTAACCACCTTGCGACTTGGGACCTCCAAGGTGTTGTCATTTGTGGACCTTAAGGTCCTCTGTGGGGCATACCAGGAGAGGCGGTCCCGTAGGTACGTGGGTCCTAGGCCACATAGGGCTTTAAAGGTCAAAACCAGCACCCCTAAGAATTTTGCGCAGAATGTGGTTTTGTGCTATTTCAGAGCAGGTAAGAAAGTGGCCTGCAGGTTGTTGGTAACAACTGGCTGTTGAGCACTTTGTGTACGTTGACTTTTTTAAAAAACAGTAATTGACCGACTGAGGTCATGAGGCTGAGTTGCAGAGGCTTTTGGGCCTAGCCTTGTCGGCCTTTCATAGCTATGTAGAAGGGAGAAGTTCAGTTCAGGTGGCTCTTCCCACCTCGGCAGCAGTGCCACGAAGAGACAGGTACCTGCCTATCTTTTAGAATTGTGAGCCACACTGAGTCCTGTTTAGCGCAGTTCCCATGTTGTGATCTCAGTCTAATAAGCCACCGTTTGCAAGGCTGTGTTTAAAGAAAAGGTGCTCAGCTGGTGCTTTTGTTGTCGTTTAGTCGTGTCCGACTCTTTGTGACCCCATGGACCAGAGCACGCCAGGCACTCCTGTCCTCCACTGCCTCCTGCAGTTTGGTCAAACTCCTGCTGGTAGCTTCGAGAACACTGTCCAACCATCTCGTCCTCTGCCGTCCCCTTTTCCTCATGCCCTCAATCTTTCCCAACATCAGGGTCTTTTCCAGGGAGTCTTCTCTTCTCATGAGGTGGCCAAAGTATTGGAGCCTCAGCTTCACGATCTGTCCTTCCAGTGAGCACTCAGGGCTGATTTCCTTAAGAATGGATAGGTTTGATCTTCTTGCAGTCCATGGGACACTCAAGAGTCTCCTCCAGCACCATAATTCAAAAGCATCAATTATTTGGCGATCAGCCTTCTTTATGGTCCAGCTCTCACTTCCATACATCACTACTTGGAAAACCATAGCTTTAACTATATGGACCGTTGTTGGCAAGTTGAGGGGAAGCAGTTTGCAGGCAATAAGACTGCGAGTTCCCAACGTGTTTTATATTGAAGGCGTCAATGTTCTCCTGCAGATACACACACATTGAAGCAGAATGCCCTTTCATGACCTTTGAAGACCTGCTGAACCGTCTCGAGGACCTTGTCTGTGATGTAGTGGACAGAGTCCTGAAATCCCCAGCGGCTGACATGCTTTATGCCCTCAACCCAGTAAGTGGCAGCGTGAAAAACAAAAGTTCTCCTCTTTTTACTAAAGCGTCTTTGCTTCTAAATCTTCAGGGGCCCAAGGCAACGCAAAGTGACTTACAACCAGAGCTTTTTTCCTAAAAAAAAATGTTTAGGGGTGGTACTCATTTTCACTTGAGAAAAGCACCATCAAATTGGGGTGGGAAATGAATACAGTAAATGGACAAAAGTACAAAGAACATGCATTACCTCATCTTACGTAGTTGACAGCTCACAGTAGCTTCCATATTGGCATGAGGTTGTTTGCACTGACATCTCATATTGAAACACTGCCCCTCAATGAGGCCAAACTTTAATCAGTAAAACACCACACATCCACATTCCACACTGCTTCACACATTAAACGCTCACTTCCATCTGAAGCTCTGGAGATACCAGGAAAGGAAATGAGGCTGCCATCGGGGGTAGCAACAGAACTGACAATTCACCGTGCTAGAGAAGAAACTTTTTTTTTTTTAGTTTCTTCTCCCATTAGATTCACAAAACGTTTAGGGGTATGCGTACCCCTGTGTACCCCCCAGAAAAAAAGCACTGCTTACAACCCAAAGAGACCTACTTTATACTGTAAGCTGATCAGAGCTCCCATCTTGTGAGGATGGTTGGGGTACGAAGATGATGAAATAAATGTGTATTGTTTTAATTATTATTATTAAGTTACTTGTATACTTTGGTCCGGGATGCGGGTGGCGCTGTGGGTTAAACCACAGAGCCTAGGACTTTCCGATCAGAAGGTCGGCGGTTCGAATCCCCGCGATGGGGTGAGCTCCCATTGCTCAGTCCCTGCTCCTGCCAACCTGGCAGTTCGAAAGCATGCCAGTGCAAGTAGATAAATGGGTACCGCTCCGGTGGGAAGGTAAACGGCGTTTCTGTGCGCTGCTCTGGTTCGCCAGAAGTGGCTTAGTCATGCTGGCCACATGACCCGGAAGCTGTACACTGGCTCCCTCGGCCAATAAAGCGAGATGAGCGCCGCAACCCCAGAGTCGGCCACGACTGGACCTAACGGTCAGGGGCCCCTTTACCTTTATACTTTGGTCCACAAGCTACCATAACTTGCCTTTGCAAATTGTTGCTTTTGGAATACTGTGGTCTTCCTCAGGCCGTTTCCTTCCTCTGTGTTTGCAGAACTTTGAGCCCCCGAAGCGCCCTTTCAAACGGATGAACTACACAGATGCCCTTGTATGGCTGAAGGAAAATAACGTGAAGAAGGAAGACGGCACATACTACGAATTTGGAGAGGTGAGCCTCTTGGTTTCCTGTTCAGCCTGCTTTTGTCCACTTGTGTTCCTTCAAAATCTATTGCATTGCTTGCTAAGTGTTCTGTGTGGGGCTGCCATGCAGAAGAAGGTTGTTTGCAGACATGGGCAGATTTCTACATCCAAGCAGTTGACCAGGAAGGCCAGTTAAATGGAATACATGACTCCCAAGTTAACAACAGCTACACTGGCTTCCAGTCCGTTTCCAGATGGAGTAGATAGCAAATACAGTTCTGTGTTTCCACTTCAAGTCTCCCGCCTCTTTTTAAGGGATTCCCCCTCAAATATTGTATTGTATTCCTGTAAACTATGTAGGTTCCCCTGCCCCCCCCAAAAAACCTGCTGATGCCTCTCTCTTGTAGCTGTTTTAGCTCTATGAGGCATATTTGGAGAATGAGTTTGCTATTAGCCTATAGCAGCCTTGCACAACCTGGTGCCATGCAGATACTTTGGATTCGAACTCGCATCAGCCCCAGCCCCAATTTGCTTCTCGGCTGCCGGGTGATAAGTGGTTTGAAGAGGGAGTCCGGCATGTATATCTAAGCACATATTGCAGGTAGAGGAACCCCCAACTACAATTCCCATCACCCCAAGCCACGCTTGCTGTGGGTGATGGGAGTTGTAGTTCTGCAACACCTGGATGGCCAAAGGTTCCCCACACACCTGATTTATTGGTTGCCTAGTCAACGGGCGTTCAAAATTGCAAGCTGAGTTTGCAATCTCTATATAAATAAGTAGCGGCAAGTAACGTGAAATGCCAGGGTGGCTCGAGAAACAGTTCCCTTGAGCAGGGAAGTGGCTTAATGAGTGGAAGCATGGCAAGAGGTGTTCTTAGGCAGTAGATGAGCTAATAATAAGTCTTGTTCCCTGTCCGTAGGATATTCCAGAGGCCCCCGAGAGACAGATGACGGACGCCATTAATGAGCCAATCTTGCTGTGTCGATTTCCTGCTGAGATAAAGTCTTTCTACATGCAGCGCTGCCCTGAGGATCCCCGCCTTACTGAATCTGTCAGTTTGCATTCCCCGCACATATCCCATGCAGGGGCTAAGCCTGGGGAGGGACGGAGCTGTTAAGACATCTTCTTAATGGGTGTTTTTGCCCTCTGTTAAAAGGCTGCGTAGATATATTTTAAGAGAGGCGTGAATGTAAGGGTTAGAGGGTTCTCGCAACCAATGTAATCATTAGAGCAGAACACTCCTCTTGAAGCAAGCCTTGTTTTCCAGTTGTTTTAACTACATTAAGAGGCTGGTGTACAATGTCACTGAGCTATACTTTAAGGAAGGGTTTTCCAAACTTGGGTCCCTAGCTGTTTTTGGACTACAACTCCTATCATCCCTAGCTAGCGGGACCAGTGCTCAGGGATGATGGGAATTGTAGTCCCAAAGCAATTGTGGACCGAGGTGTGGGAAACCCTGCTTTTTAAGGGTTACATCACATTCATGAGCATCCCTTGATTTCTGGCACTTGCTGAATGAGGTTTGGTCAAAACAGTCTGCAGAATAGAAGTAGTAAGATTGTGTCACGTCAAATTGCAGGTAGGAGGCTTCCTATGTATTTTGAGTGTTCCCTGCATGTAGTAATTTAGCACATCGGAGAGAGCTATGTTAAATTTCTTTCTGATGGGCCTGTTTTCTACATGCAGGGAATCTCTTTTGAACTATGGTCCAGCCTTTAGCACCACCTCCACCTGAAGTGATAAGAGCTTAGAATTCTGCCACTCAGTTCTGTGTAGAGTAGCTCTTACTCCATAGAAAAAAACATTGTATGTTTCTAGCGACACATAGGCTCTAATCTGTGCTGGCTCCTGTATATAATCCTATGATAATCTCTGCTGGGCTTCGTGGTGCTTAGTGCCTTCCATAAGCTTTAGATGATGGCCCAGCTGTGTTCCTATCTGGACTGGGATAGCCTATCAGTTATGCTCTGGTAACCTCTAAGGTAGATAACTGCATCACATTATATGTGGGGCTGCCCCTGAAGACTGTTCAGAAACTTCAGCTGGTGCACAATTCCATGGTCAGGTCGCTCACTGGGGCGAGATGGTTTGAGCATTTAACACAAATCCGGGTCTGACTGCACTGGCTGCCAATTAGTTTCTAGGCCCAAATTCAAAGTGCTGGTTTTGACCTATAAAGCCATCAATGGCTCAGGACCGCAATACCTCAAGGACCGCCTCTCCCCATATGAACTGACCTGGACCCTGGGATCATCATCTAAGGCTCTTCTTCATGTGCCTCCTCCATGAGAAGTCTGGGTGGGGGGGCAACACAAGAAGAGGAATGTTTTTGCTTGGCAGGGAGAGGAGCTGTACTTTCAGTCCAGTCGTAGGAAGTCTGCAACCCACCTGGGAGCCACAGAAACTGGGTTTGAGGAAACGCCTGGTGGGCCACAAATGGTCCAGCAGCTAATTAACTTGATCCCCTCCCCCTCTTTCCTTTTTCCTTTCTCTTTCTGTGATGGAACTCCTATTTGGGGACTTCCCTGGCTTTTTTTCTGGCCCACATAGGACCAGTCTGGATAGTTGGCCTTGGTGAAGATTTGACGTTTTCATCCCCAAAAAGTTGTTGATTTGAGTTTCTGCTGAAATGAGGCTGCATTTTAATGTTGTATTTTAATCAATTGTGTTATACCTGGTGTTAGCCTCCCTGAGCCTGGTCTTGGCTGGGGAGGGCGGGGTATAAAAAAAAATTATTATTATTATTAATTATCTGGCTCTTGCTTAAACTGTTCAACATGCTTCGTCCTGCCTCTTTTTAGGTTGATGTGTTGATGCCTAACGTCGGCGAGATCGTTGGAGGCTCAATGCGTATTTGGGACAGCGATGAGCTGCTGGAAGGCTACAAGAGAGAAGGGATTGACCCCACGCCTTATTATTGGTACACCGACCAGGTGCGTGTTGATGGTCTTGTTCCTTTGGCCAACTGTTGCAGCCCAGCCACCATGCTCAAACGCAACACGTAGAGTCGTAGACCAAGGCAGGCAACAACAAACGTCTGGCGGGCCAGTTAGCCTTTAAAGGGCTTAAAAGTTGTTTTTTAATTTCACGTTTCCCACCTGGCTTTATGTTTTCTGAGTACAACCAAGCCAGAGGCAGTGATGAGTCTAGGATGTTGGAGCGAATGTGATGAGGATAAATCTATCCCCTGATCTTTTGCGCTGGGAGTTTTCCCTGGGAGGGTGTCTTGCCTATTTTGGACACCACGTACGGCCACACCTCTTCATTCGAAGCCATGTCAACGCATTCACAAACCCATAGCATGCTGGGTAAGGAGGATGGAGGACCGAGAGGGAAACTCCTGCTCCTCCCTCCTGGCAGCTGCTGCCCCCTCTTGCGAACGGCTACTGCTGCTTCTTCAGATTCTTCTGAATTGCAACTTGGAGGGCTCATCTGGCAGGAGGAATTTGAAACTCTCTCGCTTAGGGGCTGCCTCCTTTTTCTCCAGTTGCTGGGTGACCCAAATGGTCGTGCTTGACGCATTGTACGTTGCAGATGGCTGGTTTCTGTGGCAGGGGGCTGGCTCCCCTACTCCCCCACCCCACTCGCCGAAGGAGCAATTCGTTCCGATTCGTGCAATTTCCCATTGCCATTCCTGACACGGAGTTCTGCTGTGTGGCCTCAACTGTAGCGTTCAAAACCTTGGGGAGGTGTTGTCTTTCCTTAACCTGTTTGTTTCATAATTTGCTGAACTGACGCTGGTTTTGAAAACGCCGTGTGTCTAGGGAGCGTGGGCCGATCGGGCTGATCTTAACCCCAGCCGGTGACCCAAGGCGGCAGCACGTCAGGGCTGACAGAGGGGTCTTAGGTGGAGTGCAGGGGGCGGATTTTGTTTGCGATTGCCAGCACTAGGCAAAAGCTTGAGGTGCTGGTACCTTCCTAACTGCTCGCTTTGGTGCCACCGCACCACTTCTGAGGATGGACGGGGGATATAAATGCAAATACCCGACCATAAGACGCACCTAGTTTTTAGAGGAGGAAAACAAAAAAAATTTCTGAACGAAACAGTGGGTGTATGATTTTTGTGGCCACAGACATGATATGTGATTTGATGGTGAGTTTGGGGTAGCCCAGTGCAAAAATCCTGAGAATCCATGTGGATCTGTGCTTTGTAACCACATTTTTGCGCCATTGCGGCCCCACGAAACAGTGGGTGCTTGATTTTTTTTTTTGGGTGCAGGCTGTAGCCATGGACATGCTATGTGATCTGATGGTGAATTTGGGGTGACCCAATGCAAAAATCCTGAGGATCCATGTGCTTTTACCTCCCCCCTCCCAGGCAGCCTCCTTTATCGCCCGAGTCCCTTATCTCCCTCCGATCGCTTGCCGGCTTTGTTTCAACACCCCCGTCCCTCTTTCTTAAAAAAATAAAAAGGACGATCTGTTTTTTGCCCCTGGGCAATTCAGCTCCAGGGACCACGCATTTGCTCTGTAAGACGCACAGACTTACTTTTTAGGAGGAAAAAAGTGTGTCTTATGGAGCGAAAAATACGGTAATTCTGGGTATGCTGGCACTAGGGCACTGCTCTTGGGATCAGGCTGCGAGACAGGCACGTTTGTGGGTGTTCTGCTCATAGGGTTTTCCATTTGTCCGTCGAGTGACTTGTTTCTTTCTTGTTTGGCTTTGCAGCGTAAATATGGCACGTGCCCTCACGGTGGCTATGGCCTGGGCTTGGAAAGATTCCTCACCTGGATCCTGAACAGGCACCATATCCGGGATGTGTGTCTGTACCCACGCTTTGTCCAGCGCTGCAAACCTTAACCCATGTTGCTCTTGTGGCAAAAGTCCAGCAGTCTTTAAGCAACACCCTCCTCCCCTCAAGCTCCGCAGAGCACATCTCATCATCCTTATAAAGCCATCCTGACAGGAAATCCAAGAGATCAACTTCTTTTCCTTTTTCTACCTCCCAACCTTTTCCAAATGAGAATCTGGAAATTTGAATTGCAGTCCACTGATTTCAGAAAACCCTTCTTTCTCCTCCTTTCCCATATTTTCTCCCCTCATCAATCCTATTGATGCATTTTAACTTATTGATTGCTAGGATAAACAAGCAGTGTGCAGTACTTAAGAAATGCACTTCTGTAGCAGCGCAGAGCCCATAAAATAATCGGGTTGTTTGGTTAAAAGGAGCCAGAAGCAGGGCTTTTGAAAAGGGAATATTTGAGTTTTCTCCCCAAAACAAAATTCATTAGTAAGTGCACAATGTAACATAATATAATATATCTAATACAATAATCTGGGATAGTGTACTGCTACCCTGAGGGACAAACTAAGCCCCCCAGCTATTTTGGCCGTGGTCAGTGGCATCCAGTTTAAACGTTTTCCCAATCCAACATCAGAGTTCGTAAGAAAATCATGCCATCTCCATTCTTCAGGTAAACAGCTGAAATGTAGAGATAATACTGTTCTCCCCAACAAAACACTCAGCTTGGCAGAGTGACTAGAATGATAAAAGCATTACAGTGTAAAGAACCACCCAACTGAGAGGAGAACTAAACTCTAGATACCTTTTACCTCATCCCTTAAAATTTTTCAGCCTGAATTCTTAGAAGTGGTGGCTGGGCAGAGGTCGGGCCCTTTAACTCTGCCTTGAAAAATTTCTTCATTAACAAAGTGCTGCCCTAAAGTTACTACAGCTCTAAGCCGTAGTAACCTACTATTCCCTAATGGGTGAGATTAGGGTGGAGAATATGATGGTCTTTTTTCTTTTAGCCTTTCATGTGAAAATCTTGTGTACCTCTTGTGTGGCAGGATATTCCCTGCTCGGGCAACATTGAAAAATCAACCCTAAGCAATTGTACCCATAAGGATCCCTTCCTGCCACTGTATTTTCATTATATCTGCATTTTGAACATGGCACTAATTGATGACTTCGCTTGCCCAAGTAAGGGTGGCTGCTGTCCAGACTCCCAGTTCCATCAAAACGTTTTCAGCAAATGTTCTCTTGGCAGAAGCCTCTTGTGTTTCACACTCGGTTAAGTTGCTTTTCAACATGCCTTGTGTTACGTAGTTCAGAAAGATGGTCTGATACAGCTTGCATTCCAGGAACCCCGGGAACTGAAGTTTTGAGAAGGTCCTTTGATCCTTCTCGGTTTCTGGCTTATCCTACCCACTGAATGTCTTGGGTTTCTTAGGAAAGAGGGGCCAACTGAAAATTAGAGGAGCTTTCAGGTGATGAAGCTGACTGATGTCTTTGTTCCTCCTCTTTCCAGCAAGTGTTATGAAAATGGTTTTTAGTTATCAGACTAATTTAACTGGAGCAAAGTACGGTGTGTGTGTGCGCGCTCTAGGTCGTTGCTGTAGGACCTTGCCTGGTCAGATTTCTCTTATTCTTCTCACTGTTACATTTCTGTGATGATTGTGCATGCCTTGTTTTCAAAGCTGGTTGGATCTCGCAATCAATAAATTCATAGCACTGGAGGGGGGAAATGGTCTTGGTTCTGTCACTGCGCTCCGTGTTCTAATTTTGCTCATTTTCACGTATTGGTAGAAGAATCCTGCCCTCCCACATCTTGCCTCCCTAGTTATTAATAATGTAAGAACAGCCTGATGGATCCGGTCAATTTAGGGTAGAATCATATATTTGCCAACAAAGGTCCGTATAGTTAAAGCCATGGTCTTTCCAGTAGTGATGTATGGAAGTGAGAGCTGGACCACAAAGAAGGCTGATCGCCGAAGAATTGATGCTTTTGAATTATGGTGCTGGAGGAGACTCTTGAGAGTCCCATGGACTGCAAGAAGATCAAACCTATCCATTCTGAAGGAAATCAGCCCTGAGTGCTCACTGGAAGGACAGATCGTGAAGCTGAGGCTCCAGTACTTTGGCCACCTCATGAGAAGAGAAGACTCCCTGGAAAAGACCCTGATGTTGGGAAAGATTGAGGGCACAAGGAGAAGGGGACGACAGAGGACGAGATGGTTGGACGGTGTTCTCGAAGCTACAAACATGAGTCTGACCAAACTGCGGGAGGCAGTGGAAGACAGGAGTGCCTGGTGTGCTCTGGTTCATGGGGTCACGAAGAGTCGGACACGACTAAACAACAACATATATTTGGAAGGGACACCAAGGGTCATCTAGTCCAACCCCCTGCAATGCAGGAATCTTTTGCCCAAAGTGGGGCTCAAACCCACGACCCTCAGTTTAACAGTCTCATGTTCCACTGACTGAGCTGTCCTACCTGTATACAGAGCTGTGGTAGCTGGATTAGGCAACATTGTGGAGGGTAGCCTTGACCTCCATTAATTTGTCACACCCAAAGGGCATGGCTGCAGTAGAAGCGTGTGGGCTTCCCCAGCCCATTCCTGCAAAGCGGAGGCAGTGCACAAGTCCTCTTTGTGTGCAAGATCTCGTCACGTGCAAATCGGCTGCCTCTGCTTTGCTGCCCTTAATGTGGAAAAATGCCCCAGGCCACAGTTGAAGCTTGATGGTGCATTTGGGCTCTAAACTGTACTGCATTATTTCCAAACCCCTTTCACTGAGATAAGCAGAGTAAAGCGAGCACGGCTTTCCCCCTCTGCTTTAGCCTATTCACAATGCGGTTCTTTTATTTATCAAATCTCTGCATTTATCCTACTGGCCTTAGAAGGAACAGGGCTCTTTAGTCTCCTGTTTTGCTTCCCTTTGTGGCCTGTTGTGTGTGACATTTGAGTGCACCCAAGCACAGAATGTGGAGTTTGACTTGATAAAACATCAGGGACTTGATCTGATTGGTTAACCAATGAGTTATCTATGCTGCAAGGATTCTTGAAACAAGACCCTGCTATTGTTTAGTCGCTCTTTGTTTTGCCCTGGGCATTCAAAAGCTCTTGTCTAACCCCACAGAAGCTACCAGCTGCTCGGAATGCAGTAATTCCTGCTAAAATTACACAAGAAAGTTAAACAAAAGGGCCAGAAAGATAACTGAGCGAAATATAAAAGTGGTGCACAGACATGTCATTGTCGTTATTCTTGACTTTGATATCCAAAAATCACTATCTGTCTGGATGTAAACAGAAGCAATTTTTCGACTGTTTGGTGCCAGTGTGAAATATGGCTGGTCTAGTGAGTCCTGAAAGCCAACCCAAAACTGATCCCAGATTCACAAACATGTCAGATAACCTGGGTAGTGAATTCTTTAGCGCAACCTGATACGTTCCCAAATGTTGCCGGACTACAACTTCCATCATCCATTGAACATGATGGCTGGGGGTGATGGGACTTGTAGTCCAAAACATCTTGAAGGTACCAGGTTAGGAAAGGCTGCTTTAGGTTTATTGTTTTTTTAAAAAAACAAATAAATTCAGCAGCGATCTGCCAGTTTTATGTGAAATTAAACTCTGGGCTATAGAGCCCCTCCCCACTTTTAACCTGACCTTTGACACTTAAGATGTGTATTTTTAGAACCCATCCTATTCTTGCAATTTGTTTTAAATGGTTTGACGTATTTTAAACTGTTGTGGCTCATCCTGGGACCTTAGGGTAGAAGGTGGGTAAAAAAATCAAATTAAAATTATTGTTGCTTATTATTCAATTTGTATACTGCCCTTCATCTGCAGAGAACCACTGGTAGGAGTGGGCAGGTTCTGTGGATATACACCATTATATTAACCATTGTGCTTGTCTGCAAGGTTGGACTCGATAGCAGTTTCGCTGGGCACAGAATCAATGCACGACTCATGCAAAAACTCGGGTGGGCCTGGTCCCTTACAGACTTCATTCCCCAACCTCCCTTTATTTAGCAATAGAATAAAGAATGGTTGACCATCTAGTTAGGCCCATTGCGATTGGTTAAAAATGCTAGGATGTGATGCGATCACTTGCGGTCCTGGTATTCACTCCATCTACTGCTGATGATGCCGTCATCTTATCCAGAACAGTTGCGGACCTAGCAAATGCAGTTAATGCATTTATCGCCTATTGTAAGGCGGAAGCTCTTAATATTAATTATAAAAAATCGAAAGTCCTCCACTTCACTCGTTCCCGCAAACTCAAGTTGGAGCCGCTTAAGATCACAGGTGGCTACTTAGAAAAGGTAAAAGCCTTTAAATATCTAGGATTAATATTCACCTATAATCTCTCCTGGACCACCCATCTACAATCTGCCTTTCTCGCTGCAACCACGACCTCTAACGCCATTGTCCGATTTTACCACCAGAAGGGCGGCAAACACCTTCCAGCAGCAATTCAAATATTTAATGCCAAAGTCGTCCCTAAATTATTATATGGATGCGAAGTATGGACTACAGCAATATCAGGTAACCTGGATCGCCCACTTCATATGTTTCTGAGATCTCTTTCCGGCGTCCCGAGATGTGTCTCAGGTGCAGCCCTACGACTCGAGTTCGCCCAGCCTTCAATTGTTAGACGAGCATGGAGTCGAGCCATTTCCTACACCTTCCACCTATTAGCATCGGATGCTCGAATCAGAGGTGGCTTTTCCAATCTGATCCTAAGAGATATTCATAATTCCCCTTGGAAAACTACAATTAACCTCAAATTCCGCTCTCTTCTCAATTTGAATTGTAAAACTGTTCTTAACTTAGAGTGTATCAGCCCGGTGGCCCTACCCCTAATTAAAAGAAACTACAGCAACTTGACTTCTCCAACACAGCTTCTTGTGCAAGAGGACCGTGTTCAGGCCTAGCCCTAGCTATTCCACCCCCCTGAAGGGATCCCTCTATACTGCTTCACAATTTCTTCGGAGACTAAGCGAAGGGCCTTCACCTGTGCCCGTCTCAACTGTTTCCCTACAGCAGTTCTGTCGGGTCGTTATTCCAGAGTTCCCATCGCAAACAGAACATGCTCCTGTAATGACACGGCCCTGGAGACTATGGAACATGTAATGCTCTTCTGTCCCAACTGGACAGATGAAAGATCTCGGTTTTTAACTCCCTCGTGAATAAGTTCCATCTCCCAATCCAGCCTTGGATAGTGTCCCTCTTTTTGCAGGATTCTGATTGTTGGATTACCGAGATGACAGCTAACTTCCTGCTTAGTGTGATGAAGAGGAAAGCGGCACTAACTTCTTCCTTAACACCACAGCTGCAGTCGATACGCCGCACAACCGAACGAAGTTCCAAGTAGCCTTATTGTACAAGGACAATCGAGTTAGGACTAATTTGAGGAGCTGAAGGACCCTTCAACGGTCCTCCTCCAGCCTCAGCAGTTTTTGTTTTTGTTTTTTTTTCACTTTTTTTAAGTATTCGCCCAGGACGATATCTACCTCTACCTCCCCACCCCCATTTTATGTTGTTATTTCAATGTATATCATGCTATGGCCACTCGGCTAATGCAATAAATCTATCTGCACTCCATCTACATATGGCTATCCAGAGCAGGATGAGGACGTTTTGGTGCCTGAGGCAGAAACCTCTGCTCTCCAAACCACACAGCATCATCGCCCCTTCCCCTACATCTTGTCTATAACTCAACAAGAGCAACAGTAGGAGTTTCTGCAAAAAACCCGAACTGATGGAAATGAATGGAAGCTGAGGAAATTAAGTTCCTTCTGTAGCAGAACTTCCTCAAATACAAATATGACACCCCAAGCCTGCCACCCGTGGCAAACACTTTCCACATTGTCTCCCAGCGGGGCTACCTGCGTGCCTGTTGTATAGTTGTGTCCGACTCTTAGTGGCCCCATGGACCAGAGCACGCCAGGCACTCCTGTCTTCCACTGCCTCCCACAGTTTGGTCCAACCATTTCGTCCTCTGTTGTCCCCTTCTTGTGCCCTCCATCTTTCCCAACATCAGGGTCTTTTCCAGGGAGTCAAGTCTTCTCATGAGGTGGCCAAAGTACTGGAGCCTCAGCTTCAGGATCTGTCCTTCCAGTGAGCACACAGGGCTGATTTCCTTCAGAATGGATAGGTTTGATCTTCTTGCAGTCCATGGGACTCTCAAGAGTCTCCTCCAGCACCATAATTCAAAAGCATCAATTCTTTGGCGATCAGCCTTCTTCGTGGTCCAGCTCTCACTTCCATACAGCATTACTGGGAAAACCATAGCTTTAACTATACGGACCTGCGTGCCTACCTGAAACAAAAGGTTATTGCATCGTCCTTCAGAGACACGCCAGCTCATGCGTTAGTAGTTAAAAGTGTTTTCTGGGTTGGTGGATACAATGGAACTGTAGGGGATGATGTGCTTACTGACCTGATAACAACCGCCACATTTACCCTTGCTTAATACCCTGGAATATAGGCATGTCCTCCTACAGTAGCCCCCCCTCCAAACCCTATGACATGACAGGATTGATTAAATACCCTAGGGCCTGAAGTCCACCCCATGTGTGCTTGTGTAGCATCTGGAAAAATGCAGCTGGCTGGGATGTTAAACTGGGCAGGGTGTGTGCGCATGAAATGAGCAACTAGAATACAGTGGTACCTCTGGTTGCAAACGGGATCCGTTCCGGAGGCCCGTTCGCAATATGAAAAGAGTGCAACCCGCAGCGGTGCGTCTGCACACACGCGGGTTGCGATTTGCTGCTTCTGCGCATGAGCTTGATGTCATTTTGCACTTCTGCACATGCACGAGCGGCGAAACCCGGAAGTAACCCTTTCTGGTACTTCCGGGTCGCCGCGGGATATAACCTGAAAGAACGTAACATGAAGGAAACGTAACATGAGGTATGACTGTACTGATACTCATCTCAGCAAAACAAAGAATTGTTTTAAAACTGGCTTTATCTCCAGTCTCGCAATACCAAATCTGGGCACCTGGCTATTCTTTTTATTCATTTTAGTTCCAATATAACATTCTGCCCAATAGCGAAGGTTTGTTCCTTGTTTATTTGCTACATTTATATCACACCTTTCCTTCAAGAAGTTCAAGATGGCAGACATCTTGTATACATCCCTCCTGTATTTTATCCCCTTCCCCCTTTTTACCCAGCCAGATGGGTGGGGTATAAATAATAAATTATTAATATTATTATTGCAACCCTGGGAGGTAGGTTAGGCTGAGAGACAGTGGCTGGCCCATGGTCATCCAGCGAGGTTCATGGCTGAGAATCAGGAGCTCAGGGTGGTTTACAGGGAAAAAAATAAAACCAGACAGAAGAGTTCTGGATGACTCAAAAGGTTTCTCAGGGTTACTTCCAGATTGTTGTTGCTTTCAGGTAGGATTCGATCTCATACCAGCAAATTTAAGTTGTGCAGTTAAAATGGTTGCGAGCTCCTGCGCAACAAACCTACTTCTCCCCCCAAAATAAAACTTTTGGCAAAAAGGAAAGTGATGAAAAATGCACTGTATACCTGAAGAAGTGTCTCCACCCCCATCGTTGAGCCTGGACACTGAGGTCCAGCTCTGAGGGCCTTCTGGCGGTTCCCTCACTGCAAGAAGTGAGGTTACAAGGAACCAGGCAGAGGGCCTTTTCGGTAGTGGCGCCCACTCTGTGGAACACCCTCCTGTCAGATGTCAAGGAAATAAACAACTATCTGACACTTATAAGACATCTGAAGGCAGATGCTTTATTGTGTTTTTAATATTCTGTTGGGAGCCACCAAGAGTGGCTGGGGAAACCCAGCCAGATGGGTGGGGTGTAAGTAATAAATTACTGTATAATAGTATTACAGTGGTGCCTCGCAAGACGAAATTAATCCGTTCCGCGAGAGTCTTCGTCTAGCGGTTTTTTCGTCTTGCGAAGCAAGCCCATTGACGGATTAGCGCTATTAGCGCTATTAGCGGTTTAGCGGCTATTAAAGGCTTAAAGGCTTAGGGGATTAGCTGCTAAAAGGCTATTAAAGGCTATTAAAGGCTTAGCAGATTAGATAAAGGGGGGGAAAAGCGAAAATAAATCTCAAGACTCGCAAGATATTTTCGTCTTGCGAAGCAAGCCCATAGGGGAATTCGTCCTGCGAAGCAACTTCAAAACGGAAAACCCTTTCGTCTAGCGGTTTTTCCGTCTTGCGAGGCATTCGTCTTGCGGGGCACCACTGTATTATTACTGGAAAATGTGGGATAACATCTGCTCAACGCATTGCCACCTAACCTTCCTACAAACAAATCAGAATGAATATGCAACAAAAAGTCATTGCATAACTCTCTCCGGAAACTTTGCACAAACACATCAGAATGAGGGCTAAATAAAGGGCTGGCACTGTCTTCTTACTGTGGCACGATGAGTCAACGTGTCTGGCTGTTAAGCAACAGGTTGGTGGTTCAAACCCACCCAGGGACAGCTGTGGGCAGAATTCCTGCACTGCAAGGGGTTGGACTGAATCTCCCAACTCTTATGATTCTATGTGGTCCTCACAATCGAATCAGAATGAATGCGTAATATGAAGTCAACATTGTTGAACCACTCTGGAAACTTTTTTTTGCGCAAAGACACCAGAATGTTGCTCCTCCGCGAGTAGCTCAACATTGTCCCACCTCCCAGCAAACGCATCAGAATAAATGCTAAATAAATCGGCCAAACTTTGTGCATGCTCAAGAAGCACAGCACCTTGAAGCAACCTCGCCTTTTTGTGACATTGCAGGTTTTTTTTAATTATTTAAATTTTTAATTTTTTCCCATTCTTTATATTCACACTTTCATCCAGGGATGCCAAATAACTTACAAAAAAATCATTCAGTCGAAAATCTAACAACATGAATCAAAAGCATCCTCCTATTAGTTATACATAACAGTATATACTTTTGTCCCTCCTCATTTATCCTAATTCCCCCCCTTCCTCCCTCCCCTTTAACCCCTCCCCCCAAAACTTGTTTCCTCTTCAGATCTTTAACCATGTGCACAGATTATTCATTCTAATTTGGATGCTTGAGTTGGCTTCCCCCAGTGCTATCCAATTCCTATAACTTGTCCATTTATTCAAAATCTTTTGACATTTGTTTTCCCATGTATCTTCCGTCATCACCTGTTCAAATATATCAAATTGTATATATTCAAAAACACAGTCATTCCATTTATCCTTTTATTTCCATCCTAATGCATTGCAGTTGACCTGATAAAGGTCAGGTTCGGGGGGTTATTTTTTTCTTATGGTCCAAAACACCTTTTTAAAAAGAGTTAGGGGCTTTCCCAGTCCCATCCTAGCGCAAAGCGTCGACTCCCTCCGTCCCCGCACATGACTCGCCTTGCAGACTGTGGGAAGGGCGGAGAAGGAGGCGCCGCCTTCCGCCCCTTTTTGCGCACAAAGGGCTTTTCGCCTTTTCTCTCTCGTCGCCCCGCCCCTCTGGCTTGCTTGTCACAGCCCAGGCGAGCAAAAAGTGCTTCTGGAGAGATTAAAACAAACCCACCAGTGTGGGCGAGACTCCCTGGGAAGGCATGCCACAAAGCAGCTCAGTTAACTCGAGGAAGGAACTGTACCGCTCGGGCTGCTGCACAGTAACGGAATGCATTTAGTTAACACAAACATGGCTGCTGCCTTCAGAGCTGCAAACCGAGCCTTGTACCCATGTAAGTGAACAAACCGGCTGCATCTTTCTCCAAAGGGTCGTTGCAATGCCTATTTCCTTCCCCCTCTCTTCCTTACTAAGAGGATTCTCCCCTCACCCCGCAGAGGGAGAATGGGGAGAGCACCTTTTAACTGGGTTTTGCTGGCTGTCTGGAGAGAAAGAAATGAGGGGGCTCTTGCATTTTCCTTTCCCCGGGGTGGCGAGAGATGCGCTTTTGCTGCGGAGGTCGATCTCCCGGGGTCAGTGGGGGGTGGGGGTGGGAAAAGAGAAAAACGGCGTTATGCAAGCAGCATGTTACAGAGGGCTCTGTCCGGCGTCTCTCTTATATAAGGACTTCTAGCAAATGCATTGCTTTTTTATTTTGTTAAAGTGACAGCACAGAAACCGCTTTTTCGCAATCCTATGCAACTTTTTACGCGGAATCAGGATAAACAGACTGGGCAAGAGAATTGTTCTTTTTTTAATTATAGAAAAGGGTTTTCAGCACGCCTTGCATAAATCAGCAGAACAAGGCTAGTACTTGAGCGAGATATTATTTTTAAAAATTAAAAATCCACGCCCACCTGAGACCCGCAGAATGCACGCGCGGACTATATAGCCCTCCCAGGTAAGGCTAAAGTGCGCGCGGTTTGGGTGCGAAAACGAAAGGGGATCCGTGTTGCTGACGCCGAGAGCTTGTTACACAACGTGGCCGCCGGAGAGGAGAGTTTGCGTAAAGGGCTTAGCACCACCTCTGGAGAGCTTTGCATCCGGCGTGCAATATCAGGGAAATGGAGAGTTTGGAAAGTGCAAACTGCAGGGAGTTTGATTGTTGTTCTGCTTGGAACCGTTTAACTTGGGGGGGTGTTTTCAGTTTAAATTAAATAATTGCAACTATTTTTATCTGGTGGTTTTTAAAAAATAGCTGTATTTTATGGTGCTGTAACCCATCCAGGGAACCTTAGGGTGAAGGAACAAATACTGTGGAATGAATATTGTCAACATTTTAAGAAACCAAAGAGATCTGCAGTTTTTGCTGACCTGCCTCTCAGCTAGGCTCGTTGCAAGGCTCGTTTTTAAATATGGAATTCGTGGGTCTTCTCCCTCCCCCGCTAGGTACAATCTTTTCCTTTCAGGGAAAACTCAGGTGGTGAATGTCAAAAGAACTGTAGCATGTTGGGAAGCCTCCAAGTTTTCAGAACTAAAAATATTTAAAAGGTGGGAGGGGAAACCAAAGCAGCCAATCTAACCCCTATAGTTGAATTTGAAGCCCATTTCAAGGCTTTCATACCAAACTTGCATGTATGATTATCGCTGTCACCTTTAAAGACTAGAATTGATCACAGTCTCTCACATGCACAACGTTTGGTGAATGGGCGCTGATGAAAAGTTTCTACCAAAAACAGTGTTCGAAAGGCTAAGCGCTTTTTGCAGAAGGGAATTTCATTAGCGTGAGCAGTTTCCGAGCTCTGGGCTCAGTACTGTGACTAAGATTTCAGATTAAAACTGCAGTGTGGAAAGAAAGGAGGACCTTTTCCTGCCTCCCCACTTCCAGCTACTCTCTGAAGACTGGAGAAGAGACCCTCTTCAGAATATTAGGGAGGTGAGCAGGGGAAGGACTGGACCATGTGAAAAATGAACATAATATTTTAGCTGCAGTTCATTCATTTTCAGTTTTGTATTAGTGCGCCTAGACATTCCATTGTTGTGCCCATAACCTAGGTTTAAGGTGCCCTTTAGCTCCTAGCTTTCATATCTCAGTTTCTAACACTGACCAAAACACAAAATGTTGGAAGTGTGATACTGGATTATGAAGGTTAGTACAGTGGTACCTCTGGATGCGAACGGTATCCGTTCCGGAGCCCCGTTTGCATCCAGAAGCGAACGCAATCTGTGCGTGCGCGGATTGCAATTTGCCGCTTCTGCTCATGCGCGTGACGTCATTTTGACTGTCTGCGCATGTGCAAGCGGCGAAACCTGGAGGTAACGCGCTCCGTTACTTCCGGGTTGCCCCAGCGAGCAACCCAAAAATACTTATCCCGAAGCTACTTCAACCCGAGGTATGACTGTATTGTCAGCTTTACGAGTGAAGGTGAGCAGTTTGCACTCCTGTTATCAGCTGTGAAGTTGGTTCCCCCCTTCCCCAAGCTCTAGACCAGGGGTCGGCAACCTAAGGCCCATGGGCCACAAGCGGCCCATGGGGGTCGTTTAACCGGCTCATGGACCCCCGCCACTCGGTCGGCTCCCATGCACTGCGCTAAACCAGCATGGAGCAGAGCAGGGACTGCCTTCCGCAACGCTGGCCAGCTTCCCATTGGCTGCAGGAAGCTCCTGCAGCCACTGGGTAGCTGCGCACGCCTCTTCAGCGCTGGAAGGAGCGCTGGAAATAGTGTTCCTGCGTGAGCGCACTCCGGCCCACTGCTGAGTCTGCAGGACCATGAATCAGCCCAAGCCACAAAAACTTTGCCAACCCCTGCTCTACACAAGTCAGCTGCCTACAAATGCAGCCCTTGTTGTTTTATAGGCAAATTTTAGAAGATCCATAATAGAGAAGCTCCGTTTGGGGGCGTCAAGTTTTGACCTCGCACAAGGCACCATATTACAACAGATGACTAAAGTATGCCCATTGTGCAGGTATCACTAAGTGGGTAGGCGGCATTGTGGAGACAGAAAAACCCCACAAGAGAAGCTCTGGAAATGGCCCTGGAAATATGCTTAAATTTAACAACTGTAGAGTGAAATAAACCAATCCTTAATTTTTTCCTAAATGCCTGACACCTGCTTATCGGGGGATTTTCTGTTGTGTTTATTTTCCGATTCCATTTGCATCCGTGTGCATTTTCGAGGAAATGCTGTAGCTCAGTGACAAGAGGCCGTTTTATGCATGGAGAAAGTCCCACGGTCAGTTCTTGGAGTTCAGCATTGACCGTTCTGGGCTCGGTGAGGACGAATCATCTGACTCCGTATGAGGCAGCTTCTCATGGGTTTTGAATGAATGAAATACCGCATTGCAAAGAAACAAACCAAGTAATAAACTAATTGTGGGTTGTTCTGTTTTCCCCTTGCTCTTGTCTAGTCACAGCAAGCAATGGCTGCAGTCGGGCAAGAGTCCAGCTACAAGGGAGATGTCAGTCAACAGCGACGGCAGCTGCGCAGACCCAAAAAACCAAGCCTCAGGCCCAACCTGAAAAGAGGTAGGGAGCTGTTGTGTGGGTGGTTCATCTGCACAGGAACTGATAAAGCTCTACATATGGGTGTAGTTTAAACTGAAGAACCTCAGAGAAATTACATGCTTTTCAGAGAAGGGGCAGGGGACCCTGCGGCTCTGCAAATATTGGTGGACTGTAGTTCCCTTCAGCCCTGGCTAGCATAGCTGACAGGCGTGAGGGGAGTTTCAGGCCACCAATATTTGGAGGGTAGCAGGCTTCTCACCCCTGCAAAAAAAATTAAAAGTAATGTCTGGCTGTGCATACCTTTAACAGGGAGTAAGCCCAACTGGAACACAGTGAGGCTTGCTTACAAATTAAAATGGCTAGGATTTTGGTGCCTGTTAAGCTAGTGTTACCCGTTGGCTGATGAGAGAGCCAACGACGAGAGCCAGAGTGGTGTAGTGGTTAAGAGCGGTAGTCTCGTAATCTGGTGAACCGGGTTCGCTTCCCCGCTCCTCCACATGCAGCTGCTGGGTGACCTTGGGCTAGTCACACTTCTCTGAAGTCTCTCAGCCCCACTCACCTCACAGAGTGTTTGTTGTGGGGGAGGAAGGGAAAGGAGAATGTTGGCCGCTTTGAGACTCCTTAGGGTAGTGATAAAGCGGGATATCAAATCCAAACTCTTCTTCTCTTCTGATGAGGAGTGAATATTAACGCCTCCCTTCAGTGCTGGATTTACATATAAGCTAAACAAGCTATAGCTTAGGGCCCCACTCTCTTGGGGCCCCCCAAAAAACTTAAAGGGAAAAAAACTGGATGTGCATTTCCAAAATATAAAACAAAAAACAAATAAAATAAAACCTACATACAGCAACAGTGTTTTGTGTTGTGGAGTCTCCTATGATGTAAGTCATGGGCCCCACCTGCTAGCCTGCTCCCTAAAATATCACTGGTTTGTTCATTTTTATATATAGGGTGCCTACATTCTGCTATTTATAATTATTAGTAGTTTGCATCATCTATTTACACCTGTTATTATTTCATGTTATAGCAAGTTTCTAGAGACTAGATTATGAGTCTTTGTAAATTGTATTTCTAAAGGAACTTTTGTTATTGCCAAATGCCAATGTGTTTGCATTACTGTATTAAGTTTGTTATGAATAAAAAATCATTTTAAGTTAGCACTTAATAATAATTTCACTATTTATATACTTCTTCTCTGGTGGCACTTATTTATTTTGCAATGTTTCTAGGCCGCCTTTCAGGGGCGGGGCGGGGAGAAGGCCTTTCCAAAGCAATTTGGACGTAAAATAAAATGTAACACTTCAATATAGAGTTTCAGCACAATAACAGTCATTTTAAACAGGTACCCATTATGATGCCTTCCAAACGTGGGTTGGACTCCATCTCCCATCAGCCCAAGCCAGCATGGCCAATATCTGGGGGCACAGGAGTAGCTGGGGGATGCTGGGAGTTGTAGTCCCAGCACTATGTGACAGGCACCCTGCTGGTTACTCCCAGGTTAAAATATCTCACAGTCAGCCAAATAAGAAGCAAACAAAAAATGGAAAGTGGAAGGCAACAGCCCTTGTTTTATTTTGAATTGATGTGTTAAACTTATCCTCCTGTTCTCTTTTTTCCTATAGGAAACCTAAAACAGGGATCTTGATGTTAAACATGGGAGGTCCAGAGACACTTGGAGATGTCCATGATTTTCTTCTTAGGCTTTTCCTTGACAGAGACCTGATGACTCTACCGGTCCAAAAGTAAGGCTTAGTGCTTCGGTCTGCCAGAAGTCGTGCTGAGTTGCTTGCTGTTTTGGGAGGTTTAGGAACTCTTTCTTTCTTTCTTTCTTTCTTTCTTTCTTTCTTTCTTTCTTTCTTTCTTTCTACACCTAGCTTTCTTTCTTTATTGTTTCATAAAATGTATACACCATTTGATTGTTGTTTAAAAACACACACCCTTAAAGCAATTCATGAAGAGAGCAAAGCAATAAAATGACCGGCAAAAGCAGTTAAAAACAACTACCGTATTTTTCGCTCCATAGGACGCACCGGACCATAGGACGCACCTTGTTTTAGAGGGGGAGAACAAGAAAAAAAAAAATCTCCTCCTCTCTGCTGAGCGCCCCTTCAGCAAAGCGGCAGGAGAAACGGAGCCCCTTCCATTTCTCCTCCCGCTTCGCTGAAGGGGCGCTGCGCAGCTCTCCCTCTCTGCTGAAGCAAGACTCTCCTGGCTTCAGCGAAAGAAAGCAGAAGCCTGCGGAGCGCACCGACCCCTCTCGCTCTCCAGGCTTCAGCGAAAGAAGCGCGGAGGGAGCGCTCCCTCTGCGCTTCGGAGGCTTTCGCTAAAGCCAAGGAGCCTGTATTCACTCCATAGGACGCACACACATTTTCCCTTAATTTTTGGTGGGGAAAAAGTGTGTCCTATAGAGCGAAAAATACGGTACTTAGAACATTTGTAAAATAATTAGCAATAAGCTAAAAGCAGATTAAAACACATGTCAATCTGAGCAGGCTTTTGGTCAGGAAGGGTGATGGTTGACTTCCCTGCCTTGGTTGGAATTTTCATTAGCTGACTTAAATGTGATGCAGGTAAGTAGAAAGTATTTGACACCTTGTGTGGTGTTGCATATATCTGGTAACATTGAAACGGTGCCTTCAGTTCCTGCAAACCGCTGGCTTGCAGTTCCATGCCATGCCAGCCAGTCTGTGGTTTCTAGGTGTGCTAACATGTGCATAGCTGCTGATGGCTCAATCTGAAATCTGTGTCCAGGGCGGCTGTCTACCAGCTTCATCTGCTACTCAGGTTGAGACCCTACCTGCCCATGGACTGTCTTGCCAGAGTGGTGCATGCTCTGGTTATCTCCCGCTTGGACTACTGCAACGCGCTCTATGTGGGGCTACCTTTGAAGGTGACCTGGAAACTACAACTACTGCAATCCAGCATGCAGTAGCTAGACTGGTGACTGGGAGCGGCCACTGAGACCACATAACACCGGTCTTGAAAGACCTACATTGGCTCCCAGTACGTTTCCTAGCACAATTCAAAGTGTTGGTGCTGACCTTTAAAGCCCTAAATGGCCTCGGTCCAGTATACCTGAAGGAGCGTCTCCACCCCCATCATTCTGCCCGGACACTGAGGTCCAGCTCCAAGGGCCTTCTGGCAGTTCCCTCACTGCCAGAAGTGAGGTTACAGGGAACCAGGCAGAGGGCCTTCTCGGTAGTGCTGCCCCCCCCCCCCCCCGTGGAACGCCCTCCCATCAGATGTCAATGAAATAAACAACTATCAGACTAAGACATCTGAAGGCAGCCCTGTTTAGGGAAGCTTTTAATATTTGATGAATCATTGTATTTTAATATTCTGCTGGAAGCTGCCCAGAGTGGCTGGGGAAACCCAGCCAGATGGGCATGGTATAAATAATATATTATTATTATTATTATTATTATTATTATTATTTATTATACAAGATGCTGGTGAACAGGATGGAGGTAAAGTGAGATTGCTATTGCTAACAGCCATGTCTCGACATTTCAGTAAGCTGGCGCCTTTTATTGCCAAGCGACGGACGCCCAAAATCCAGGAACAGTATAGTCGGATTGGTGGAGGGTCGCCTATTAAGAAATGGACTGCTACGCAAGGAGAAGGCATGGTGAAGCTGTTGGATGAAATGTCTCCCCACTCTGGTACATGAGTCCTTCCTTTAGGCATGTCCTGCAAATACTTTTTAAAAAAGACTCTGCACACATTTGTATGGCAAAAAGCCAAGAAAAATACTCTCTTCCAAGCGGTGCATGTGAAAAAGATCCATGTACAGTGGTACCTCGGAAGTCAAACGCCTTGTGACTCAAACGTTTTGGCTCCTGAACCCCGCAAACCCAGAAGTGAGTGTTCCGGTTTGCGAACGTTCTTTGGAACCCGAACTTCCGGCGTGGGTTCCATGACTTCCGATGGGGTGCAGGAGCTTCCTGCAGCCAATTGGAAGCCGCGCCTTGGTTTCGGAACATTTTGGAAGTTGGACGGACTTCTGGAATGGGTTCCGTTTGACTTCCGAGGTACAACTGTCGTGGCCTAAAATGCGAGAAGCACAGTTACAGGGAGCCAGGCGGGAGGGCCTTCTCAGAAATGGCACCCTCCCTGTTCAGTGCCCCCCCATCAGACGTCAAGGAAATAAGTAACTATACAGTGGTACCTCGGGTTACATATGCTTCAAGTTACACACTCCGTTAACCCAGAAATAGTTCTTCAGGTGAAGAACTTTGCTTCAGGATAAGTACAGAAATTGGGCTCTGGCGGCGCGGCGGCAGCAGGAGGCCCCATTAGCTAAAGTGGTGCTTCAGGTTAAGAACAGTTTCAGGTTAAGAACAGACCTCCGGAACGAATTAAGTACTTAACCTGAGGTACCACTGTACAGCCTTTAGAAGAAATCTGAATGCAGCACTGTATAGGGAAGTTGTTTAATGTTTTATTTTTATATATGTAGGAAGCCGCTCCACTCAGGGTACAAATAATAATAATAATAATAATAATAATAATAATAGTTATAACCAGAGGCAAAGCCCTTTAGGGAATGTTGGGATACTGCCGGGGAGACGGGGGCATCAGGCAGGCCCCCAGCTGGCTCCAGCCACCGGCCGGCAGCGGGGCGATCACCAGTCTCCCTTGGAACAGCATCAAACAGCGACACGAGCCTCAGATACGTTTAGAGACTCGGCACGCTCTATCAGCAGAGTGAATAAATCTTTGCACAACGGAAGTGGCGGACAGAGAAATGTGTAAGCATATTTACAGCATTTATTCAGCATAGTTTAGGAACAAACGAAAAAACATGTCTGCTTCCCTACGTGTCCAGCAAACAGCTGAAAGCAAAAGCAATATACAGAACGGAAGTTCCCGGCAAGTGCTGGAAGTAAACAGGCATGTGACACACAACAGTCATGCCTGTTCCCTTTTAAGGTGGAACGGAACTATATCCTAACAGGGAAGAGCTGTAGCTCAGTGGTAGAGCATCTGCTTTGCAGGCCAAAGGTTGCAGGTTCAATCCCCAGCATCTCCAGGTCGGGCTGGGAATGTCCCCTGCATAAAACCTCAGAGAGCTGCTGCCAGTCCGTATTGACAGTACTGAGCTCGATGGAGCAGTGCTTTGCTCGATAAACGCAGAAGGCACCTGCCTAATAAGCAAAGCTAACAAATTCTGCGGTATAGTTGCTGCGTTAAGCGGCCCGTTTCATGGCAAACATCCAGCGGATGTTGTGAGGAGCATTGAGCGATGGTTCTCAAAGAAAGAGAAGGGTGGCTTGTAGCATGGCCAGAACGCTGCCTGTTCATGTTTGAACCAGCTCCAACAAGTCCCCCTGGCTGCTGATACTGAACACAAGCAGATCTGAGTGTGGCTTGCCGTTCCCGCCGAAACCGTTACTCCTTCCTTATCCTCCAGCCTGAACTCAGGGGAGGAACCTCGCAAGTTGTTGGGTGGGGCCGATGACAGTTGCTCAACTTGAGGGCGCCGGGGGAGTCTGGCAAAATGAGAACCTTATCATATCAGACACTCTCTAAATGGTCCATTTGTCAGGCACCCAAATAACCAGAGTTCTGTGGGAGATGGAACAGGTTGAACCAAGTTGCAGCTGCACCTGAATCCTCCCCATCGGCAGACCCAGACGCAGATGTGCTTAGTTACCATGCATTGCATGTCCATCTCTTGACCCGGTGATGTGTCAATCAGCCATTCTGGATCAAAGCCACCAGGCGGAACTTTGGTATCCGCAAGCACGATGCTTTTAAAAGAGACCTGCTAGTGTGGGACACAAGATTGATGTGCGTTGCAAAGCAATTGCACGTGCGAACTGCGGTAATTAGACCAGCGCACGTAGATCGTGTTCTTGACACAAGTAAGCACACTGCGAAAGATCTGAAGGCTAGTCTCCAACACTCCCTCGCCTTGTCAGGCAAGTCAGTAGCTTTTTTTTTTTTTTTAAAAAAAGTAAAATTAGTGTGTTTAAAAGGGCTGGGGAATTGGGAGCATTAAGTTAATGGTTTAGGGAGCCTTATCTGCTCCTGTCAGACCTCATCACTCCCTCTGATTTTACAGGCTGGCTTCCCCAGTGAAAGCCGCCCTGACTTTTATCTATTTGTACATCCTTTGCATCTTAACTTTCACTCCTGTTATGTCAGGCAGGCCTCTTCTGCTTCTACCATGGCTGCGGGCTACTGTTTTTTTGCTAGATAAGTGCAAAGCAGGTAGGAAAGGGGAACAACACTTGTTGGAAGCATGCTGGAGTCTGCGACTCCGACATGATGGAAGTCTTTGCTTCCTTGGAGTTCTGTTTAAAATGGTTAGTTTGTCTGTTTTCTCCTTTCCAGCTGTCAAGGTTTCCTATTGGGCAAAATACAGTGGTACCTTGGGTTACATACGCTTCAGGTTACAGACTCCGCTAACCCAGAAATAGTTAAGAACTTTGCTTCAGGATGAGAACAGAAATGGTGCTCCGGCGGCAGCAGGAGGAGGCCCCATTAGCTAAAGTGGTGCTTCAGGTTAAGAACAGTTTCAGGTTAAGAACGGACCTCCGGAATGAATTAAGTATTTAACCCAAGGTACCACTGTACCAATTTAGTGGGTCATTGGGAGTTGCTATGATGTCTGCCCAAAGTGCTCGTGTTCTATTAAAAAGATGTGCAAACCAGCTGGGTTGTGTGTTTTTTTTCAGTTTGAGGATTTAGGTCACACACAAACCCTCTAGTGTAAATTCAAAATTTCCATTGTTCTAGGTGCATTTTGCGACAGTGAATTTCATTAGCGCGAGCAGTTTCTGAGCTCTGGGCACAGTACCGCATCTAAGATTTCAGATTAAAACTGCAGAGTGGAAGGAAAGGAGGACCTTTTTTCTTCCTAACCACTTTCAGCTGGCTGGGCAGGAGAAGGACTAGACCATGGGTAGGCAAACTAAGGCCCGGGGGCCGGATCCGGCCCAATCGCCTTCTAAATCCAGCCCACAGATGATCTGGGAATCAGTGTGTTTTTATATGAGTAGAATATGTCATTTTATTTAAAATGCATCTCTGGGTTATTTGCGGGGCATAGGAATTCGTTCATTTTTATTTTATTTTTCAAAATATAGTCCAGGCACCCACAAGGTCTGAGGGACAGTGAACTGGCCCCCTGCTGGAAAAGTTTGCTGACCCCTGGACTAGACCATGTGAAAAATGAACATAATATTTTAGCCGCGGTTCGTTCATTTTCAGCTTTGTATTCTTGTTATTAAAAAAAAAGGCATTCCATTGTAGCACCCATAACCTTGGTTTAAGGTGCCGTTTAGCTCCTAGCTTTCATATCTCAGTTTCTAATGCTGTTGCCATACACCACTCGGAGAGCCTTTCAGAATTGTTGAGTTGGAAGGGACCCCGAGGGTCATCTAGTCCAGCCCCCTCTTTATTGTTTTTAAAAATATTAATAAGGTAGAAAAGACCACAGTGCAGATGCTGCTGCAACTGGAAGGCCCAGGCAATGTTTACACCAGCTTTTTCACCAACCTGGTACCCGCCAAATGTTTTTGCTATCAATGTGTGTGATCCAAAACATCTGGCGGGTGCCAGGGTAGCGAAATGCTGCCTCACATAATGTTTAGATCACGTTGCTCCACAGAATAAGTTCACCAGCTGTCTTCTGTTTCCAGCGCCGCACAAGTACTACATCGGATTCCGCTATGTCCACCCTCTGACGGAGGAAGCCATTGAAGAGATGGAGGAGGATGGCGTTGAACGGGCTGTTGCTTTCACACAGTACCCACAGTACAGCTGCTCCACCACAGGTGAGCCCGTACCTGGAGTACAGAATCAATGCCTGGCCTCCAAAGGCAGGCCTTGGTCTAATCCAGGGGCCAGCTCTGGGAATCTGTTTGTTCTATGCCTCAGCAAGAATCATAGCTGTCAACTTTCAGATTTGAAAATAAGGGATCAGCAGCCTTGAAAATAAGGGATCAGCAGCCGCACCTGTCCTGGGGACAGTCTACGGGATATCTGACAATCCGGGATAGTAGCAGGAAACGGCGCTGGAATAAGGGAATTTCTCGCAAAAAAAGGGAAGGTTGACAGCTATGGCAAGAATACGCAAGGCAGTATTAAAATAGATAGTCTTCCTCTTGATTTTGCGTAACCGCAGTCCATTCTGCACCTGAGCAGGCTCAGGTCAGGTGCTAGCATCTAGGCTTGCTAGAACCCCAACAGGAGTTCTCCAGGAGTTTCCCCCCAGTGTTGCCTCGAGTTGCCAGAGATTGGACCTTCTGCATGCCAAGCCAGGGCTTTGCCACGAGCTCTACTTGGGCAGCAGCAGCAATACTGTACAGGGTTCTCCTTTGGCTCGTTGCACAATTCATGCTGGTCTTGCTTTATGTGAAAGTGAGGTGGCGGTTATGTCAGCAAGCAGCCAGGCAGGTACGCTTTTACTTAGATGTGGACGTGCAGCAGAAAATGGTATTCAAAACTTGACTTTTAAAAAATGGTTTAGAACCACTGAATATCAGTTTCTGAGGAACAATAGGCAGGGGAAATGTGGAACCTGCTTAGCTGTGCCACAGCCCAAAAATTATTAGCTGGTGGTAACATGGAGGTGACCTTTTTTCACTGGTACCACCCGTGTTGTGGAACGCTCTCCCTGCTGAAATACGAGAGGCCCCATCAGTATTGGCGTTCCGCCGGCTCTTGTTTCATTACCTTCCCTTTTCCCATGAACCTCCTCTCTTAACTAAGGTCTTGTTTTATCGCTCATTTTAATTGTGTGTGTCTGTTTCAGTGTTTTGTTGGAATTGCCTTGTGTATTTTAACGTGTGCTTACATTTTCTGGTAGCTGTCTTTATACTTGTAAACGGCTTCGAAGCCACTTGGGCAGTGTAAATTCAGTAACAAGAATAATACGTCCTTTTTGAGAGGCTTATCTTCCTGGCGACACCAGCCTGACCACTGTGAGGGACTAAATGGACCTTGGGTCTGATCTAGCAGGGAACTCGTCCTTCGCAGAGTCCCTGTATCCCCTCCTTCCTTACCACAAGTCGCCTTTTCTGCTCTTTTTGCCTTTCTGATGGGCTCATTGCTTTTGTCCCCTTCAGGGAGCAGCTTAAACGCTATTTATCGCTACTATGACAAAAAGGGGGATAAACCAAAGATGAAGTGGAGCACAATCGACAGGTGGCCAACGCATCCCCTTCTCATTCAGGTATGGAATTATTGGTGGGAACCAAAGCGAGGAGTAGCGGAAACCAGCCAGGTTTGCCAAAGTGCCAAGCGTCTGTTGTGTCTGTGGGGGCAGGATGCAGGACAGTGGTTCTCCAACTCGGGTCTCCAGCTGTTGTTGGACTACAACTCCCATCATCCCTAGCCAGCAGGATGATGGGAGTTGTAGTCCAACAACAGCCGGGGACCCCAGGTTGGGAGAAACACTTGATAGGATCTCTCTGACATGCAGTGAGAACGTAGGTTCCTCAAGGAGCACGAGGCTGTATTTGTGAAACAAATAGCTGAATAGGTCAGGGTTCTTACTTGGAGCCTTTTCCCATATTTTATAATCGTTTTTTGTTTTATTCTTACGTAAAAATGCATAATTGTTAGTTGGTGCATGCATAGAAAGGTTGGAAGAAAATCTTGGTGTAACATAGGATAATACTATTATTATTTTAAAAAATGCATTCAAATTCTCAGCTGTGCTTGAGGATCACTGTCATGATTGGGGAGGCTGGTATTTGGACTTGTGCTTTATTTCTCCAACTTTTGCTTTTCAGTGCTTTGCAGACCACATCCAGAAGGAATTGGACTTATTTCCGCCCGACAAAAGGAAAGATGTAGTTATCCTGTTTTCCGCTCACTCTCTGCCAATGTCTGTGAGTAACAGCAATCCATTTCCAAAGCTGCAAAATATTTTCTTAGAGGGGTGATTTTTAAAAAAATCCTTGTTTGTATGATCTAATGATCCATTCGCCAGTTTGCCTGTCCATACACAAAGACCTGCTCCCTGCCTTGCAGGCCTTTTCCTACCTGGCCTGGGAGGGTGGAGCCCGGACTGACTCCAGCTACAAAAGCTGAGGCTGTTGAACCAACTCCTGGCCGGGGCTGTTGTTGTTGTATCTTTATTTTAGATCTTGTGATTTATATAGGAGTATAGCATCTAGATCAAGGGAAGTAATAGTGCCACTGTATTCTGCTCTGGTCAGACCTCACCTGGAGTACTGTGTCCAGTTCTGGGCACCACAGTTCAAGAAGGACACTGACAAACTGGAACGTGTCCAGAGGAGGGCAACCAAAATGGTCAAAGGCCTGGAAACGATGCCTTATGAGGAACGGCTAAGGGAGCTGGGCATGTTTAGCCTGGAGAAGAGGAGGTTAAGGGGTGATATGATAGCCATGTTCAAATATATAAAAGGATGTCACATAGAGGAGGGAGAAAGGTGGTTTTCTCCTGCTCCAGAGAAGCGGACACGGAGCAATGGATCCAAACTACAAGAAAGAAGATTCCACCTAAACATTAGGAAGAACTTCCTGACAGTAAGAGCTGTTCGACAGTGGAATTTGCTGCCAAGGAGTGTGGTGGAGTCTCCTTCTTTGGAGGTCTTTAAGCAGAGGCTTGACAACCATATGTCAGGAGTGCTCTGATGGTGTTTCCTGCTTGGCAGGGGGTTGGACTCGATGGCCCTTGTGGTCTCTTCCAACTCTATGATTCTATGATTCTATATGGAAATTGTTCAGCTTGGTTGTGCTTATCAAAATGTTTTATTTATTGTTCATTACTACTTTTGTTATGTTGTGGTTATGTATTTTTTTCTCATGTTGTAAGCCACCTTGGGCATGGTTTGAACTGCAGAAAGGCGACACACAAATAAAATTATGTATGACTGTAGAGTGTCAGAAATACTGGGTTCTTCCTCGTATCATTCTCCTGCCCCGCGCAGGGATTTTTGAGATCTGTGGAAATTTGGTGCCATCTAGTGGTTTCTCTTTAGCACCGAAAATAAGTTGCAATGCTGCAGTTCTGAATTAAGCTGTCTGGAGTTTGAAGGCACAAATGTTGCTTCAGTGGAAGAACAAACCACTAGAAATTATTTTTTAAAATATCCCCCGATAACATATTGCATCTGCTTGAAATGCCTTGTGCCTTGTATTAAACTACAATCGGTTGGCTCCCGAACGCCACAAACCTGGAAGTGAGTGTTCTGGTTTGCGAACTATTTTTGGAAGCCGAACTGTCCGATGTGGCTTCTGATTGGCTGCAGGAGCTTCCTGCAGCCAATCAGAAGCCATTCTTTGGTTTCCGAATGTTTTGGAAGTCGAACGGACTTCCGGAACGGATTGCGTTCGACATCCAAGGTATGACTGTATCTCCCTAGGAAGTGGAATGAATTGCTGAACCTCTCTGTCAAGTGTAGCTCTGTAAGGAGAATTAGGGTCTCCCAGCGACACTCAGCACCCTTGACAAAACTCCATTTCTCGGGATTCCTTGCAGGAAGCCATGGCTGTTTAAAGTGGCGTGATACTGCTTTAAACATATATAGTGCAGACAGGGGCCATAATTTATTGGGTATAAGAAACAATTGGTTCTAAGCTTAGGCTGGGGCTGCATCTGATGGGACTTCTTATGAGTAAGGGGAACCCTTTAACTGGCATGTGTTGTTGCAAAGTGTGGACTAATTGCGGTGGTTTGATAGCGTAGGGGGAGCATTTGTAGTGTTTGTTTTAACCCCGATTGAGCTGTTTTAGCTAACTTGCCCTTTCTGTCCCATAGGTAGTTAATCGTGGCGATCCGTACCCACAAGAGGTGGGAGCAACCGTTCAGAGGGTTATGGAGAAACTCAACTACTCCAACCCGTATAGGCTTGTGTGGCAGTCCAAGGTATATTTTTATTTCATTTATTGACATCATGGGCATACTGTCCAGTGAAAGACCGCAGGACAGTTAGCAATAAGCTTGTTCAGCTGTCGGAATTGGCCTGTGAGAGTAGATCCTGATAAGGATCTGACCCACAAAGCTTAAAAGTGTCCCCACGCCTGCTTTAAAATGTGGTGTATATATTGAATCACAACTTAATACAGTGGTACCTCTGGTTAAGTACTTAATTTGTTCTGGAGGTCCGTTCTTAACCTGAAACTGTTCTTAACCTGAAGCACCACTTTAGCTAATGGGGCCTCCCGCTGCCGCCGGACCGCCAGAGCACAATTTCTGTTCTCATCCTGAAGAAAAGTTCTTAATCTGAGGTACTATTTCTGGGTTAGCGGAGTCTGTAACCTGAAGTGTCTGTAACCCGAGGTACCACTGTAATCTCTCTCTCTCTCTCTCTCTCTCTCTCTCTCTCTCTCTCTCTGTGTGTGTGTGTGTGTGTGTGTCCTTTACCCTAGGTTGGTCCTATGCCTTGGCTGGGTCCTCAAACGGATGAGACGATCAAAGGGCTTTGCCAGAGGGGAAAGAAGAATATTTTGCTGGTTCCAATAGCGTTTACTAGTGACCACATAGAAACGCTCTACGAACTGGACATCGAATACGCGCAAGTCTTAGCCAGTGAGGTAAACTGTTCTGCTTTCCTTGCCATTCTGCACAGTTGTAGGCTGAAGGCTTTAAGCCTGCTTAATAGAAAGCAGATCCCATTATAAACATAGAGTCATAGAATTGTAGAGTTGGAAGGGACCCTATGCAGGAATCTCAGCTAAAGCATCCATGACACATGGCCATCCAGCCTCGCTTAAAAACATCCAAGGAAGGAGAGTCCACAATCTCTGGAGGGAGATGGTTCCACTGTCCCAACAGCTCTTACTGTCAAAAGTTTTTCCTGATGTTTAGTCAAGAAATCTCCTTTCTTGTAGCATGATGCTTATTTCTGTGTAACCATGTTTAAAATAGGGCTGTAGGTTTTGTTTCCAGGGGGCAGCTGCGTTTATCTGCTGGCAGCCAAAACAGCAGAGAATTTATGTGGCGCCTTAAAAACTTAACAGATTTCATTGGGCACAAGCTTTCGTGGATTACACTCCATTTTCATCAGCTGCCTGCACGAAGTATTATTGTGATTTAAAGACAGGTAGGTAGGTAGGTTCTAAGGGACGCGGGTGGCGCTGTGGGTTAAACCACAGAGCCTAGGACTTGCCTATCAGAAGGTTGGCGGTTCGAATCCCCACGACGGGGTGAGCTCCCGTTGCTCGGTCCCTGCTCCTGCCAACCTAGCAGTTCGAAAGCACGTCAAAGTGCAAATAGATAAACAGGTACCGCTCCGGTGGGAAGCTAACCGGCATTTCCATGTGCTGCTCTGGTTCGCCAGAAGCGGCTTAGTCATGCTGGCCACATGACCCAGAAGCTGTACGCCGGCTCCCTCAGCCAATAAAGTGAGATGAGCGCCGCAACCCCAGAGTCGGTCACTACTGGACCTAATGGTCAGGGGTCCCTTTACCTAGGTAGGTTCTGTGATTTTGTGTTGGCACCCTTCACCATCCAGGTGCCCCTTCCAGCGCCTGTTGGCTTTTGTAGTACAAAACACTTGAAGGCACCAGGGTGGCGAAGGTTGGTGTAGAATAGTCCCTCACCCCCAACCATGTTTCAGTCTGTACCTGTAATTCAAGATGGTGTTTCTGATGTAGTCCATGAAATATAATATATAATTAATGCCTAAAACACTTAAGTGGAACCAGGCGTTCAGGGCTCTGTATATGTAAACAAGAACCTTGAATGCGGCGTGGTAGTGTATGTCTTAACAACAATTAAAACTCAGCACCAAGGAACTAGACATTAAAGACGAAAGGGTGTGTGTGTGTGTTGGGTGTTTTCTCCTGCTCTCTGTTAGCGGATGACACAATCCAGGATTTAGGTTATTTCCTCTTGAGAGGGACAGGATGGAAGCAGCTACATGTGACATAGCAGGTTGGCTGTGATGGTTAAAATGACCACCAATAGAAGCAGCCCTTTTCACTGCTGTGCTGTTGGTTGGATGCAAGCACTAAATATCAGTGCAGTTTGCAAATGGAAAGCCATATTTGGGTAAAAATCCCGGGGTTTGGGTAGCAGAAAAGAGTTGATGTAAATGGGTTGGTTTGGCGGGGGGGGGGGGTTTGGGGGGGGACCACTTCCCCAGTCCCTTGGCAATCAGACAGTGTGTTTGCAGATTTTTCCTAAGTGATTTCCAGGGTACTGGAGGGACATGGGACTACAGCAGCAGCGGGGAATCCGTAGCCCTCCAGATGTTGCTGAACTACAACTCCCATCATCCCTGACTGTTGGCCAGCCTGGCTGAGGTTGATGGGAACCAGGAGTTTCACATCATCTAGGGGTGCCACAGGCTCTCCATAACTGGACTGCAGGAAAGCTCCTGTACTGCTCTAATAACGTATGAACTGGGCTTAATTGTGCCTCATTAATTCCCGTTGCTCTCTGCATCATCCTTGAAACAAGGGCTTTGTCTGAGGGCTATGGACTTAGTGAGATGATACCACATGTTAAACTATTTGCTCCCTCTCTTCTTCTCCAGTGTGGAGTCGAAAACATCCGAAGAGCAGAATCCCTTAATGGAAACCCATTGTTTGCCAAGGTAATTCCACCCCTTTTGAGTCTCTCCAGTCTCCTAGTTAGGGATGGCAGACATGATTCCCATCCTTGTCAATTTTACAGGGGTTCAGCTTTTTTTCTACCGCTCCTGTTAAGTAAGAGGAAGGGATGTAGCTCAGTGGTACAGCATCTGCTTTGCATGCACACAGATGGAGCAAGGTTGAAAGCAAACTATTGTATTGGTAGACCATGTATACCTGAAGGAGCTTCTCCACCCCCATCATTCAGCCCGGACACTGAGGTCCAGCGCTGAGGGCCTTCTGGCGGTTCCCTCACTGCGAGAAGTGAGGTTTACAGGGAACCAGGCAGAGGGCCTTCTTGGTAGTGGCGCCCACCCTGTGGAACACCTTCCCTTCAGTTGTGAAGGAAATAAGCAGCTATCTTATCTTTAAAAGACATCTGAAGGCAGCCCTGTTTAGGGAAGTTTTTAATATTTAACGCTGTACTGTTTTTAACACTTGATTGGGAGCCGCCCAGAGTGGCTGGGGAAACTCAGCCAGATGGGCGGGATATAAATAATAAATAAATAAATAATAATAATAATAATTATTATTATGAGAATTCGTCCCTCACAGCTCAGTAATGTCTACACTGGCTGGCAGCAGTGCTCTAGGGTTTTGTATGGGGCCATTCTGGGCCTTACCTGGACATGCCTAGGATTGAACCTGCAACCTTCTGTATGCAATGCAGTTGCACCAGCACTGATCTCTTGTTCAGGTGTGGAGAAATTATTGGACTGGGTTTTCTAGTTCGGCAGAATGATCCTGACTCCTGCGGAGATAGGGAGGAGGATTAGGATGGGACAAAGGAGTGGCTTTGCTAGGACCCCCCCCCTCCGGCCACCTATGGAAAGTTCCACAGTATAGTTGTGTCCAACCATCAGTGCTTGGAGACAGCAAATTCAAAGCTCCCCTAATTGGGATGTGAATAGGTGCTAGGGGAGGCTAGATGTACAGTTGCAATCACAATAATTCAACCCCCGTTGCAAATCAGGTTTATTATCAAAATTGACAGACTTTCAGCTGTTTTGCAATAAGCAAATCAAAAGCAGTTGAAACTTCAGATGCTTCAAGTGGTTTCCCCAAGTTCAGCTGAAAACGCAATAATAGTGAGACTGGAGAAGCCAACATAAGTTTCACTTTCAGCTGAATTTGGGAAACCACTTGAATATTTCCGATTGCCACTGTATTAGATATTTAATTCTTCCTTCCTCACGTTTGTGAGTTCAGCAGAGTGCCATCCCTTTGCAGCTGAGAAGGGAAGCTTAGTTTTAGCCTTTTATTTTAAGTAATCCAGGATGCTTTAAGGCAGTCTGGAATTTCCTGGTATTTCCCCTTTTTCTACTCCTTAAAATAATAATTACACAGATAGCCTTGTAAAAGATAAAAAATAACATTTACTAACTCAGGATACTTGCTGAAGAGCAACAGATGCAGCAACTTGGTTCCGGCAGGCTTAAAGAGGGTCTCCTCTGTGGGGTGTGCATGAAACAGGGCCTTCTCAGTGGTGTCACCCAGGCTGACACCCAATTTGTTCCCTTCCTGACTTCCACAACCAGTGGAACCAGTGCCACCCAAGCATTTAATTAATAAATGCCCAAGATACTCAATGGTCTGTTGAAACACATCTGGAAAATCTTGTGAAGGGAATTTTCCATAGCATACGTTTTTAATCTCAATTTGGCCTTTGATACTCCCTTGCATCAATAAACCCAGCTTGCAACAACAACAACAATAATAACAATGTACATATATTGTAAGATCACCAGCTTGCACTTACCTTTTTGTTGGAAGCCTAATGTTTGTGGTTTTTGTCCTTCATTTTTTTAAAAAAACATTTTATATTATTTTACTTCTTTTCAGGCCCTCGCAGACTTGGTCTCTTCCCATCTCAAGTCGAACGAAATCTGCTCCAAGCAGTTAACCCTCAGTTGCCCGCTTTGCGTGAATCCCACTTGCCGAAAGACAAAATCGTTCTTTACCAGTCAGGAGCTGTGATGCGCATTTGCAGTGGGTTCACTTGACACAGAGTATAACTCTGTGGATCCTGCCCTGTGCGCCCGTTTACACTGCTTTCTTTTGCCCCACTCAGGGCCGCTTCAGACGGGACGATTAGCCTCCTGTGTGTGCTAAGAAGGGTCCCAAATGGGGTTTGCACTGGTCTGAAGGAGGGATGAATCTGAAATCTTTTTATGTTTATTTTTTGTTTCTATGGAGGGATCTTGCATTGGAAGGGAAGTAACATTTCAAAGGGTTTCATCCTGCCGGGGTTGCTGAGAACACACTTGTCTTCCTATAAAGGCATTCAGGGGACTCTTAGCACCTCGCAGTATCAAGCTTGGCACTAGGCACTGAAAAACGAGCAAAATTTCTGATACTTATGAACTGCATATATACTGGAGTAGGGTTCAGCAGTGATGTTGAATAATAGCAACTGGCTCGATTTCAGCTTGCAGGGACTGGTTGCTGTCCAGGTTAGTTTAATCACTTCTAAAAGAACTACTCCAAGGAACTTGACCTGAGAGTTACAACATAGATCTCTTAATATGTACTTGTCATAAAAATAGTATTTTTAAAATCCTTCCATGTAGGATACTACTTTTTCCCCCTCTGTGGTGTGTTTTGTTTTTTCACGCTTGGAACTCTGCAACTAACCACACTGACCATCACACTGCTGATACTGGTTTGTTTCAAATCAACTGACACCTTTTTTAAAGCATGTATTTGTGTTTTTTTAAAAAATGAAGTTTTTTTTTCTTTTTTGTGGGGTTCGTTCTTCCCCTCCCCCCACCCCAAAAAATGCAGAATTGATTCTGCACCAGCCCAGCAGCTTTCAGTTCCTTTGACAGCAGAGTTATCTAAATTGAATGGACGTGCGATTTCGGTGGTCTCGGTGACAGCGTCTGCCCAATAAGCCAAAGATCAAGAACTTGTGCCCCTTCAGATGTTGCTTGACTCCCACTCCCATCAGCCCCAGACAGTATGGTCTAATGGTCAGGGATGATGGGAATTGCAGTCCAACAACATTATGAGGGCCAGAGAATCTCCATCCCTACAAACCGCCCAGATCCTTGGCCTCATAAGCCTTCCTGAACTTTCAGGCCTGCCATTCAGGCTTGTCCCTTGGCCCCCAGTCAGGTAAACAAACCACCTTAGCTTGACATTCATGGTTTGTTTCTCTGTAAGGAGCCAGGATTCATTAAGCCAGCAACGAAGTTTGGGTTGTTAGGGACAAACCAACCGCGATCCCTAGTTCTGACATCGCACCAAGCGGCATCCGGCTGGTCCACAATATGACATATTAAGCCAGGGTTCTCGGCTTATCATCATGGTCAAACTTGGCCTTTGTACAACGGGAAAGCTTTTATTTTTTCCCTTGGAAAGCATAACCTGTCAAGAAATCGCCGTAGCCTGTGGCTTGGGGAAGCTACATTGAGACAGCATTGATTGTGTGTATATTGTGGTTCAACGAGTACAAATGTCTCTTCATAACTTCTGGATGAGACTCTGGGAAGTGCTGCATCCATATAACAGCTTGGACCTGAGGAGTGACTCCTCCTTTCTGGCCCAGGAACCACATTCAGCCTTGGCCAATCCTTTGGGGTCTGCATATCAGCAGTGGGTGTGGCCAGCCACCCACTCTACCTGGAAGACAGGTAAGGCACACAGGCTCCCCCGATCTGTGAAGATGAGCTGAGATGTGGGGATTATCACACCACATCATACATTCTATGATTTATTTTTGCTGCTGCCAAATCAAATTCATAGGTGGTTGTTGGAGCGTAAAACATTACTGGGAGGGGGCGGTTCTTGATCAGGCCTCCAAAATGGGGGCTAGCCACCCCCATCCCAGCTCCCATAAGCTGAGGCTAGTTTCAGCTGGAGACCTTCAGTAATGAAGTTGTGCAGGCAATGTTTTTATATCTATGTGCATAAGCACTGATGGTTGTGCAGTTCTACACACAAAAGGTGCAGAGTATGTGCAAATCAATGGGAATTTCTGTGCTTTGCTCAGTATGGGTAATTGCCAACTGACGTCGGAGAATGTGTGAATCGATCAGTGTTGTCTTTTTACATTGCTCAATTAATACACATAACTTGTGTGCAAATTTTGTATGCCACTTGGCGAATTATTCTAAGGGAGAATGTGAATGTTACCAGGGGAGCATTGTCCGTTTTGCATATTCTCCACGGCTGTGCTATGCTTGGTACCAATGTGATCTGGACATGGTAAAATAAAAATCCACTATTGATGACCTCTGCATATTCTGCACACCTCTGGTTATGTGTACAGCCATTGGCGTTCGCAAACCTACATTTCTGAAGTTGGGTTAACCGCAGTGTGTGTGCATGGAACACATTGGAATGGATGTGTCACTTTGAAAAAAGCAAAGGTTCTGACCTTCTTTTTACTCCTTTGCCTAGTCCTCAGACCTTAGTTGGCACAAAAGAGTCTTTGAGAAAGAGTATTCTTGCAGAGTATTGCTGCTTTTATTCTTAAAAAGTCTTCTCCAACCACGACCGACAGCTTTTACACACACCAAACACAACCAGCTTTCTACCATTCAACCAACCCACGCCCAACACTAACATTGACCACTCTATACAGGTACAATTTGGTGAAAGGTTGCATGAGTCATTGTAGGCCGCTGACTCATGCTGACTTAGTTCTTTTAGTATTAAAGAAACAGCAGCTAATTTTTAGCCATGACATGTACCCTTGCAAATTGCCGGGCTGATGCTTCTGAACTGGAACTGTCAAGAAATTCAGGCTCGATATTTCCGACAGCCTCTTACTTTAGATCATTCCAGTGGGGAATTTTAGAAATGTGCGTCATAAGGACTTGCTTGTTCTTGTCATACATTACGTCAGGTGCACGGTAAAATTACGGAACCAAGAATGACACCTGGGCACTTGCTTAATAGCAGAGTTTGGTGCTTCCTGGGAAATGTCAACATTGTCTGAAATGCCTTCAGGATCTCTTAAGAATTGCCAGTAAATGTAAAACATTCACCAGACTGTTGACACCCACAGCAGGTGCCATTTGTCCTCCAATGGTAACTGCTCTACTCCAGAAGCTGCCCTGTTGAATGTAGACTATTGTGAGAAGCGAGTGCCCTTCCCATTTCCCTCCGTTGCTCCTGTGTCAGGAGCCTTGTCTCTTTTAAACCAGCATTCTTGTCTTCACGGAGAGCTTCCTTCTCTTTGAACAAGCGGGAATATGAGGCCGTTCTTCAGAGCTGCGTTATAGATCTGCTTATCGCTTTCTAGCTGTCAAGCCACTGTGGTTTTTGTGGTATTTCTATGGATGCAAATTGATCTGGATTTAATTCATGTTGTCAATTAAACTCCAAATGATCTATTACAGCGTTTTTTCTTTTTCAAATGGTGGTGAACACGCGAGACTGCTGGTGGCAAGCTTGTACTTCTGGTTCTTGGCAGGCAGAAGATTATAAATTTCCTTGAGTCAAATAAATAAAATGTTGGACTCTCTGTCTCTCTCTGTTTTTTTTTTTTAAGAGTAAGTATGGATAGGGTAAGGATGCAGGTGGCGCTGTGGGTTAAACCACAGAGCCTAGGACTTGCTGATCAGAAGGTTAGCGGTTCGAATCCCTGTGATGGGGTGAGCTCCCGTTGCTCGGTCCCTGCTCCTGCCAACCTAGCAGTTTGAAAGCACGTCAAAGTGCAAGTAGATCAATAGGTACCACTCCAGCGAGAAGGTAAACGGCATTTCTGTGCGCTGCTCTGGTTCGCCAGAAGCGACTTAGTCATGCTGGCCACATGACCTAGAAGCTGTATGCCGGCTCCCTCGGCCAAAAAAGCGAGATGAGCACCGCAACCCCAGCGTTGGTCACGACTGGACCTAATGGTCAGGGGTCCCTTTACCTTTACCTTTTATGGATAGGGTGAGGAAGTACGTTTTATGCTGTGGGATACGATTAGGAAACTAATCCTGCTCCCACATCAGTAACTAGTTTTGCTTTAGAACCAGGATGGGAAAACGCTGCCTCTCCCAGATGTTTGACTTCAACTCCCATTATATGCTCTCCAGGCCTTAGGAAGAAATGGGATGAAGGGTGACTGAAACCCACAAATCAACTCACCAGCCTAATCTTGTTCATAGTTGCCACAGCCCAGACCTGTAAGCCTGGAATGCTCTCCTGAGACAGACAGATGCCAACCATGTCGTAACTGTAGACATGAGCAAGCTTCGGTTCTGGGTGGTGGGAATTTTTATGTATATAGGATGATAAAGTTCCGTAAAGCTTCACATTGATCATAATTTATAAAGCACACATCTTTGCAAGGAAAAGCTAAAACAACAACAACAAAAAATATATTATTTACACCCCACTCTGGGTGGCTGCCAACAGAATATTAAAAACACAATAGAACATCAAACATTAAAAACTTCCCTAAACTGGGCTGCCTTCAGATGTCTTATAAAAATCAGATAGTTGTTTATTTCCTTGACATCTGATGGGAGAGTGTTCCACAGGGCAGGCACCACTACCGAGAAGGCCCTCTGCCTGGTTCCCTGTAACCTCACTTCTCGCAGTGAGGGAACCTCCAGAAGGCCGTCGGATCTGGACCTCAGCGTCGGGGCTGAATGATGGGGGTGGAGATGCTCCTTCAGGTATACTATTTGATATAGGGAAGTTGTGGACTTTCCTTGCTTGGAGGTTTTTAAGCAGAGGTTGGGTGGCCATCTCTCATGGATGCTTTAGCTGAGATTCCTGCATTGCAGGGTGCTTATCTAGATGACTCTTGAGGTCCCTTCCAACTCTGCAATTCTATGATTGTAGTAAAATCTCAAGTGCTTTACAAAATGTTTTTAAATTATCAATAAAAAACTAAAAAAATAAAAGAGATTAAAACTCATCAATAGGGATAGGCTTGCCCAAACAAAGCAAGCAATAAAGGCACCTGCCTAATGTCAATAGGGAGTTTCAAAGTGCAAGTACTGCCACACCAAAAAGACTTGATTTCTTACACCTGCAGAATGAGCATTGTGTAGAATCTGTAACTGATGGAATGGACGCATGTGGGATAAGTTGATCCCACAAGTAAACTGGTCCCTAGCCACTAAGGGCTTTATATATACGTACCAATACTTACACATTAACCTTGGCTGGGATGCGGGTGGCGCTGTGGGTTAAACCACAGAGCCTAGGGCTTGCCAATCAGAATGTCGGTGGTTCGAATCCCCATGACGGTGAGCTCCCGTTGCTCGGTCCCTGCTCCTGTCAACCTAGTGGTTTGAAAGCACGTCAAAGTGCAAGTAGATAAATAGGTACCGCTCCGGCGGGAAGGTAAATGGCGTTTCGGTGCGCTGCTCTGGTTCGCCAGAAGCGGCATAGTCATGCTGGCCACATGACCCGGAAGCTGTAAGCCGGCTCCCTCAGCCAGCAAAGCGAGATGAGCGCCGCAACCCCAGAATCATTGGCGACTGGACCTAATGGTCAGGGGTCCCTTTACCTTTACCAAACCTTGGCTTGCTAACAAGCCAGAAGTGCAGAAAAGATGATGGCAGTGCAGAACACACAAAACCAAAGGACTGCACTCTCTTTCTACCTCTTCCTCAAACTCAAAGACAGCACTTGGATGCGCATGCAGATTGCTTGGCTGTCGGCTGAGAATCTGCCCAGACGTGAAAACTGAAGTCTTAAGTTTTGTGGGAATGTTATAATGGCTATAAAAATTGATTGGGGTTTTTATCTCCGTATCAAAGAAGGGAGGAAGAATTAGCTGGCATTAACGATGAGGCATCGTGTTTTATCCCACGGTAGCAGGAGGTATTTAAAATTCAATTTTTATGTATCCTTAACCTCAAGTGGGATAATTACCCCAACCTGTTTGGTTTGCTTTTTGCTGTTAGCCCATAATGTAGATAACAATTAATTTTCCAGCTTCTGGCAGGCAGATGATGATGGGGAGAGAAACACGGGTGGTTTTTGATTAGCAGGGAGTGTATAATTAGCGCAGACTTTTTCTTTTGCCACATCTATTTGGCTGACGTCTTTTCTGTAGCATTAGTTTACAATTGTTTATATTTTCATCTGAAAAGGATGGCAAAGCAAATCCTTGAGAGCACTGTACGAATTGCCTAGCCTAATCACCAAATCTCTTAAACTTACTCCATTGTAAGGCAATAACAGGGTATCACAGCTTTATTTGATAGTAGGCTGAAGGCACATCAGTTTTGAGGCTGCATGTGAAAGTGAAGCTCTACTAGCTGTAGAGTGGAACAGAAAGTACAGATAGGAATGGCCATTGTCTTTGATGACTTTAAAGGGGTACTGGACAAATTTGTGGAGCTGGCAATGGTTATTAATCACAATGGTTATTTACCCCCGGTATCAAAGACAGTGACTGCCAGCTGCTAGGGTACCCAAGCAGGAGAATATTATTGGCACTTGTGCCCTGGATGTAGGCTTCTCATGGTGATTGACAATTGAGGGAACAAAATGCTGGACTAGACAGACCTTTGGTCTGATCCAGCTGGGCTCTTTTTATACATTTTTATTGATTTTTTAACATATCCATTCCAACAGTCATACAACATATCTTCTCACCTTATACAATGTTTTAGACTTCCGTCAACACCTCTGATGATTTTCCGTTCTTTATCACTTATTCTGCATTTCTTAATTTCTATATTGCATTTAATTGTCCTTAACTAATAATTCTTTTCATAGTCTTTCTTGTAATATTTCAAATAATCCACCTTACAAAACTTCTTGCAGTCTACTAGTGTAATCTGTTCATCACAATTACTTTTCAAATAGTTCATATATTTACTCCAGTCCTCTAAGAATCTCTGATCCTGCAGGTTTCTAATCCTGCCTGTTAATTTATCTAATTCTGCATAGTCCATCAACTTCATCCTCTATTCTTCTTTCGTCGGTAATTCTTCTTGCTTCCATTTTTGTGCCAATAATATTCTTGCTGCTGTCGTTGCACCAGCTGGGCTCTTCTTATGCGTTCTTTGCCAGTGTAAAGCCACATGGATAGAGTCTGCCTAATAGCAGCGCAAGCTTGTGTCCTGCTGGTTTATGGAACTCACTCAACCTTAGCTTTTTGCTTCTAGAAACTGGTGCTAGAAACTGGTTCTAGAAACTGATCAATATCATTGAAACAGACCTGGTGTAAAAACCAGTCATATACACATAGAAAATGTGCAGCGTGACATGCAACTTTGATGCAAGTGATGTCTTCACCCATTTATTAAAGCACAAATAGCGAAGCCGCATGGGTTGCCTTCACTGCTTGTCTTTGCTTGGGAAAAGCAGGCTGAACTTCTGATGCTATGTCGTTTTCCAGACATCAAAGGCAAAACAAGTGTGTGTTTTTGCAATGCGCTGAAAGATCCTTGTTGAAGGATGCAAGCACAAGCAAGGACATAAAACCATTGGCTCCTGGCAGAACCATCTACGGCCTGTGAGACCCCAATTGGGGCAGCTGCTCCCCCAACATCCCTGCAGCTGCTAAAGACCCATAGGAGCCAACTCCTAGGGGCTTAGGTCCTTTGGCCTCCCCAATAAAATATTTGAGGGGGCCACTGTGGCGATCACAGAGGGTCCCCGAACATTTCACCATCTATTGATCCCTGTGCCACCACTTTATTTCTCGCTGCCACCACCCAGGACCTACCTGGTACAATACTGAGTCCAGTCAGGGTTAAATTGGAACATAAGTTTAACAAGCGTGTGGTTTCATAAACAGTATCGGTCCATTACAATCATTGGGTGCCTATCCAGACCTACAACTTCCGCTACCTGCTCTCACTCACTAAACCACCTCTCAGATATTTACTTGTCTTCCTAGCCCCTAACTGTTCCTGACTCAGCTTATTTCTCGACACTAACTCAACCTACCCACAGACTCACTCCCACTCCAACCAACCTCCCAACGAACTCCTCCCTTCGCCCCTCCCAGAGCTGGTTTTATAGTCCCTCTGACTCCACCCCCCCAGAACCCCCCCCCAGGTTCTGATTGGGTAACCCGTTTAACTATTTCACCTCCAGCACTCTCATATATTAACGTCATAGCCACCCCCCCCAAGTTGATGGGCATTGCCATTCAAATGGTGCGTGTGCACCATGTCATGTGATCGATTATGCAGGGTGGGGCGCCCCTGGCCTCCCCCCCCATATTTTATTCAAGTTGGCCCAGACCAAGGGCCACATATCCCATTGGCTCCCAGTTGGCCTGAGAGGACTCTTGATTACTCTGCATTTTATATCTTAGTGTTTTAAAATTGTAAGGCACCCTGGGTTCTGTGAACTGCCCTGACACCTCCGGGTAAAGGGCCGGTATATAAAGTCAATAAATACTAATAGTAAATAATGATGACAGTGAGCCTCAAAAACCTCACTTACACCCATCCGAAGCTGAATATTACGTGGAGGAGATTAGCAAAAGTTGGGCAAGCTATTATTTGCTTACCCTCCTCCACTACTCTGTGAGAAACTCCTAACGTGCTCCTGCAG